CCCTCACCTGTAGGGGGGGGCAAAAACTTCGGCCTGCCTCCCTCTGCGCTGCTTTCCCAGGGCCCCATCTCAGTGTCCACTTTACCAAACCCCCACTCTCGCTCTCACACGGCCCTGGCTGGAGGTGACATCTCTCTCTACACGTTGTCCCGCGACCCCAAACTGGGGGGTCTGCCGCCCATGTATGGAACGGTGGACAGGGCCACGCTCTACCAGCTCCACAACTGCTTCCCAAAGGATGGAGGGGGAGGGGGGGTGATGTTGAGTGGTACACTCCCTTCTCTTAAGTCCCACAACCCTTCCAATTCTTCCAACTCCAACGCGGCAATGCCCAACTCAGTGGGCTCCGGCCCTCCACCATTCACCTCGTCCACAGGAGACAGGGAGCGAGGCATGGGGACACTGGACAGGCTGAAGGGGGACAGGGAGAGCAACTCTAACACCCTCAATAGGAAGACAACGCCTGTGTAGAGCGAAGGTTTGAGAGGGGGAGGCGAGGAGGAAGGGAGAGAAGGAGAGTGGGTAGAAAGAGGCAAGGTAGAGAGGAGACAGACAGGTAGTGAAATCTCTCCCTCCATGTTCACTGTTACTTAGTCTGCTCAACCTCACTGAGAACAAAAACAAGATGAGTAATAACAGAGTGATAATAACAACAACAATGAACTTTCACAATAAAACTATTTTGATATTTTAACATGCTAGAAATGATTTATTTTGTTAATGATCAAACGCAATTAACCTTGGGCTATAATGAAAATGTTTCACATACTTTTTGTGCAATATTACTGCTAATTAATCAGATCATCATTAATGTAAAATTGTTGTTGTGATTATTCTTAGCGTTATTACAGGCTAGCCGTATTTGCAAACACTATAGTTTGGAATGAAAATTTGAATTTTCATGTTACTTTCTCTCTGATTTCGATCTGACGACTTTTACTGTGAATTTCTTCCATGCAGAGCCGCTGGACTGCCAGTGAGCTGTGTGTAACTGTGTCAAAGTGTCAAGCATGAGTGTGCACAATATGTGGGAGAATGAGGGCCTGTAATTTTTTTACCCCATATTATATGATTTTCATTTATAACATGAATTCAGATTTGAATACTGTAAATTGTCTTCCAATATTGATACTGAAAGAAATGCAACAATAATGTGAGTGACTGAGAAAACTGACCAACGTCATTGTTATTATAAGTCTGAGTTTTCTATGGGCCTCTGTTAGTCTTATTTCCATTCTAATCAGTGTTAACAGTAGTACTTGTAGCTATAGTCGTGTTGAAGATGTTTGTTCTTGGGCATTAACAGAAACCTCTGACTGGAGGAAGCAGAAAAAAGAGATATAGAATAATACATTTGTACAGATTCAGGTAAAGGTTACTGCCTGAGCAGAAAAACTAAAAACCTAATCATTTTTTTCTATGAAGAGTCCCAAAGTGAGACATGCAACTCATCATTTTCAGTGGCAAAAAAAGACAATATGTATATGTGGGTTGAGAGGGTTTAAAAAAACACTATAGAGAAAAACTTTTGAAAAGATACATGTACATTGTAATTTACGCATACATATATTTGTAAAGTCTATAGATACGTTTTTTCGGGACCACTGTTCAAACTGGGTATGCATTTTGGGCTGTTTTGTTCCCGGTGCCCCCCCTGGACTCTTGTTGGACGGTTTCATCCTCTAACCCTGCGCAGCCATACTTGCTCCCCAAGCCCCCACCCCCCCGCCAGTATTTGGTCACATGATCAGCGTTCCTCAACTCTATCACATGACCACGAACAGATTCACCAGGCGACCCCCCAAACCTCCCCAAAGATTCTTTTCACTGTGCTTCCCCTGTGACCCCCGGCTCTTAAGTCTGAACTCTGACATTATCTGTTTATGTTGAGGAGAATGTAAACACTTTACCCCCCCGTCCCGTCCCCTTTTACCCCCTTTTACCCCCCGTCCCCCCCACACTCTCTCTTCTAAACGTCCCGAGTGACTGCAGATCCGGGTTGAAACCATGGACACGCCGCTACATGATATAATGAAGAAGCAAAACAAAACAACGAGACGCTTCCAGATTCTATTGGTTTTCATTTCTTTGATTTCATTTGAAAAAAAGAATAATGTGATTAAAAACTGCACACAGATAGCATTTATGTGGGCAATATGAATAGTATGTAGTTGAGAATAGATATATCTAGACAAATGATTATGGTTTATCTAAATGTGTGATAAACTTAAACACTGTATTGCACGAAGTTTATAAAAAAAACGATAACAGACATATACACAGACTGCTGTCTTTTGTTTCTGTTTGCCAAGAAAAAAGAATGGGGTCTCTTCTGATGATCAGAGTGAGCTTATACCTGTGTTGAGTTTCCTCAAGAGCATCTGTCGACAGTCAATAAGTATTCAGACCATTTACTTCAAGTGGCTATAATTAAAATGTATATGTTAACAATGTATTTAAAGTTAAATTCTGCAGCTCCAACATCTTAACTGTTTTGGTTCACTCAAATCCGCATTGTTTTCGGTTTAAACTAGCAACTGTTTTCAGCATAAAAACTAAAGCATAAAAGTCACACTTACTGCACCAAATAGCACACAAACACAGTGAGCGACATGCTAGTGGACGGAGTGGAGCATTTAGCAGCTAAATAGACAGATATTAACCTCAAAAAAGAGCTAAAAGAAAGTGAATATTGAACTTAAATCACAACTAATAACAACACTTATTGCAGGTTTAGGTAAAATAGCAATAGCAAACTTTAGAGCATTTACTATCATTAAAAGTGAAATGAATGTGTAACTTTCTTTTACTCAACATTGCTGATCTTCATTGTACAGAATAATACCTGTGCAGTCTGACACAGGATTATCTTTCACATTTTTGTTGCTGAAAGTTTCTCTACTCACCAAATTAAGACATGTACATAGCCATTGGTAAGTCTTTGGTGGCCAATCGTGATCCGAAATGCAACCGGATCAAGCGTGATGTAAACACTTGAAACCCCACATGCACCTATTCTGAGAATAGACTCTACAGGGAAGTAGAAGACTTTGTGTCCTGTACTTAAATATTGAAATACAATATGTTCGTGATTCATAAGTTGAGATAGTTATCTTAGTTCAATCCAGAAAATGTATAGTTGTCTCAAACATGTCTACAGAGGATTTCTAAGTCTAAGTCAAGAAGTATAGGGACAAATTATGCTACACTTAAAGTATGAGAATGAAAGAAACAATACTGTACTAAAGTTCAGTACTTGATAAAGTGCATTCAGTCACTTCCCACCACTGTTTTGTCTTAAGTGGACAAAGCATAGCTCTAAGTTACTCATGCTCAAGGTCTCTTAGCAATCTTTGATGTGTTGTGATCCTAAAAAGACTTTGCCCTTTGTTGTCAGACCTGTATAATATTTGCAAATAAATGGGAAGCACCAGATGGGCTGTATGTAAAATATGATAATGAGAAAAGCATCTCAAATTAATTCATAGCATTTTCCTATGACTACCTAAGCACATATTTTTCTTACTGATAGGCCATCTGGTACCTCATGCATGTTTTTGTATGAACAATTATGAAGTACTGTGAAGGTGTGCTTCTGGCTGTTCGTATTAACTGTTGGTAGTAATACTTACAAATAGCAATGCACCAATTGTAAGATAAACCATTGACTTATTTCCCATAAATCCCACATAATAGTTGTCCATGACAGGTGACGTAGTTGTCTATAAAAAGCGACAACATTTACCATGGATGAGGTCAGGGTGGATAGCTGGGTTTTAAAGGACAACACTTTCACCCAGGAGACCGCATTTCTTGTCCTGTGTGAAATCAAAATTAAACGTTGACTTGTTTTTAAAGTAACCAAATTCCCATCATTTCTGTATTTTACTGTTTTACCCAAAACCATGATCGATTCCCATTCTTAAACCTGATCAACTTTGTTCATATCATTGCACCATTTTATGACTAACCGTTGGCTTTGGTACCTTCAGGTCCACTTTAGGTTTTGCTTGACCTCACAGGGTTGATCACTTGTAAGGAGGAAAGTGGGAATATTTCCAGTGTGGTTTAAGATGCGGGAGTCCCTTCAGAGACAAGAAATTGTACTTAAGATGCATTAGGGCCGAGGGAAGCAGTGTCACATCCTTGACAAGGGGCCTGAGATTCCTAGCGGTGCTCGGGACCCTGAGGATTATCTGTAGTGCCTTTCCCTGCTATTATCATACCTACAGTCTAGTTTTAGTCACAGTGATGCAGCCCGGGTTTAGTGAGGAAGGATGAGAGGTAGCCAAAGCAAACAAAGTATTTTCCCCTTTCTATCAAGAGACCCATTTACAAACATGCAGCTATTGGTTGTGCCCCACTTGTCACAGAGTCTCAGTAGCACTATTAACAGCTAAATATACAACCAGGATAGTGTGTCATGTGGATACAGTTTCTGCCCACTGAGAGTTAAATGGATGTGTGAGTGTGTGTGTAGGTGCCTGGATGCCACTCACTCACCAGCAGATCAAGTGTTAGATTATGTTAGTGGGACATCTCGGTTCTGATCGGTCTGTTGATCGGTCTTGTGTGCGGTTGTGTGTGTGGCACAGGTGTGGGTCGAGGTGTGTGTGGAGGTAGGGTGGAGTAGTGACAGGTGGGCTCGCCTGGAGACAGCAGGGAAAGTGACGCAACAAGGTCAGGGGTGGAGAGAGAGAGAGAGAGAGAGAGAGAGAGAGAGAGAGAGAGAGAGAGAGAGAGAGAGGAAAGGCACAGGGGTATGAGGGTAGGCTGGGGGAACATAGTTGAAATTCAAGGGTAAGGTTTCCCAACCTCTGCAGTGAAATGCATTGCGATGAGCTGCACTGGCCTAATTATAGAGGAGCAGGCTTGGGGGATGGTGGTGTTTGGCAGAGAGGTTAGGAGTCACTTTGAAGGGATGAAAATGGGTGAATGTCAAGTTTGAGAGCGTACAAAGTGTCATGTCAGCAAACAAAAGGGAGACAATCATTTTATGTCAAATCCCTTTAATGATAAGCAAAACCGGCGCCACATAATGTACATATATATGAGTAGAAATAAGCCTAAAACTTGTAAAATAGCATTTCTTGGTAGAGAGAAAAGGAGAGCATCCTATGACATTATTTAAAGTGTACTTATTGCATACATATTACATATAAAGTGACGGGAGACAACATTGCAAACAGAGACCATTCGTACAATATAAACACATTCATTCAGTTTATGTACAAAGTTGAGCTTATAAAGTGAGTCCATACAATTCTCTGATACACAAAAAGGTATTTTAATCACTTTTTACAGTTGTTTTCATTCAACATACATTCATACTGAAGCAGCATTCAGCAAATTGTTGAAAAAAACACACATAAGTTATAAATAATGGCATGAAGCCTCTTCTTTAACAAGTAGTAAGTGTATAAAAGCTTCATAGGACTTAGAATATGAACTTTTTTACAATATATAATTTAGCAGATATGACACAAAACTATACAGTATTTTTTGCTAAATTGATGGTTATAGATTCTGGTGGTGCCTTATGAATTTTAAACAAAATATTTATGTTAAGTCATTTTTATGAGACATCTGTAATTTGATCTTCATTATTTGTCATATAATCGCACTTTTGATTTACAATCTCATTCTTGTGTATTGTGTCTAACTTAAAGAATGTCCTTTCAAGAAGAGCAACATTAGTAGAGACCTAAAACGACAAATGCTAACGTTCGATAGACAGCCCCGTCTAGCAATCATATGAATTATAACAGAAACTCTGTTTTTTGTTTTGTAGAGCCACAAAAACTGTGAAGAGAAAATAAAAATAAACACATTTTAATTTAAGCCATCATTTTTTTTTCTTCACAGAAATGGGCTTCCATACTTAGCATTAAAGTTTAAAAAAAAGTGTTTGAGCCTTTAAAAGGTTTTTTATGATATACTTATGCTGGCAAAAAGTTGTAGTAGATATTTGTATGTGGATGTACAACTTTAGACAGGATAACAAGATTTGTGTGACACAACAAAGCTTAAAATGAAACCATTAAACTAAAATGGCTATGTCCAACTATTTCTACCAAAAATAACACTAAAACACATTTGTTTCAAATTCTGGAGGCCTTTCTAAAGTGTTTCTGAATTCTCTACAAACATTTTGATTAAGACCTTGTATGACTTCTCTGACAAATTAAATGCCGAGAATAAGCAGAGTCACCGCCTTCAGAAAATGGATGTTTTCCACTCTCAAACAATACATCAAGAATACTGTGTGCATATTTGATTATCATTCAAGTGTTAGGTGACGCTATTCTTCTGTGGAAAGCATTTCTCCCAGGGGCTGAAAGGAAGAGAGAGGAGGATAAAGAGGCAACCTCCAAAAATAAGAATTCCTCCCGCGGAGCCGACGCAGGCCACAGACCAGGACAGCTCATAGTGTAAAGGTATGGAGTCATCACTGGACAGCAAGGCCAACACGGACTGTTGGAATATCAGGACAGACAGGAGGACCAGCACACCTGCAACCAGAGAGGACGTTCAGATTACATCACACTATAACTGCGTAATATCCACAAACAACTCATGAAGACCAAATAATTATTATCTTGCCAAACATCAGTCAGGTATGGATACTTGAATGTAATACGGTAGAATGTGAGGTCCCACCTGATAGGATGAAACAGAAGGAGGCTGGCTTGAGAAAGAAGGGCACTCCTTTGCTGAGGGACATGCCGATGCAGATGGAGCCCATTGCCATCATGGTCAGACTCAAAAGGGCCATGATAGCTGCTGCTAGATTCAGCTCTGTTAAGAAAAGCAGAAAGAAAGGAATATATTGAATACTCTACAGTAGGTGAACATTTGTGAAAAGAAGTGTTGATAAAACCTGCAAATATATGCAGTGAAAAATATTCAACAAAGACTGCAGAGGCATTGTGGAATCAGATATAACACCACCTCACAAAGTTTGATTCTACTGGGATTAAAGTTCATTTTACTTCATTGTAAAAAAAACACGCATTGTGTGAATTGTGCCACTTCCCTTACTGGCTCTGTTTAAAACAGATTGTATTGGCATTACAAACCTGAACAGATGCTACTGAAGTAGCCGATCAGCATTTCCCAGCAGCCAGTGCCAGTTTCGTGTTTGTTCACACTCGACCACACAGATATTATTATTATATTAATTAAAACGCGGCAAATACAACATGTAGGTTGTGGGTTGTTATTGGCAGGAAGCAGAAGCCAACAAAAATAGGTGGGATAAATAACAGTGAACTCAACACAGCTGTCTAATCTTCTGGTCAACCAGTTTTATGACTAATTCACATGTGTTTTCCTTAACACCCATATCAGCAAGTGTGTGACTATAAGATGTTTTAAATAACCTGCAGAGACTTAAATGTAGCTCGAAGGGAATCAATCATCACTGTGAACACATTTCATTAATGCAGTTGGATCCACTGCAGTATTTTTGAAGAGTCTCTATTGTTGGTGCCTGTCTGGCATCTACGAGCTCACTGCCAAACAGCAACTACTAACGTCATGCCTTTGTGGGGATGTATTTAGGCACATACTGTACGCACACACACACACACACACACATATACACACACACACACACACACACACATGCACATACTGACACGCACACACGCTATCGTGCGCAGACCGCAGGTAAATGTTTACCATTGTACACCATCTCAGTTTAGCATGTCAGTATGATAACATTAGCTTATTATCACTAAATACCGTTGCTTATTGTCTATCTTCTGGGTTTAATATGCAAAGCACGCCAGTTTGTTCTAACAGCATGTACCAAAAGCTCAAGTTGACTTTAAGCTCATTGTGATGCAGCTATCAAATCACAGCCAGTTGATCCTCAAATTGCACTGAAGCCAGCGGCTGCCTGGACGGTAAGGTAAACACATGAATCAGTCTGATAGCTTATGGTTGCTTAGGAAAATGGGTGGCAGCGGAAGTTAATGGGCTGAAACACGCAGAAAACACCAGCACGGTCCTCTGAGCACCCCAGTGAACATCTTTATTGATGGAAGCTGCATTGTTACTGTAAGCGTGCAATGCATCTGCATGTGTGACAGGAATTGCAGGGAGGAATTTAAATGTCTCACGTTTGTTCGTCGTCTTCTTGAATATGACTGCATTGTCCCCGGAGGTGAAGAACTTAAAGTAGGTGCAGTTGGTTACTGTAGGTAAAAAGAAAGATCATACACATGAGATCAGATATACACATACATTTACAGATACACATGCACACCTGCACACACACACACGCACACACGCACGCACACACACACGCACACACGCACGCACGCACACACACACACACACACACACACACACACACACACACACACACACACACACACACACAGGCTCACATTCCTATGGATAGCTGCTGGTCTTCTGTTATGTGCCTCCTATGCATCCATGCACTCTGCCCTTCCAGTGATTATTCCTATTTATATCCAAGTGTGGAGCATTAGCTGCAATACTCAGAGACACACACCGCTACACACACACACACACACACGGCCCAGCACTGTACATATGGTGCCGCCAGAGAGGGTGAGAGACAGCAAAACACTGAGGGTGGATGGCACAGGGGAAATAGAGAGGGAGACAAGAAGAAGGGGCAGATGGAGGATAGAAATTGAGAGGCGTGGCAGCAGAAGAAGAAGGATTGAGGGGAAGGGGATATGTTGGGTGAGGAAATGATGAAGGGGGATGCAGGAAATATGGATAAAGGCTCAAAGCATGAGTAGTGAGGGAAGGAGGAGTGAGTTGGGGGCAGATGGAAGGGGTGGTGAGTGAAGAGGAAAAAAGAGGGAAGCCACAGATGGAGAAGGAGGTGAGGGGAGCAGGAGATGTCAAGGGGGGAGGAAACACAGAGGGGTTGGTTAATACTGCATTAGACACTCTCCCTCAGTCCCTGTCTGTCCCTCTTCCTCGTTCCCCCTCTCTATATTTAGACAAAAACTGTGAAGTAGTCAGATTCCACTTGGCTTCACAAGTGCATAGTGATGACTTTCACCCACTGCATATTCATTATGTTGTTCAAGATGACCACATGCTCGTCACACATTTCCTTCACATACAAATATGTTTGTGCCTGAGCACATTTGCAACATTTTGACTGCAGCAGACACGCCATTTATCAGCTTACTGATTTTCTGTAACACATCATGCTATCACAGTCAACTGCTTTTGCTCTCGCTACCCCTGCTGAGACTGTAATTATTGAGCTGTCATGTCCCTCTCCAGCAGGCAGCGAAGACGGATAGCTGGTCTGAGATGACAGGGCCGGCATCAGCGGGGCCGCACTTTGCCCGGGACCGAAGCCAAAGGCATGTAAACAGCGATGTGACACAGAGAAGCAGAGATGGCAAAAACAGTTGTTTCCCTCAAAACATGACAAGCCCACGGCCATCTGCGACAGGCGGCGTGGGCCAACAGTGTGAAGACGTGTGAGAAACATTGTCAGAAGCATACTGGCTGCTCTCACACACAAACAGACCGTCTGAGAGGCATAGATATATATCTGCTAGCTTAAAGCAGCCAGAGAGGCAGGACATTTTGACAGGTAAGATGAATTAGCCCTTGACGACAGCATATAAAAACAATGACACGCATCCTAATTCAAGGTGATATATGTATGTGAATAGTATTTATGTATATGTGATCCACGTGTATATCTGCTGGATGAGGAGATTTGTTTTTGTTTCTTTAGAGCTCTGCTGTGTCTCAGCAGATACCCGGAGATAGGCAGTGACTTCCTGGAGCGACCCCTATCTCCATCTCCCTTTACCAATACCTGCCCCTCTCCATCTCCAGACTTGCTTTTCAGACAGAAGTAGGTCATTGTGGAGATATTCAACGCACTCTGGAGAATCTAACCACGGTCAAGTTGAATAAAGTGCTTTTAGAAAGGAGCTGTCACAACTCTAACCATGGATGTTCGTCAACACAACAAACCTGTGGTCTGCCCCGTATCCCCTTGTCTGTACTGTGTGTACAGCAGGAGATGATTAGGTACCCAGTCAAGGGAGAAACTTGAAATCGATGCTTCATTACCCTGACAATGTTGCGAATCACCACGATGTTATTGTATGATCCTACCTGTACCTAGATGCTGCTTTGTGTTGTTACAATAGGATAAGAATTGAAAACCGCTATACTGTGGTCCTCCTCGTGCTCTGTTTCCAAGCATCGCTTTTCTTTAATGATTCAATTTGCACATTATCTGTAGGATGACCTAGATGCATATGTATGCAGGCAGCTTTACATACACAACTATCCTCCCACTATCTATTTGCAAGGTTACAGTATGTGTTCGTAGAAATAAAGGGAGATATTAAATGTTTGCTAAAAATCATAAGTATCTTCCTCATAAATCTGTAGATCGTATTAGGGATGGGATTAATATGAAGTGTTGCCATAGCTGTCCTCAATTCCTTATGGGCTCAGATAAAAGACCTGGAGATGTAAGCATATTCCCAGAGGGCATGCACCGTATTAGTTATGCCTGCTCCCTCTGTTTTCACATCAGTGGTGATGGCAAAGAAGAATCGTGTCGATTAAATGTACATGTTTTTTCCCTCAATGATGTCAACAGCCTGCAACCTCTAAGAAACATCCTTTGACCCTTTTACCATTAATTCACTCTTATACTGTAGCATGGAGTCAGCCTTGAGGTAGAATTGCATGGCCGGGCAATTCAGTTTGCAGAGAGGCAGACATGAGCAGACAGTCAGAGAAACAAAGTAGACACATGCCCTCCAGAAACCTCACCTGCTAACCTCCTAGACAGCACAAACAGATAAACACAAACTCTCACAGACACACAACTGCACTCCAGCCAGGGGTCTCACCTCCATTTAGTTCAACGGGGCCGCAGAGCTCCCTGTCTGGGTCTATGTCCGCCACAAATAGGGTGCGGATGCAGCCCTTCCACAGGCCATAATATGCCATCTGGCAGGTCTGGTTGCCGCTGAAATTCTTTGGTTGTGCCAGCTCCACCCAAAACTCTGTGCCCATGCCCAACACGGTGAGGGTCACGCCAATGATAGCCACAAAGAAGGCCAGCTTGATCTTTCCTTCCTGGCTGTCACTCATCTTCTGGACCCTCCTTCCCTGTCCCCTTCCACCTTTTATTCCAGCTAAACCCCCACCTTGTACAGTCCCGGCCACCCCGATACGATCATCACCATCGGGCTGTACGATGAAGTTGGACCACATGATGATCTCAACTGGCCAGGCCCGACGAAGACAAGGGGTGAGGGGGGAGGGGGGGGGCTTATTATAAGGGGAGCAATATAATAGATGAAAAGATGGGAGGATGGTTTAGTAGGGAGAAAACAGGAAAAGGATAAGGAGTAGGATGGAAGTGTTAAAACAATATATTAAAAATGAGGAGACACAGCTATCAACTATCCTGTGATTGATGGGTAAATTAAGCAAAAGTGGTCAGAGGGAACAAAGGATAATAAGTGGACAGTCAAATGAATTAGACAGAAAGAAATATGAACAGAGCCATGAACAGAGCTACAAGGAAGTGAGGGGCAGATGAAGTAAGGAAATTATAAAATGGGAGGAGACGGATGTAAGGACCAGGAGAGCCGGTGACTGTTTTCCGTCCAGTCCCCTGAAATAGAGAGATGAAACAGAAAGATGAAAGCAGCCAGCATATGCTTCACAAGAGCAAAATCCTTTCATCAGCAGCGTAATATTTAATTTCCAAGAGCTTTATCAGCGTCTACAGTATTCCCTCCCTAAAAGCCATATGACATGCTTCAAGCCAACAATACATAAGCCATATGGCGTTTCCCTGAAAGGCAGATTCTGTTTCTGATGAAGAAACAATTGGGCTGGATGAGCCGGTGGAGTCGGGTGGTGCCGGTTCAAGGTGAGAGATAACACCGCAGCGCCAGACTGGACCCCCCATCTTCTATTTTGCCAGAGCAGTTGACAACAGCAGGTACACTATCTCTGGCTTAGACACAGATCCCTTTTGATCTGAGGGGATAATGGGTTGCCACAAATATCTCCCGTCCTGCATTACGTGTACCAGAAAACACTTGGAATCTGCCGCCATGACGGTCTTTTTAAGCATGTGTGAGTGTTTTTTTTTTGTCGTGTGGCACTGTGAGTAGGTCCAGGCTTGCGGAGTTGTTTCTGTTATCCCGAACTGTGAGGGAGGGGGCAATTTGGAGCAGATTAAAACGTGAGTGACGGGGCCCAACGATGTGGCTGCTCTGCGCAGGGAGCATGAGAGGTGATAATTCATGGCTGAACCTTCTGACAGAAAGGGGCCTGCAGTAATTAACTCTGCTGTGCAGTGCAACAGGTCACATAGTGGAGGCAACAGGCCTGGCCAGTTAGGGAGCAGCACCAGGAGGCCACACACAGTTGGTGGATCACTTAATTCAGGGGTTTTGCGCTGACAGCATCAGAGTTTTTATATAGGCAGCGCACCACATGAACCCTCTGAGTGCGTGGACACAAATCTATTGTGTACCATACTTTTCAGATATAAAGAGCAGTATGCAGCATACATTTAGTTTTGCAGTAAATGAAATTACAATAAAAGTCATTTATTAATTCAAACTCCGACCATTCTAGGTTATAGCTGGATTTTAGTTTCTTTCTTTGTTTTGTGAAGAGAAGATCTTTCGGTTTTCCGACTGCTGTACTGACACAACCAGACACCTTTTGCTTTAGGAACTTGTTCGAAGTCGTTTTTAGACATTGTGTGACATTTTATAAATTAAATGACTGATATACTTATTGAGAGAAATGTGTGTATATTAATTTAAAATAAGTTGAAGCAGCCATACAATTATGTATCAAATACATTTGGATTATACATTATCATACATAGACTATTTTTCAAAGCAATACATTGTGTAACTTTATATTCAACCAAACCAAATTCTTCATATGTGTAAATAAGAAAACATAAATAATATATTATATATATAATAATAAATAATGCTAATAATAACCAACTAATAATGTCAGTTGAACTTAAAAATGCCCACTCTATTTAAAAGAGTAAAATCCATCTGCTATGGTAGATCATGTGATACTAATAAAAGCTCCATAACAATCACACAATGGATTTTTGACATCTAATTGATAGAGATATTAATCACAACTCACAATAATATAAATATGTTACCTGATCCTAATTTAAAGCGAGCACTGGAGAGGGATATAATCTCTGAATATTAAGAGCTAATCTTAAAAATCCAAATGTCTTTAATGAGCCAAAGCTTTGGAATAACAGCCGTGCATGTGATTACTCCCCCAGCATTAAGTGTAATAAAGAATAAGACGGCAGCTGTTGACAGCCAAGTTAGTAGTTATAGAGTTACAAAGCTCGATCACATTACATCCATATTAACCACGGGATGATCGAAGGGGTCAAAGCATGGCAGGCGAACCTACTGGAAGGATAACACACACATGTTCATGTTGTTCTAAAACATCCTAAGCAGTGTATAGGCCTATATGTGTGTTTTGTCAAATTTGATGATGCAGCAAAAAAAAATACGGTGCACTGGCTTGGGGACAAATGGGTACATTTTCAGTGAGGAAAGTTAGGTACTCTTTCTAGAGTTTCACCAAAGACAGCCACAGCCCCCTGTGTGACATGTGTACATAAGAAAGCAACAACTAGAGCAAAAAGAAGAATAAGTCTGACCTGTTTGGTGTGTGTTGTTCAGTTCAGGAGGAAGAGACGCTTGAAACTTAATAGAGGGGGAGAGTGGTGATGGGAGAGTAAGTGAGAGAGTGAGAGGGAGGTACATGAGGGTTATGGAAAGTAAGTGTAACAGGGGAGGGGGCTGTAGCCTGGTTGGTTAACACTGTTGATCACTAAATGTGTGTGTTTGCACGGCTGTTCTCCCCTCTGACTGTACCTTCCATCTGAACAGCACCCTGCACACACTCCACACATGTTTGAATGTTCAATGAATGAGCTGAGGTGCTGCAGTGTGGTCCGGTCACATGACGACAGCCATGATTAAAAACATGCCTGTATCTGTGCCAGCCTCGCTGTTTGTGTGAGTGTCTATTTTAGACTGCCACCTGTTAATGACATTAAGTTAGGCTGAAGGAGGAGCCTGTGTTTATACGAGAGGGGCTAGGATAGTGTTTTACAGCAACAGAAGTGTGAGGTAAGAGCAAATCTGACACAGAGAGTGAAAGTGAAACGGGGAGGGCAGCAGAGGGAGGGACAGAAATGGAAAAGGGAAAAAAAGTGCAGGAAAGGACAGAAGATGGGAGCATAACGTTGAGAGAGTGATATAAAGAAACACTAGGTGCCCATATGGATAATCTTGCTGAAATGAAATACTAGAGAAGAAATAGAAAATGTGCAGGCCCATTTCATTCCTCACTGAACAAGATCCAGAGAGATTTCAGACTCACCCTGGTCTTGTGGAAAGCTTTACTCGTGGCCCGGCCCTGCTTGGCTCTTCCACAGTTTAGGTTACATACGTGGCACACCGAGAGGGAGGCCAACCCCAGCGGCCAGCCACGCTCAGGGAGGGCTGGAAGGGGGGAAGGGGCGAGAGGAAAAGGGGTGGCGAGGGCGGTGATGCAAAGTGAGAGTGAGTTGGGAACAGAGAGACAGAACAGGAGAAAATCTGAAAAAAGGGACGAAACAGGCTGTAGGCTGTGACAGGAAAATAAACACCTACAATGTCCAAAACAAAAGACGTCCTGTTTCTTTTAGGACAGATTGTTGTTGCAGCCACAGTGCAATTTGGATGGAAAGATGGACTTTCTCAGAGAGAAAGGAGCATGTTGGTCATGACAGCCATGATAAATGGATTCATCTGGGGTACAGCTATTAGTTTAACGAACATATGTGTGTCTATTCTTTAAAATGACTTTGCTTCTAATTATGCAGCATATCTCTGCTCCCCCATCATATGAGATTGATAGAAAGTGTCCACTGGCGGTCTGAGGCCATCAATAATCTACAGTATGCTGATGCTAACAATCTTGTCTCCACATCACTCAAGTGGCCCTGTCAGCAGTGCTAGTTTATGCTTGAACACACTGAAGGGCACACATGTGTGCTTATGTATGCAGCCATGCGCACACTGACCACACATGTGCACATTACAGCTGCAACTATTTATTAGTCCAACGTTGTAACATTAATGTTGACTACATGCCAGATTAAAGCACAATATGTCCAAGAATATTAGAAAATACATTTATAAACCACACTGGACAACATGGGCATGTAGATTATTATGAGTCAATCCCACATGCAGGACTCAAATGCACCAACTCTGCTGTTTAAAATAATCCCCAACAATTATGCAATTTACTCCATTTATAATTACGATTGTCTAAAAACCAAAGACCCAGCTGTTAAAGAATTCTTTTTTTCTTCAATGATAAATATATATCTGACCTGTATGTACAGATGTACCTCTTCAAGAGAAACAAAGGGCTTGTAGCAGCGAGCCACACACAGTTGTTTTTTTATGGGATGTGGTGTTACTTATAGATATAACCATTGCTCTATTTTGTTCAAATTGTCCCAGTGACAGCAAGAGCCCATACAAGCCCCTTGAAACAATTGCAGCAAAATTGAATTTAGCCATCATTCATTTGATTTTGCATGCCTGCGCTTTACTGAGACATGTCAAAATAATGTTCTGTAATAAAAGGCCTTTTTCCATTCAACCTGACAATCCTTTCCATATTATTCTCAATTTCCTTTCATCTATACGCTGAACGCACACTGCCATAAGTACACAGAGTACTGCATCATCCTGCTCCAGCAATGCACTCTCCCACTGCTGCAGTGTTCTATCTTTCTGAATGAGGATCAATGGGGAGGCACTGCCTAGAATGACAATGACCACCGCTACAGTTTTACATTCCCCACTAGAGGGAGATAATGTATGTGCAATCTTCACTGCAGCATCAGGCCTGGGGAGGGCTGCTAATAACATTTAATCGGTCTTGTGTTTGGCAGCCTGAACGTCCTGATCTGTTGGAGAGGCAGGGTCAGTTGTACATGTCTCCTCTGGTGGATATGGCTTCAGCAGCCTGGGAGAGCTGCTGTTTTATCTGAGCCCTGCGGGAACAACAGGGGGAGAGAGCGCGTTGCATCAGTGCCCCGCTGCTGGCTTCTGTGCAGTGGGGTGCAGCGATGCACGCGGAGATGGGCAGTATAGAGCTGACACAGGACATTATTTCATGTCAGAGATTTGTTGCTTCCCTGTTACTGTTTTTCAGATACAGTCCCAGGTGGACATGGCTTATAGTTGTTGCTGATGTCCAAAATGGTGTACTCGTGTGGATTGACTTGAATATAAAGAAGTAACTTTTTGGCACTTGTCTCTATAGCATGTTTTAAATTGAAGTTGTCTGAAGTCCTCACCACCAGCTGCTCTTGCAGTAACAAGTAGTGTACCTTTCTTACTGTCCTAATGTGCACAATGTAGTGACTGCTTTTTCGTCTTTTGTTTTCTTAGTTATGTTCTCTGTATTTTATATGTTTGTGTTATGTGTTATGTGTAACGTTGCTGCCTTCTTGGCCAGGTCAGCATTGAAAATGAGATTTTATCTCAATGTTTTTATCTGGTTAAATAAAGGTTAAATAAAAAATAAATAAACCCAGACAAAAAAACCCCCCTAACTTTACCTGATTTATAGGTGGGATTCGACACTGCAAGCAGCTCCAATTCATAATGATATATAATTGCATGGGTAAACATGAGTTTTATTTATTTGCATAGGCTTGAATCAAATAAATGACATAATAATAATGGAGACGTATTGTGTATATGAATATCTTTATGTAAATTATGCTGTTATCTTTTCAATTTATTTTGTATAGCTGATATGTTATGTTACCAAATGACTACCGAACATTACAACATTGTATTACAATACTGGACACAAGGGAAACACCCATTTTCCTTGGATTCAAGTCCGTTTTCTTTTTAATAATAATATTGTTATTAAATGTATTTGTTTCTTTATTAAAAACTCTAATATATTTTCAAAGGCTCCCATGCCATGTGACCCAGTGTCCACTGTAGCATTGTATGACCACACTGGACAAGTGAGACACAACCCTTTTTTATAAGATGTTAGTCAACTTTCTATTTTATATGGATATTATGCAATATTTGTTAAGTCAAATTTATTTCAATAGCTCCCATGTCATGTGACGGAATTACTCTTTTATTCTCTGTTATTTTAATAAGTGTTTTCTGTACTTTAAATGAATATTTTATTTTAACAGCAATGATATTCTTTAAAATATCATTGTAAAATCAATCCACACATCATTGATCAAAAAAGGTATGCAACATAAGACACATTTACTATACGTGTGTTAACATCTTCACTATTAAGGGCAGTCAGCACTAACGTACTGAATGGTCCCTAAATCAAACTTCGTGGATAAATAGGAGAAAATAATATAGTACAATTATTTCTAAATTGTTTTAACCTTCTTTATGATTTTTGTGTGCCTGTATGTTAATGATGTAAGGGGTCCTTAACTCAAAGATTGGCCACAAGAGTGTGATCTGCTACTTCTGCCTTGTCGACCTTCATCTCCATGAAGCAAACAGTCTTCCATCCTCGGCTGGTATCACTAAAGAGAGCAGGCTATAATTGGTACAAAATAGATTGCAAGGGAATTGTGTTTGTTACTGCTAGCATTTCACGCTTTCCCACAACCCGTTTAGGTAGATACAAAGTGTGACTTATGACTAGGAATAGTGTATCTTAATCATGAACATGTAAACTTCCCCAGGAATCGTTTGCTTCTGTCTGGATCGCCTGTAGTCCTTGATAAATTATGCCATCAGTTGAGTGAAAGTGCCTGGACATGGCTCCAGTCTAAACCATCTCCATAATGAACTGTGAGCGGCATCCCTCGCTGGGTGAATACACGTGTGCTGTAGCCAGGTGGGTGGATGTGGGTGCACAAAAGAGAGGAAGCATAAAGAAGAAAGCCATCATGTAAATTCAGTTTTTAATCAACATTTGAAAACAAATTGGACAAATGAAAGACTGTTTTTGATTTTTATAAACTAGATGTTTTTAAATCATTTAAGAAATCACATTTTTTTCCAGAGAAAAAAAGAGAAATTAAATGACAGCGACACTGAGAAAGCAGATATCTGAAAGTAAGGAGTAACATAAGTGTTATCACTGACACACTTTCTTCTCAGTAATGTCTTAACCACCTAAATGAAAGCAGTCACAGCCATTACAGTGTGAACATATGGTCCTCGGAGAATTAGGGCAGAAGATGAGGGAGATGAGAGAAAAGCAGTCTTTGACCAAATACAAGTTTTCAACATCCAATCTACCTCTTACATTTAGAGAAAGAAACCCCTCTACGACAGTAACATACTAAAGCCATGAAAGCTAAATGCTAAATGATGGTTTATTAAAATGTAGATGTATAATAGTAATTATTTGTCTGCAGGCTTTCCTTTTGTAATTAGTCTTTACAGAGCATAAACATCCAAAACAAGACCTTTTAATTTCAGTTTCAACATTTGGTTCGGACACATCACTGCCTACCAATGGATCAGGAGGGAAGTTGACGGAACAAAGAAAAGTTGGTTGTTTTGCTTTCACTCCATGAGTCGTGGGTATCAGACACGTGTTTATTTGGTCTTGTCAAAGAGGTGAGACGTTGCACAAAGAAACAACCGGGTCCGACACATCTTACAACGTAAATCTGCTGCCAAACAAGGAAAAATGAAAACGAGTGATGCAAGGCTGTAGTACAAGATAGTGACATTTATAAACATACAGACATCATTGAAAGAGGGGTAAGCCTAATTGGTTTTCCTTAGCGAATTGACATGTAATAACATTAAGGCTTTTTGGTAAGGAAGAGATCAATCCCCTATTAAACACCAATCTGTTGCCAATCCTCATCTTCCTTCAATTTTTCACTTTTAATTAAATCAGGACTGAACCGCTGAGACAATGCAACCTCATCTGTTAAAAGCTGTGTACTAAAGAAGGACGTGAGAAAGTTACAGGAAAAAATAAAACTGGCATAATTGAAAAAAAGTACTTTCCTGCAGCTCGTGTTATTCTGCGGCCTGAACACAATGTGATATTACAGCTCATATCAGTGAAGCTACACACAGTATTGAAACAATTACAGTTGACATTCAGATAGAGTCCAATTAGACAACATATTCTCAACCAATCATTCTGAGGGGGCAGTAGTCAGATGAAAAATAAAAGGAACATGAAGAAATATAGTCCAAATATAGAAATAAAATGTTTTCTCTCGCCTCACTAATGATGGTGGGGAAACAGAAGTGGATGTTTCAGCTACTGTATATCTAGATTAGATGTCAAACAAAAATGCCCTCATCTCCCCCACTCACAAAGTAACACTCCTGTTTTCTCCATCCCTCTCTCCACCGGAATAGTCCAGTTAGTTCCCCACTGCAACTCCTTCTTAATGTACTTAAAACAGGCTACCTCCATTTAAATACAAACCTTAGAGTGTGGCTCCCCCCTCCCACCCCAAAATAACATCCTCACAAAGTATAAAAATTGTTGACCCCTCCCTGGACCCATTATTACACACATTTTCCCTAACCCAATTCATGTTCCCTCCCCTCCCACCCCCCCCGTCCCCTCTTCTCTTCATGGCTCCTCTACCAGAAGTCTCGGCGGTGATAAGCATCTGGATCGCAGTATTTGGTCACCACCACCCTGTTGGCAAACTTCCTTCCCGTCAGCCCCTGCATGGCCTTCTGGGAGTCAAAAACGGACATGAACTCCACAAAGATCTACAAGAGAGGGACAAAGAAACCAATAGAATAAGGGTATATCAAGACATCATTCTCGTGTGACAGCAGCACACATCAAAGATGATGGAAAGCAATGAAACGGTCCCTACCTTGCCGGTGCCGGGCACCTCCAGGCCGTCCACAGGTCGGGGGATCTCGATGCTCTTGACCTGGCCGTACTTGCTGCACTCGTCCTTGACGTCCTCCACGATCTCCTCATACTCGTCATCATCCAGCAGCTCCTCGGCGGCCACCATGTTCATCAGACACAGCACCTCGGTGGGCAGGCCACCCATCTGAGTCACTGAGCTGTTCATACCCGGCACCTGCAGCGTCACTGGGGTCTGATTTATACTCGTCTGCAAGGACAGACAGGAAGGTTAGGACAGGGTCAATGGCATATTTTAGATAACAACGTGCTCAGAGTATTATGACTAGCCGCAAGACATCTTCAATGTCATTCAATGTAGGACTTAATCGACCAAAACAGAGGTGAAAATGAAGATATGTCCTATATAGAGAAGGTTGCTGCCAGTTTTAAGAAAAACGTTGCAGTGCTGGTTCACATACTATAGCCGCGTTCACACCGGAGTACTTTTCCCCGTACTTTTCACGTTTAGTTCCGTTAGTACCCCTTATGTCGCGTTCACACCAAAAAGAGTACTTAGTGCCGGGAACTTTTACCCCCATTTTTAGTGCCTGCTGAGAGATGGTACTTTCCTGGGGGAAAAAAGTGCCCCAGTTCTGATTGGCTGGGCGAATTGCAAACCACGCCCCGTAAAACTCTGAAATGTTTTGTAGAGCCGCCATTTTATTATCCTCGCATTAGCATTATTAGCATTAGCATTAGCCCAGTGCACCAACGGAGAGAGACTAACTTATGGCAACACAAAATAAAACATGGGAGCGGTGGAGATGAGGAGGTGTCGGCATTCTGGCGATTTACTCGGAAGGCTTCAGTAGAAGCTGCTGGGAGTCCCAGCCGCTTCTACTGAAGCCAGTCCCCAACTCCGGGGACTTCCGGCCGGGGACTTCAGGTGGCAGTATACACCGTGAAGTGGTTTGCGGCCTGCCAGTAAACCCAAAGCAGAAGAAGACTAATGGCGCATTTCCACTACACGGCCTCGCTCGGTATGGCTAGGCCTCGTTAGGACTGGCTCACTTTATGGCGCATTCCCATTACAGTTTAGGAACTGGGGTAGTATCTATAGTAACGCAGTGTAGGCGGAGCCGTGACGTCATCTTCAATGAGAACCCCAGAAAAACAACATCAGCTGTTAGCACTCAAGCTCACAGCTCCTCATATATGTTCAGAAACTAGACAAAAAGTTAAAGAAGTGCAAACCACAGACTGCCTGTGTCATGGTGAATACAGTCGCTGGTTTATTTATGTCTGTATAGGCCGTTGTTGTGAGTGTGGACGGTCGGAGCATATATTGCGTTAGCTTAGCCAATCTCCATTTAGAAAACACGCATTTTAAAAGGTTTTTCGCCTGTCGTCTGTCTGCAGACTTGTCAAAGCATTAATTCATGATTTTTACTAACCGGTATCAGTATGTTGTTACTTCGGCATCATTTTGAAACGTGTATTACAATTAAATCACGGTCAAATATGTTCATCTTGTTGTAGTTGTAGCCCCCTTGCCAGCGATTCTCTCTCTAGTTTAGCATACTCAGCCCGACTCAGTCTGGTTGTTCCTGGCCCTAGAACCACGATTTTATGGGGCCAGAAAAACTGTGAATTAGGACCCGCTAGCCGGTACTAGGCCAAGTGGAAACGCAACCAAAGACGGGCCGCTGACGTCACAGCTCTCTTAAACGGGGCTCCGCGCTGCAGTGGAAACGCGCCATAAGTGATATCAGCGGCTCATTTGCGTAATCTTCCCTCAGGGAACTTATTCCGGTGTGAACGCGATCTGTACTTAGTGCAGTGGGGTAATAAGTGCCGGGGCACTAAGTGCCGGCACTAAGTACGGCAAAGTACTTGGTGTGAACGCGGCTATTATGGACAACTCTGTTTCTCACTTATCTCTTGACAGTTTTGGTAATGTTAACCCCTAGGTACCACTTAAACCAAGAAATTAGGTTTGGTAGTTCCAGTGAACCAACCACATAAAACGTATATTTTCACAACTGCTTTTCATCCAGCTAAATGCCGTTTCGATTATCAGGTTGTTATTTGTAACTTACTGCTTGCACAACAATTTTTAGCAGCTGAAGTACATACTGGCAGTTTTGGAATGGATAAGTTCTGTTGCTTTCTTACAGTTTAACATTTAGGGAAAATTTGCCTTCAGAAAGTGATGAATTTCGATGGAATGACCCGTTTGCAGTGGGCCTGGATGTGGCAGATATATTTGTACAGAAAATGTAATCATTATCCATTTGAGCGACTCTAAAAGAGCAGCCAGCCACCCACCACCCTGCTGTCCTCTGTCCAGCCTTTGAATACTCACGAGAGTGGCGTTCTTGGATCCCACGCTGGCTCTCTGTACCAGGAGCTTCTTGTCTCCCAGCTGCATGCCGTTCAGCCCAGCAATAGCCTGTAAAAAAAGAATCGTTTTAAATTAAAATTCCAAAAATCCAATCTTTAAGAGTCTCAAATAACTACAATACAATAATAATTAAGGTAGACTTTGGACCATGTCTAAGTGTGAAGTTGCCAGTAGCATGGGTTACCTGGTCATTAAGGTTGACATCAACATATTCACAAAACGCATATCCTTTAGATAAGCCTGTAGCACTGTCCTTCACCAGGTTGAAAGCCTTCAGGGGACCAAAGGACGTCAAGAGCTCCTTCACCTGAGACACAAAAGGAAGAGTTTACTCAAAGTATAATGTGTAGGAATTTTCTACTAAAATCTATGGTAAGGGTATTTAATATGGTTTGGGAATTGTGTCTGCAGCCATTTCACACTGAAATACTAACCTGGTCATCGTTCAAGTAGTTGGGCAAACCTCCAATGAAGAGCTTGTGGGCTGAGTCAGGAACAACTGTGGAAACGACACCTGAAGAACACACGATGGCAACAGTAAGAAATATCAAAAGGGAAGCACAGAGAGCACGCTCCCGTGAGGTATTGGTTACGGATTACTCATGAAATATGCCACAAGTACTTAGGGTTAAAAACCATTAATTGGCTGAGTACCAGGCACATAGACACTGGGGTTCTCGCTCATGCCGGGAAGAGGTTGATAATCATGTGGGCGACGGATCTTGAGACTCTGGCCTTGAAAGATGATGCCATCAAAGGCCATTGCCTGTGTAGTTTCGTCCACTGAACGGAACTACACAGAGACAAAATGAAGTGATTAAAGTCAAAATTGCAAGAAACACTCTGGAAGAACAAATGACATGTTAGGGGTATGATCATTTCACCTCAAGGAAGGCAAAGTTCTTATCCTGGTTGATCTGTACTGCAAGAACAGGGTTTCCAGGGGCCTGAGTAAGACCACCCAAACGCATCTGGGCATTGAAGAAGTCCATCATGGACTCCTACACAAAACAGAGACAGGGTTGGAAGGGGACACTTTTTTTCAATTTTGTGGTGAAATGATTACTAACTAAGTATTTACATTAAGAACTCTAACAGGCCTTTATTGGGTGACTTAAAAGCCAAATGTTGTCCTGTTCCTTACCTCTGTGATTCCAAAGGGGATGTTACCCACGTAGAGCCGGCGGGCCTGCCGGGTCATCTGGCTGCCCACTACAGGCACCGGGGTGGGGGTCACAGCCAGGCCATCTGGAGTCATGGTGGGCAGGAGGGCTGTGGCTGGGATCTGGCCTGCAGCTAGAGGGCAAAGCCAAAAGGAAGTATTATTATTTGTAACTCCCATCCCTAACCCTTTGGTAAGGTATGGATGAAATAACCAATGTAGTGCAACAACAAAATAAACGTTCAAACCTGAAACTAGCATGCCCATTGAAAAAAAAAAGAATCGAACACAAAAAGAAAACTAGGAGGCTTACCTTGCATGGCTTTGTACTGCATGGGAGTGATGTGTTCAAAACCCGGTGGAGGGACATCCCAGTACTTTTTAACCTTGTTCTTCTTCTTCGCCGGCACCTCACGGTGTGGAGAACGGCTGTTGGAAAACAATCAACATGTAACAGACGTCCCTCATTAGCTCAGCAGTAAACTAGCAGACCAGACGATGGGTCATGTCTTCTAAAAATATACAACAATATAACATCTAGTAACTCTTTTGGAGGTAAAGGGAAAATAAGCGACACAAATCCTCATCCAGGCAGATAGTTACACAATACAGAGAATCAGAGGCAGGTCATTAAATTGCAGTTGTTGCAATATTGCACAAACCGGCTTTGTGTTAGTTTGCTGTATTACCTTCCAGCATTGTCCACGGGGAAGCTGGCTGGTGAGCTGAAATGACATTGAAAATTAGAACCTGCATTTCTATGACCCTCTCCAAATACAAACGCTGTTACGAGCCTTTGGCGATCTGCATTAAAAGCGCAAAAATCCTCTGACGTTCAGATGTCAAGCCGGTGCATTCAGTGAGTCTCACACAAGATATGTAACACCATTCGTGAACAACTAATGATGCAATGAAAGCAGAAACTATATCCTCAGAAATACACAACAGCTGCAAATGTGAGGGCTCCCAACCGAGTGAACACCAGCAACTTGTTTTAAATTAGCACTAAGTGACGAGGAGCAACAGTGTGGCCAGAGGTCACACTCACAGCCAACACGTAGAGCGTTCACAAAAGTCTACATTAGAGAGAATGCATTCAAAGAGTTACTAAGGTAATCTATGGTTTCAAATGTCCTATTAACCTGCCTTACACAAACTCATTAACCAATCAATTTCTAACAATGACCAAAGATTTAAGCATTTTTTTTTTTACAAGATATGATTCTCAACACATCTAATCATTTCCAAAAGTTGCAGGTGTTGGGTGTCCAAAGGTGCGTTTTGCTGAGAATATACAGGATTGTCACATTGGTAGCTGGTAATCACCTTTTGGGCAGTGTTCTGGGAGGGACTTGCCCCTGTAGAAAAATGTTCCCACATCGAAGGTTCTAAACGGATTCTATCAAACAATACAGCTCCGGCTCCTCACAGGGCACTCTCACACTAACTGCATGCTGCATGTTTCCAAGACATGTACTGCCAGACCAGAATTCATGAATAAATTCTGTTAATAGCCTGTGCATTTTTGTATTCTAGGAAGGATCTGAAATTCTTCATGAAATCATTTATGACTTAGTCTTGATATGGTCTATATTAAATGATTACGTATATAAAAGAGGTTGCAGCAGCCCCTTATTGTGCATGCAAGAGATGTTCCATTAAGCTTGAGGCAAATTGCTCCAATGTCATAGGCAGCTGTGACAGAGAACGCAAAAATAACAACGCCAAAAATAGAGTACATGAAAGTCAATCCGCGAGTGAAATAATAAGAATATTTTATAGAATAAGTGCAGTTGATTTTCAGGAGAGACCAACTAGCTTATTTAAACTCAGTCTTAATGAATCACTGACCTACTTCTACATTTTACAGCCACAATTTGCTGTAGACAACTGTCAAGCTTAACAAGTGTGCACTGTTGCCCAGAATGGTATCTGTCAATGTTAATGAGACCAGGTCAACCCCCAAAACGCAAGCTGAGAGCAAGTGAAGGTGTTTAATCTCAACACATTGTGGACGTTTTTTTTCTGAAAATTCCAGGGTGCTTACAAACAAAACATTCTGTGAAGCAGCAAGAAATGTTACCAGCACACCAAATGTGCAACTCCTCATTCGTCTTTATACAATCCCTGTAAAGAAATTAGTCAAGTATTTCGAGCAACAAATATTTTATGATGAAACTAAATGTTAAATCTACTCTAAACAATTCGATCCAACTGGGAAATGTTTTTTTTTTTTTTTTTCAAATATTTAGATCTTTATGACCTCCTAGGGCATTTAAAAACAAATTAGTATCAGTAGGATATTTGTGGTGGTCATGTTTAAAAATCTCAAATTACAAAAACGTGGAGGTACATCACCAAGCACCCCTCCAATAACGTGTAGCCTTTAGACTTTTTTTGTTCTGGGTGTAGTTGTGAAAAAGGTACTCACCTGCGTCTGTGTCTGCGCTCCTCCTTACTTTCCCCACGGCGGTCCCTGCTGCGTCTATCCCTGTCTCTGCTCCTCCTTTTCCTCTCTCTGCTTCGGCTACGAGAGGAAGACCGGCGGTGGTGGCGGTTCTCTTTGTCCCTTTCAGCTGCAGGAATAAATTGAAAGTTTACTTGCAGAGTATGAATAAAATACAATACACAGCTAGTCAATGGTCCAATGAAATCTTAGCAATACTTAGATACTTATTTTCATAGCTTACCGGTCAAAGAGTCTGAGAATACATCACCTTAGATGAAAATTAGACAGGCAATGAGCAACACTGCTGAGTATGAATCTGTCCAACAACATCCTAGTTCACGTGGTAATAATAAAGTTGGATTATGGTATCAAGTACAGGAAAACAGCTTTCATGGTAGTGGTATGTTAAAAGTTACAATAGAATGCAGTGTATCCAGTTTAAATCCAGTGTCTGTTTAAAATCGGAAACACAAATGTATTATGACCTTTTGGTTCAAAGTGACACAATGTGTAATATGGCGAACTCGTAGGGTAGCGTTGTCCGATACCTAGGAGCAGTGTACTGAGTGTGTTTGCATATCTGGGTTAACGATATCAAATGTAAAATGAGGGTAGTGGAGTTACAGGCGGTGTGTTAGAAAGAGGAGGGCAATAGTACGGCAAATTGCACTAGAAATCTTCGCTGGACGCAACAGCTGCAAAGGATGAATGCTAGCCACCCGGACATCCAGTCAGCTGGTACAGGCAGTAGAGTACCAGGATATAGACTGCCCCAGGCTTAAAGAAACAAAGCCAGTTAACCTTAGAACAGACAATCCAGCTACCGTTATTCGGATTATAGATCGGCCTAACGTGTTCGACATCGTCAAACATGATCGAGAATAGTATCTGATGAGCAACAGTAAATGTAACAGTTACACCACATCTCAAATGGTTCGTGAGTGTGGGCTAATCATTTAGCTTAACGTTCCAGTAAATAGACAGGTCCATGGTTAGCTTAAACGATAGTGGCGATTACAATCAAACGGACCACTACCATTTCCGATGTCTGATGTGCAATTGGTTTATTTACCTTGTTTGTTTTCAGACAGCTGCCTTTCAAATTCGTCGAAGTCCGACATCTCTGTGAGTTGAAGGCTGATGCGCTTTCGGCGACTGCGTTGTTCAGTTAGCGGTGGCTAGCTTAAGCTAGCAACAAAGTGAACAACACTATAAAAGCAAGCGCCTCGCTGAGGTAGCTAACGTAAATGTGCTTTAACGAGCAGCCTACGTAACAATACAACTACCAAAACAAGTTACCAAGCACACGCATAAGCTGTGTGGTATTTATTTACAACGTAACAGACAGAATCATTGAGAAAGAAAACGTGCTCGCATGGGTTAGCCTGCTAACGTTAGCTAACTAGCTTGTAGCAAAGTCCAGAAGAATAGGCCTGCTCGTGTGGAGCTCGTTAGCTAGGACGAAACACGAATGAATGATTATTTTTCAAGCCAGATGCAAAGTCCAGAGGGGGAACTGGTCCACAAGCCGCGGTTGTTTGACTATATGAGTCAAATGTTGCCCATTTAAATGTTGAAAACAAAAACGCTTTCGGTATGCCCGCTTTTTTGCTCCGTCTCCCAGGCACTCCGTGACACCGGAAGTTGATGAATTACAGGTTTCCGGTTAGTGAAAAAGACCCCATCCTTTAACGCATGGATGTATTATAAGAACACAGAAGATAAGTGAACATTTTCCCTTTTTACATCTACGTTAGGTTTCATCACAGTCCGCTCAAGATATGTTATTTAAAGTGGAATAAATGTTTATTTTGCATTTAAACCCGTAACCTTGGATCGGGCGTCTGAAACAAATTATGTAATACAATCATTTCCATTGCTGTTTATCAGATTTATTGACATTACTATTATTAACGCAAACTCGGTTTATAAAATGTTAGGAATATATTCTCAACTCCTCATATTTTATAACAATTGTTGCCAGAAGTATTTTTCTGTCAAAAAACGAATATGCACCAAATAATGGTGGACTACAGTCAGTACATTTTTACTTCTTTCTCTTTCTAATATGATTTGTTCTCCTCCTTTACAACAGGATAAATGGAAAGGAACAGAAAAACAAAATAACTCCCCAATTCAAACTCAGTTGCTGTTCAGGAAAGAAAAGTGACCCAAAAGTGTTGCATGTCTTAAATCATGAAATCCCATTAAGGCAATAGAAAATGGTTGAAGATATAATTTCAACACCAAAAATAATAAAGCACAGACACAAAGAGCAATATTAACAAAAGGAAAATATGACATCTTAAAAATACAGTATAAATTATAATAATTTATCCCTACAAAATCTATTGAGTGCAGCATTGTTTTAACATAAACAGACATTGTGAATCAAATCTACACTATTTTAAGGATTGTGCACACAAATAAAGTGATACAAATTACAAGGCTCATACATCTTTTAGACTATCAGGAGCTCAAATGATCTCTAGACAATAAATTATTCGTCTACCGGCCACAAACTGATCCAGATGTTCAGTGAATAAAGGTCAGTGTCTTGGCAAATGTTGAGGCTAAAACATTAACAAGCTAAGTTGGTTACACATTTAAGTACTGAAGGAAAGAAATCCCCTTTATTATCCCAATAGTTAAGACACCTTTCTGTTCACACATAAACCATTGTAAACCGTATATTGGAAAGGACAGTTATCATACGGTGTACATTTGCTTCTCTATGATAATGAAAAACACTGACATAATTTAGTGTGTGTGTTTGTACTGACAGGAACTGGCTGACTGCGCTGTTGTGCGCCTGCATTATGTGCAAACTGTTAATATTAGTATTATAAAGTTCATAGCAGAATCATTGTATGCTGAGATAGCAAACATAATTCCTCCTGCCTCTGGGCATCTCCAAGCGCGGAGGTGAGCTGGCCTGCTGCAGCAGAACCTAACTGCCTATTCTCTCCAAACTTGCCATGTTTTCTAGAAAGATTTCCCGTTCTGCTGTCTTTCTCTCATCAGTGTCTAAACCTGTAGGAGATAGGCAGGAGCAGGTTATTCTTCTTCAGGGCCTGCACCCTGCTAAGTGTCTCCTCATCCAGGGAAGTGTAGCAGCGCCGGGCATAGTCCAGAAGCTTCTCCTTGGATGGGTCAAACTCGCCCAGCTCTGCCACCTTCTCTGGGGCCACAAGTAGCATCTCAGCAATGGGTGTAGTGGAAGCCACTGTGTTGCGGTCCACACCATGGATTTGGAAGGCTTTCGACATGTTTTTCAGACGCTGGTATGTAAGCAGGATCTTCTTGTAGCGAAACAGCACTCCAGCAGCATCTTTCACTGAAGAACAACAATGTAAAAGAGAGAGTGAGCAACAACAGTTGACAGTCTGTCGTTAAGTAATGATTTTTGATGCAGGATGTTTCTCCTTCTTTTACCTCTCTGCCGCTCTCTTGGGGCTCGGAAGACCCGCCTTCTCTTAAATAGGTGTCCTTTGTTGTTAATGGTACCTTGCATTAAATCTTCCCCTGATATCATTTCCTCCTCGTCGAGGTACCCATCCTGCTCCAAGTACTCATCAGATTCTCCCAAGAGTGAAATTGAATCTGATGAGAACATTAAAAAACATTCTTTAGCAAAATTCCAAAGATAAAAGCCACAAGCAACATCTCTATAGATCGATCAAGTGTATGAGAAGCAGTTGTATTACCTGGACCTAAGTTACTATGTCCACTCATTTCATTCATGGGTGACCTTGCAGCACTGATACTGTTGCCGCTGCTGCCACTGGCTGTGGCATTGGGAGTACTGTGGCTATGGCCCTGCAAGAGGGCCTGGGACTGGGTAGAGTTGAACAAAGCATTTAAAGAGACGAGCTGATTGGTTAGTTGACTGGAGACAGGGTTTTTGGAAGGTACCATGGTTGGAGGACCAGGCCTTCGTTGTATAAACTGCCGTGAGGGGAAATGCTGAGACTCTTGAGGCTTCTGTTGCTCTATGAAAAAAAAGGAGTAGTAATGATTGAAAATGTGCAATTTGCAAACATATGTAATACATTCACATCAGTGTTTTAATTTTTTACTAAGAAATTAAATAAATATTTTTTTTACCAACACGGCGATCTTCCTCTCTTCTTACTCTCCAGTTGAATCGTCTGGATTCATAACCTAAAGTGAGACAAATACCAAAAGCTGAGATTTAGCTTTTCTTCCTTAGAGACTAGCCATCCAAAAGTTGCATCTCACACCTATCCCTGTTCTCACCGTTACTGTACTGGCTCTGACTCTGCTCCTGGCTCTTTGTGGAAAATATAAAGCGGTCCAGCTGGCAACGGAGGAAGTCCCTCTCCTCTTCCAAGTCCTCAATTCTTTTCTGCATCCAGGAGTTTTTCTCTAGAGAGATCTGTAGCTGGGTCCGCAGGTTGGTGATCACCATGTATAAGTTGTTTACTTGGGATGGGCCAGCAGATGGGGGTGACTCTGAGGAGGACAGACAGGATTGTTTAGGAAATACTGTAACAGGAATCTTTGTGTAAAGCTTAAAAATATCTTACAGATAAAAGGGAATTTTATAATAGGGATTCTGACATTTACCATCAAAAGTCTGTTCACTCTGATTGAAAAATCCTTGCTGCTCAAAGGAGTTTTCTTCATAGGGGATGACAATTTCATAGGTTTCTTCATTTTTTGGAGCTGAACAAGAGGAATTATGCACAATATATAAATGCATGACTTAAAAGTAGAACATCTAATATTATTTGCAGTTTTTAAAACCTTACTCTGCAGGTGGAGAGAGCCTGCATGGCTTTTAGATGTGGAGGCAGCATCAGTCCTGTTTCCGTCCTCCATCTCAAACAACAGACAACGCGAAATATGTTTGATTAGTTTATGGCTTTAAAAGAAATGTCACCGCTTAATAACTCACTGGGACATTTCACACTTATGCACCGAACACATGACATCGTTGCATTAATATAGTGCTTAAGGTCAATGTTTTTATAAATAGGTACAATTGACCAGCTTTCATTACGGGTTCTGTCGTTGTCAAGCAAGAATAGATATCCAGCAAACCAAAGCTAATTTTCTGGTCATGTACGCTTATACGGACACCTTAAAACGGAATGTATTACACACATGTGAGTTTGTAGTGGTCAGATTGTGCTCTCACAATATGGAAGCGAGTTGACGTTACACTTAGCTCCCAGCAACGTTAGCCTGGATGAACGTTAGCAAGAATTTAGCTCCGAAAATAAAAATACAATAAACATCCTTTCTGCACACTTTAGTGTTTCATTCCGTTATTTAGACATTACTACAATCGCAATGCTACCGATATAATGTGCAGGAATTGGTACATACCACTTTACGTTTGTAATAACTGTATCGTGCACTTGTAATAGGACGTTATTACTCTGTCATATCACCATTCACCAGTTCGCCTGCTAGCTAACAAGCTAACAATAACTATTATCGCTCTTTTATTTTTTCAACAAATGCGTCATTTCCGGATGTAACAAAATGAATGACCTTTCTTTACAAACGCTTTAAATACATAAAGAGGCTTTGTTATTAAAGTCAGCGCCATATAGATAGATCTCTATATGGCGCTGATTAAAGTTAATTATTGCTTATGGCAGTATTTACATCAACTTAAATCATTTAGAGATAAAATATGAATAATAATTTTGTGTGCAGTGAAATTACATATTCGGGTGCAATTTGCTGATGTAATTATTATTTAAATGTAACATTATTTGTATTTTTAGTTGAAGCAGAAAGTTTACAAACTATATTGAAAGAAATGCATTATCAGTAGTAGGCTCAATGGAAAACACAATGTAAACAAAGTTAAGCCTGAAGACAATACATATCATACAACAATAGCCTAATTATAATAATACAAAAGTGAGTTGCAGTTCAGTGCTAGTTACCTCAAAGTAAAAACGTCAATAAGACTTGAGAAAGGACAAGATGTGGACTAGCATGTTGTCCTTTAAGCCTCGACAGGTAGACAGGTGGAGCAGGTGGAGCAGGTGGAGCAGCTGACGCAGTGTCAGGTTTCATTATTTACTGTGGCTTTTCTAGAGACGATCCGGATATGTTCTAAACGGACGAATTCAATCGTAATCGCGTTTGAATCTCATATAGGCCTACTCAGCAAACAGGTAAAGTAACTTTAAGCTTGAGATTTAGTTTGCCGTAAAAATGTGCGTACTCCCATAGTTCGCTGTTGTGAAGTTCTCCTGCATACAAAAGAAGTCCGTTGAAACAAGCCTGCAGAACAGGTGTGGCACCTGTTCTGCAGGGCCGGGTTAACATGTAAGAAACAGAAGGCAGTATTGTACAAATTAAATGTACTTTTTCAGGTTGCTGCGTTAGTTAAAAAATTGTGGGAACACGATAAAGTTTGAAGGTTGGGTCAGAATTCCTTGATATGTAGTCTAAATCTACTAAACACAAATTACATGGCATTTTTGTTAATAGTGACAATCCACTATTTACTTGATTGATTAATACAAAGTCAAACATTGAGATATTACTATTATTAAAGGTAGGGTAGGTAAGTTTGAGAAACCGGCTCGAGCATAGGCGGAGTTTGACATTTGCGCTTGGGGGGGGCACACTTTTTTACTGACGTCAGTACACAGTCCCAACTATTGCGTGTGGTGCTACGGATACAGTAGCAATAAAGCCAGCGCTCACCGCACTGAGTATGACTTCTTCATGCCCGCCGTACACACACACTCATATGGAAGGGGCGGTCTCTCCCCCCAACAACAGTGCATTACATAACTGTAAAACTTATCATAACTGTGCACATCTTATACTTATTTGATAACTACTATATCCCTTGGTTACTTGAACACGCTACAATATTATTAACCAGTGTCCTACCTTATTAAAATATTGATATACGAAATATTTGTATTGGAACAGTTTTCGACGTAGTAATGCTGTAACATATTTCAGCCCCCGCAAAATGCGCCTATGGGCTCGAGATACACTTTTTGTTATATTCCATGGAATGCTCTTAACATCCCGATAGCAATGAATATCTTAAGTGCTTTGACAAAAAATCCATAAAAAAATGTCATCTGTGGAAGCCGTAATACTGTAAAAAGTACGACCAATCATCATACGACCAATCCGGTTTCTCAAACTTACCTACCCTACCTTTAAGCAGGCACAGCCACAAAAAAAATGTAACCTCTCAAAACATGAAACTGCAAAAGATTTACAGCATTTAGAGTTTATATCAAATTACCATAAATAAAAAAATGCATGCATGTAAATGCATACATTACAGGTGTACTGTGTATTCTACAAAATGTGGTCTGCTGTTTGATTCGTGAACGTTTTTGTTGCCACTGTTTTTAATCAAGGGCCACCCTGTATGTCAAACAACCTTTTAAAGAGTTTATAGCATTTATCATGAAAATTATTTTATCATTGCTTTATGTTAATCAAAAACATGTTATCAAAATATCATTGACAATAATAATTTTGTTTCTAGGTAATCAATTGGTAAATTCCATGAATAATGTTATAGTATGCCTCTGAACTGTCAACATCACCCCCTCTCTTTTTCCGTGCAGCCATGGCACCAAAATATGACGGCTTGTCCCACTGTAAACTGGCCCTGGTGTTCGCAGTGCTCATGGACCTGCTGGGTGTGATATCCCTGCTGCTGGGGGTCTTCGCCCCACTGGAGATCCAAGGTCGAGACTTTGGGGATCTGCTGGTGTACACAGGGGCCCTGCTGGTGCTCTTTTCCCTGGCAGGCTGGGTCATGTGGTACAGCGGCAACATTGAGGGTCTGACCTCCAGAAAGGAGTTGGGGAGCTCAGTTGGTGGAGCTATGGACCGCCTCGCACGGTCCCTGAGCCGCAGGATACGGATCCCCAGGACTCGCAGCAGCCCAACTTAGGAAGCGGAGCCCAAAGATACCAACAGACTGACTGACTGACTGTTACAAAGAGGGCTGTCCCTCACCAGGCAGCAGGCCAAGCTGCCTGAGGCAAAGGAGTGCCACTGCTGTTTGTGGCTCTCTTCACAAACACGCCTCTTGTGATAACAAACACCTTGTTCACATGACAAAAAAACTGTAATTCGTATCCTCTCTTCTTGAATGGAATGTATATCGTGGACTTCCCTGCTGGCTGTAATATAAAAGATTCATCTTCTCTATTTATTTTGTTGATTTCCTCTGAGGTTGTTCATTCACCCTTTGAGCTCACTTTTAGATGCTGCACCAGTTTATAGCAAAACAACCCAGAATAAAAGTTACTCCATTAACCATTGAAGGCCTTTTTTTTATATGACAATAATCATGATTGCACACAGTTGAGTCAGAAGGAATACTCTAGCCTTATTTTTCTTTCCAAGAAAGACAAGGAGATGCTTAGACATCAACATTACGGCACAAACTCGTGATTGCACATAAATACTGCATAGGACACCTGTAAGAATAATCTACCTTATTTTACAAAATACTGAAATCAAATTTAAACAGAAAACAAATAAAGACATTTGAATACATAAGTCATAGTACTCGTTGGGAAAATAAATAATTTCTAAGACAAGCGCTGTAATTGTTCAATTAGAATACTTGATAACACATACAGACATTTAGAATGTGCAGTTGTTTGTTAATGCACAATAAAATACAAGGAGGGGTTGAAATTTGAAAAGAAAAGCCAAAAAACAAATCACAATCAAAGAAGTTGTACACCATATGCAAAACAGCCTCCAGAGATAAGTGTCTGATTGTCTTATGCTGAGAGAAGATCAATACCTGATTCCAGTTAACACGAGAGCAGCCACCTTGTTAAGTTTAACTTTATGATCCATATATGTAGGATATATACATATATGCAGATGTGAATGACAGCTCAGCATGGCAGGCAAATGGATGAAAGCTATTCGTCAGGGAAACACAACGTATTGTTAGTGCAAATGTAAAAATCAGCTATTAATCAGGAAGCTGAATTACTGACCAGTTTGACGGGCATTTTATAAAATCAGAGAAGACACACATAAGGCTTCAACACTCATCAGAATAATCCAGTCAAAAGATAGATGTACAACATGAATGAGGTAAACAAGGATGAAACAGCATCAATCATATATAAATATTTTCTAGAGGATGTTTACATTGCTGCCTCATTGAGACGATGGTTCATTCAGTTCCATGAAAGCACCATTTTCAATGATCTCTCTAGCTTTGCTGGTGTACAGTAAGTGTCTTCTCCGTCCATATCTCATCGCAAAAGGGCAGCACTTTGAGATGATCAGTGTCAGAGGGCAGGGCTGGGCACAGAGGGGGTGGGATTCTGCCAGATGATCATCTGACTGCGTTCAGACCGCTGAGGTGTAGTTTTGGGCAAATCTTCCGATTCCTCACTTGCATCGTCCCCTGTAAAAGTTGACAGCTCAGGTAGGTATTACATAAAGTAAACACTGACTAAACTGTAAATAAAGGACACTTCAATTAACACTTATCCCCCCAATTTTTTTTTTCATGTTTATATCAATATATTAACCCTTTGTTACGCTTGAATATGTGAAGAAAACTGAGATTTTCTCTAATGCCTCCATAATTCTGTATACACTTCTCACATTGAAGAAGCTGGCACCTGCTCAGGTGGGAGACTGTTTGTGTGAAAGTGTTTTATTTGGCAAGGTCTTAGCGCAAAGTTGTTAGGGAAGTAGATACAATTGGATAAATGAGACCTGGATTATACTGCACGACTTGTGAGAATTTATTGATTTGATACAGTTTTGTGGAAACTAAACACATCATATGTAATTAATTTAATCAAGAATTTTCTAATTTATTGTTTTTTTTGTTCACAGTTGAGGCATGAAAGAAAAGTTTTATTTATTTTATTTTGAATAATCATCTGGTCATTCCATTAATAAACTCACCAAGGCGGAAGTTGATGTGGCCCTCTCCTCCGCTGATGATAAGCTGAGAGTTTGTGATGGTGGTGCTGCCAGGAGGGATGATCAGACAACCTGCGGGGCAAAGACGTCATTACAACACCCTGAATATATATGTTGTAGAAAAATGTGTTGGAGACTAATCTTACTTGGTGCAGCAATGATGAACCTGACAGCTTGTCTATGTCCATGGTAACACAGCTGGGCTGATGAAATGGAGCAATATGGGATGGAAACTGCTTCTGATGCTGTAGACAGGCATTGATATAGTTACTACTCAATGAAGCACATTTCTGACAATTAGAAATAAAGAACTATACTCTTAAATCTAAATAAAACGTACTTATTGATAATGGGATGGTGAAAATGGCACCACCTCCTGTGCCCACCCACAGGCGGCCAGAGATGACAGCGAGAGACGAGATCTGGAGAGGTGAGAGGGTCAGGAAGGCTTGGCCTGCAGAGGGAGACAGAAGCATGTGAGCTGCAGGGACAACACAAAGCTGCCTGACACAAAACAAAAAATAAATGTAGGCATGAACACATTATAAATATAGTATTGTGGTCCATTGAGTCAGGTTTATTTTCTAATCATTTCTCTTTCCAGAATGTTTAGCAAGTTGAGTTTTTGTTAGTTTGATGCTGAACTCCTGTGACACACCTACAGAAGAATGTGCGCATACTCTTAAAGATGCTGATAAAATAAATTATTATTTTAAAAACTTTAAAAAATGTGAAGGAAATGTTCACAAATACCACTACTTTCCAGCTCAGGACTAACATACGTGTGAGCATTGCTGTTATGATCTAAAACTGTGTTTGCTAACATATAAGAAATAAATCCATTATGCTAAAACATACTGCAATATTCTATATTCCAGGACAGTACATGCATTATATTTAAATGTATGTGTAAGAAAAGAAAAAGTACAGTTTTAGCACCTAAAGTTTTAGCGACCAAAGCAGTAAACTCGACTTCCTGTAGCGGCCGTCCTGTGGACCAATCAAACAGTCTGAGGATCGGGTCGAGTCTGCAGGATGTCCAAACACCACTTCCCCCGGCACACAGGAAACGGACCTGCTGCTCGCTGCGTTCAGAGACCGAGAATGTCTGCTGTGGGTCAGATAAGAAATAATGATGGTGAGTTCAAAGACAGGCGTGAATATAAGACACAGACAATGTAGGTACCACCACAGGTTCTTACCTCAACCTTCTTGCTGTCAACGTCCACCACATGGATTTTGTTCCAATATCCTACCCACAAGCGGCCACTTTTTTCAAGGCAACAGCGAATGGGCTGCAGCGGATTTGATCCGAGAGGCAGCACCGAGTGAGACTGTAGATTCCAGCCATCTACATCATAACAGCAGTCATTGCTTCATTAGTAACATCACTAAGAATCAAGTTGCCAAGTTGTTTTAATTAAAAGAATTAAAGGATAGATGAACTGAAGCAGTCAGATTTTTACTATAAAATATTACCTGAACTGTGTGAGAAAAATGCTAAAGTCCCATCGGCCAAACCAGCGATGACTTTACCCTGAGAATACCTGGCAGATGAGGAGGCCACAAATTCACTTATTATTTATGTAGATTTTTCAGAACATATTTCAAATTTGAGATCAAATAGTTAGATGTTGATAATGTAAATCATTCTTTTTCAATTCCAAATGTCAACATCTATGCTATTGACTAGGTCTGCTATTATGTTACCAAACAATAGCTAGAACTGAACGGCTGAAGTTCATACAAATCAATTAACACCAATTTTAACCTAGACAAGTTAAATGTACAGAATTGTATTCAAGCCGCAATGCTATAACATTGCAATATCATCCGGTGTTTGTCATGTTATTGTAAATAAATATACACTTTTAACCCTTATAATAGCAGAAAGGATGTTTATACAGGTATATATATTTCAAATCTAAAATTGTACATAAAGAAAACGAATGGTGGTATTCGTCTGTAAATAGAAATGTATTTTTCCATTCCTATCCACGCTTAGAAATAAATAAAATCCCGCTCATTTTACATATACATTTAGATATTGCTGGGATTTTAGTTAATATAATAACACATATACATCACACACAGTGCAGAGAGAACTCACGTGAGCGAATGGACTCCCTCTGAGAGAGAGACAGAGTGCAGACAGAGCCTCCTGCCAGCAGAGGCTGAGTGTACTAGTATACTGCGAGACACACATGGGGAGGAAGAGGAGGGGGAATAAAGAAAGGGTGAAAGTGTTGCCATTATTCATTTGACTCAAGAGAGAGAGTTTAATTCATTGAAGCAAGCTGTTTTTCCAGCATACATTACCTTCCTTCCTGAGTTCCAATCCACACAGTTCCTGCAGTGTCCCCTGACATAACAAACCCAGAAGGAAAAAGGAAGTTAGTAAGCAGTGTTCATTTCCAAGAGTTTCCAGTGAGGTATGAGGGGAAAGTACAAGAACAGAAAACATTAGATAAGGTGTCTGCAGGCGGCTGCTGCAGCGTGCAGTACAGGCACTGACCTATGGGCGGCACAGCACAGATGCAGAGGGCAGGAGCTGTGGGGGCGAGGCTGAACTGATCCAGTACTGTGTTGGAGCGTGCAGGATCAATCACTGTAATGTCACTGCAGGAGGCAGGGCCAGAAACTACCCACACAGAACACTGGCAGAGAAGGATGTGCAGTTTGGAAACATGAGCGGCATGGGCATGTGTTAGTTATGCTTGGATGGCATTATACATAGTGATTAGAGTATGACTACTTATTTGAGCAGGATAATGAGAGACTTACTGTGGCCTCTCCTGAGATCTCAGGTGCGACTGCAACCGCATAGTTCATCTGAAGAGAAAAACAAGTCAGGAACCAAGTTTAAAAGCACAGAAAGTGTGATGTAAAGGCTGCTAGGTTCTTTAGTTGAAGAGTTTCACTTTAATAGATCTACCTTAGCTGTGGAGTCTCTTTGATCCAGCAGTCGGAGCTGAATTAGAACAGGCACATCTTTAGGCTCCGGGACAGGCTCATGGGATTCCTGAAATCAAGACAGATAATAAAATGTTTATGTCTGGAATATTTGGTAAGGAAGGCAATATCTTTTTCTTTGGTTTAGTTCAAACTAAAGCTCTATGGTAACAAAACACACAATTCTGACTCATAAAAGCCAGATGAGCTTCAGTCCCATTTCTAATGCTGTATTCTTTACAGGTTTTGTAAAGTGTTTTAGGAGGACAAATTTAAGATATCTCAGTTCTCTCTGGTGTGAGGCGCCAGGTGACGTCAAACAAATATGACGAAAGGATTGTTTTATTTAAAATATTTAAATGTTTTTGGTTTACATGAGTGATTGTGTAGATGAAACACCTGGTAAAGTAAAGGTCAAATGTACTATTTTCCAAACTTTCAGGACTTAGAACGTAGAACGCCGCGTCTACATTTCCCCTCAGATTGCTGCCTGTCTGTTTATATCTGTATGATGTTGTATTACCTGTGTGTTTGCCAGCGGCGTGCTCCAGCCGTGAATCTGCCGTTTTCCAAGTGATCCCCAAAGGTAGGAGCGGATTTCCTTGTAGATTTCTCTCCTCCTGACACGAGGGGAGAGAGCAGCAGGAGAAGAAGATCTAGAGAGAATGCTTCTACTTTAAATCAGCTTCATTGAGCATTTTATATTAATGATTAAATTTGATTTGCAAGTAGAAAAGCATATGGAAGAGTGGCGTGGTGAAACACAGGCTTACTCAGCACGAGTTTGACCCACAGCCGGTAGTTGTGGAGACCCCAGAGCATAGCGAGTTAGGGATGGAGAAGTCGGCCGGGCAAATGAAGGAGCAGGTGGGGGGATTAAGGGTCCCTTGGTGAGGCCAAAAAAGCGGTTGAACCTTTAATAAAATAACAAACAATTACAAATATTGTATAAATGCCAGTAAACGTCTGGCTACAGCATGTTATCAAAAATGTAATTTTATAGCACACTTGTTTATTTCAATTGCCTAGTGTATTGTCCACGTAATGTCAAGTGGTTTTACGAACATATTGATTGGTAATCGAAAAAACAGCAAAGATTCCGCCCTCTCAGGCAGGTAAAGCTCAGCTAACATTGCTACCACACATTACCTATCCAGAATTGTTACGGATGCTTTACAGAAAATAAAGAAAAGCTATGAAACTCCAGCGTATTCAGGTACTTCTAACCAAGTGCTTCCCGAAATGGTGATATTGGTGACTATTTAAGAAACTGCAGTATATCCCCACTGCATTTCTTAATCATGTATTTTTTTGCATATTGATTACAGGTTGCCGTATACAGAGAAAATCAAGGTAACCTGGCAAACATCACATCTTGGCATTCCCTACTGTTTTAGGGTAACTAGAATTGAATAACACGAGACAGCTTCCTGTCTGCGCAATCTTCTGTTTAAAGTGAGGACATGCACTTCACTTCTGTTTTAACAGAATAAATAAATTCTGTTTCAGAATAAGGTTAATTGTTATGATAAACACTTACTTTTTCCAAACACTTTTGTTGTCTGTCAACCTCTCATCATTTATTGCTCTATAAGAAAGGAAAAACACAATTATTTGTGGTTTTATCAAAATTGTAAATGATCTATTGTAACATTACTTTAAAAATAAACTTTGAATCTTAAGTTACCTGAGTGTCTGACTCTTTCTCACAGCCTCCTGCAGCTCTAACAGACGCTGCTTGTATTGGTTTTTCTCCATGACCACACGAGCCATTTCAGAACGAGAGAAGGGGCGCATGGACGCGGGTAGAGAGGCCTGATTGGAAAGATTGAAGCTATTATATCAGGTATAAACCTTATTTCGTACATGATAATAAACATTGAGCAGCTACTGGATTATTAAAAAATAACAAATAGATAGAAAAAAACCGATGTCTCCTTACATCAGGATCCTCAGATTGGCATGTTTCCAGTTCTTTCCGAATTCTAAGAATGGATAAAATAACACAAAACAATGAAATCTAATATTTAAAAGAGGCAAGGACTTAACAATCCACATTAACATTTAAAAACATTTCACACCTCTTTGTTTCCTCCTCCTTCTCCTTCATCCGCCCCTCCAATCGAGAGGCAGTTTCCTGCAGAGACGTCACCTCCAGTGTAAGAGCTGAGCGGTCGTCAGTCAGCTCCACTACCCGAGATATCAAAGCCTTACGGGCAGCTTCTACTAACTCACTGAAAAACAAAGAAAAAACAAAGAAAAAACAAAGCGAAGATGAATAATTTAAGAATATGAAGAGTGAAACATTTCAACACATTTGTGAAATTCTCTCTCCTTAGTGATCTGTTTGTACTGAAGCAATTAAACACAAGTGTTTGGAAAATCCCTTGCACAGAGGACAAGTCATTACACGGCCAGAGAAAGTAATTATAGGACTCACTGGGTGACTTTCAGTTCCTCATACTGACAAAGAATCTCCTCAAACTGGTCTGCACTGCCTACACAGAAAGAAAATACAAAATTAAGTTTGAACACACAGAGAATACTTAGAGAAATAAATGTATTTATGTCTGGTATTTCCGTTTACTCTTAATTTACTCATATTCATATACAAATACATGGAAGGGTGCAAAAAAACCACCTTCCTAGAAAAAGGAAGTATGTCCTTTGAAACTTACAGCAAGAAACCGTTTTCACTTATGTACTTGCACTTCATGTAAATAGGGTATAAATAGATTCTGACAACTTGCAGATATTTCTAAAAAACAACCTTATGTACTGTAAGCTTGTCTGTGATGGATTATTGTATGCGTTCATGCTACACAGAGCACAACATAGGATTTGGGTTAAATGTTTTGTCAAGACAAACAGAATGTAACATGAACTATGTTTGAGAAAAGGGTCTCTAAATGTGTGTTTTACCTCTGACACTGGCCCCTCGGTCTACACTCTCCACATAGTCTCGACTCAGCTCCGACAGCTCAGAGAACACAGAGTCAGTGTTGCGCAGATCCCACTCCATACTATCATCTTCCTCCTCTTCCTCCTCCACCTCCTCTTCTTGCTTGTCCTTGTCCTTTTCCTTTCCTTCTCCTCCCTTCTCCTCTTCTACTTTGCACTCCTTCTCCTCCACCTGCCTCATCTCTTCCTCCACGCTGGTCTCCAACTCGTCTCCCTCTTTGCTGTTCGGTCTGACCGGGGTGCTGATGAAGATGCAAATGAAAGAGTATGGAATGTGAGAAAGGTTTGTGAATCGTTGATGTGATGCTCTGTGTAAACATGAGCTAAAGTGAGCTTGGTTTTTGTTCACACATACTTTTGACTAAAATCTCCAACTGACATACAATAGTTGTATTACCTTGCATCCCCACTGCCATGAAAGTGCCTGAGCTCTGGAGTGGAGCTGATGATGTCATTGATAAACTGATCTGGGGCGGGCTTTCCTGAGATGTCAATCGCATTTTCTTTTTTGGGAACTACATCTTCCAAACAGGGGGGACCAGAAAGTGAATGGGGTCTTTGAATCAACTGCAATAGAAAAGATGGAAATTAACAGCTACTTCTCCACAAAAGCAGTGTATTACAATTTATATATTATGTAGTTAAAATGTGTAAAGTGAGAATATGTTTACCTTGTCATTCACACTGGCTTCTGATGAGACTTGATTGGATGAAAATTCAGCATTCTTCAGACGAACATGATTCCTAAAAGCAACATGCAGTGTCACAGAGTCAAGAAAAGTCCTATCAGTCACTATCAATCTTTGCTTCATTCTTACAATTTGCACCACTTTCTGGCAGCTCCTCGAGGGCAAACACTGATATTATATTTAAATAAAAAACATAAAAGACTAGTTTACCAACAAAAAAACATGGGAAATCGACTAATTTGTAAAAAAGTTTAACTGAAAAACAAAACCTAATTTAGATTTGCAAAATGGTCACAAACTGCCGTTTCTCAGTACATCTACATCTTGGTAAAGGTAAACAGAGATACTGCTTCACTACTGCTCTGTTGTGCAACTGTCAAGGTAAAGTTCAGAAAGTGATGTCTTTGTATTAGGTTGTTAGTTTGGCCTTCAATAAGCTGCTGTCATGGAATACTTTGAGCCTTGCTGTGAGACACTATCAACAGTAACGTGCTTAACAAGAACAACCTTAAAGGAGAATCTCTCTCAGAATCCTTTCTCTTTTCCAAAAGGTCCCGATATGTGTGAGCCAGCTAAAACAGAAAACATCAGTAACATGTAAGAAACAAAGAAATGACAACAAAAACCAAATATTAGAGAAGAGTGTTCTGAGTACCAAAGGACCATTTGTGTGTTGCCTTACATTATTTAAACAAATGTTGATATACAAATGATCATTTTGGGGTATTCCTTTTAGAAGTTATTTCGGGGTAATAAAAGAGACTGAACAGCAGTATCTGACTGACCTTGTTGTGAGTATTCCTCAAAGTGTTCAATTCTCTATTCAGATTTGCCTTTTGCTCCTCCAGGGCCACCACTGGAAGACATAACAAGCAGCTTCAGAGTGACTATCTACTGATTCAGTAACACCGAAAGGTTTGAAGTATAAATTCTTCTTGTCATGAAATAAACAAAACATTTACATTTAAAATACATGGTCCTTATAACATTTCTAACTTTTAATTGTTTTATATTACATTTTTCACTTACACTGATCGGCTTGCCCTCTTGCTTTCTTCTCTAGCTCTCTCTCTCGCCGCTCTCTCTCCTTTTCCCTCCCCCTTATGGCTCTCCTCTCTTGCTCAAATTGGTCATCCAACTCCAGGTACCTCTAAAGAAAATTAAATGCTTTTAAAGCTCTGAGCACAGACAACCTCTTATTTTCAAAGCTTATAAAAAAAGAAATTGTAATTATCGTTTACATTAAAACTTTCAAATCTCCCATCAGTCCTCACCTCTTGACTTTCTTTCCTGAGTGCTTTCTCTACTTGGTATCTGTCCAGCAGCTCTTCTCTCTCAGCCTTCTCCCTCTCCGCCTCCTCCTCCCGGTCTCTCAGCTGGGCTTTGCAGCCGGCCAGCCCCTCCAGGACCCACACAAATATGGGGACCAGCGACTCCACCACACCTTCTCCATGGGTCTCAATAACCGTCTGTGATGGGGCAAAGCAGCAGAGAGGTAAACCATTGAAACATTTCAATTTTTTTCCTTAGAGAATGGGCCTTATTTACCACTTACTTATATTGAGATAATGTGTTTTTTTTCTTAAATTGGTTCTTAAGGGATAAAGGTCTGTCTGAATTATGACCAGCTGCAGATTAGTTGGCCAGTTGATCCTAATAAGCATTTTACTCCAGCCAAAGGCCATAAAAGGGCTATGCGCACGTCCAAAAAGTTGTCAAAAACGCTTAACCAAACAACTAAAATAGACAGCAAATGTAAAATAATCCAGTAGTTTTGAATTTGAGGTACCCCAGCATGAAGTGCATCAAAGGTTGCATCCATATTAGGTAGCGTATATCATTATCTTACCCAAGAAGAACTGCAAAATAAGAAATAAATGGTCAATGTCAACATCTGTGTGAGTAAATGGGTTTAAAAAAGAAACGTGTTTAAAATAACGGTTGGTAAATGAGGCCCATTTTTGGTTTAGAAAGGAGAAAAAAAGCGTTGTAGCTGCTTTACCTGTAGCTCTGAATACAGTTTTCCTGCCTCTTCACTCACAATGTTGGGGTCCAGCTCCACCTCCCCTGACCCGCACAGCACTCTCTCACTGTACTCCATCAGACTATTAGTTTAATCTGCCTGAATTACCTGCCCAAACGGTTCCCCCCCCTCAACAGGAGGTAAATTATTTTAGAAGTCTATTAGCCAATTCTGTTGCTGTCCTGACTACACTTTCTGACCGACTCCTACAACTAGTTTATCTGGCTTTCTAACATTTCTGCTAACCCCAGCACCTTCCATCTTTTATGACTTAATGTTTTGTTTGTCCTTGACAAGGGAAAGCATCATTTTAGACTGCATTTAACTATTCGTTCTGTACTGTGAAGTTTGCCTGATGTCAGGGGGAGTTTTAGAGTCCATCCTGGGAAAGAAAAGAAGAAAAGATTATGAAATATAAAAGGAATGGATAAACTGCCGCTAAGTCGCAAAAGGACAGTCAACTGTTTTGTGCAACAAGCAAGCTTAGACATGCATTTTTTTCATTTTTCAAAAGAATTACCATAAGCCTATTAATTTTTTAACATGAACATGTGGTTTTCTGCTATTATAATCTGTGACTAACATAGTTTGTTTAACAGCAAGCAAAATACAAAGTGACTGCTCAGTAAGGATGAAATTAAAATGAATCTGGCTGGTTTTACACCACAGTTTCAATTACTCACAATTCATGGCAAGACAGATATATATTTGAAGGTAACAAAAGCAGACACAACTTAATTTTATAAAGTTATATTGGGTGAATACATTTGAAAACAATTCAGCAATGACTTTGATGAAAACATAACGTTCTGCTTTATCTGTCTTGTGTGATAGTAAACTGAATATGTTTGAATTTTTTCTTGAAAACTGACTTAAATTATTAATCGATTATAAAATTAGTTGCAGATAATGTCCTGTTATAACCGTAACAAGCAATATCAAGTTGTCCCATGAAGCTTCAGGGATTGTTTTGGGATTTGTTTTACTATAAAATATAAAATACCTGTCAGTTTAACTGTAACTGAGGTGCAGGCATAATAAACATATGTATTTGTTAAGGCATCTAATGAAAGGATGTAGCTCTTAAGTTGCATGTAGATGATTAATAGTATATTTACGGTTTATGCTTTTTGGCTAAAGAGTCTCGTTGATGTACTTTGGCATTTAATCTACAGACACAATAAGAGTTTTCTGTTAGACCTTTATGTATCTTTAATAAAGATTGTGTAATGTGTTGCACAGCAGAGACACACCAAACGACAGCCTGTGTCTGTGTGTTTATAACTTTATGTGCCACAAATAGCCCACAAAAGTTCAAATCTAAATTGAAATGTAAACAACTGAAAATAGCTACAAGTAGTGTATGCAACGATAATTTAGCAAGTGAGCCTTCGTATTAGGCTAAGATAAATGAAAACCATGGTAAAGGACACACTTGAGTTGACATAGCCTACTGTATAAATAAGTAACATGACTGACAGTGGACACCTTGAGAGATATCTGGAAGAAAGATTACAATGCTGTAACTTAAAGAAAGAGCCGAGTTGTCGCTATGCTCGGCTGTGTTTTACAAACTCACCCTCTCGGTTTAATATTTCACAACGATCATGTCAGTGCACCAAAATAATGAAAAGCCAGTCGTTTTTTCTTCGGGTCCGATATCAATTACACATAAACGAGTTTGGAGAAGGAGGTGTTGTTAGATTCTGACTTGCTTGTACATGTCCTCACTCCGACCAATCAGAGCGCTGCATTTGTCAGCAGCAACCAATGGGCGGGAAGAAGAGGCGGGACGTGGCAGTTCTGTTTTCAGAAGGAGAAGAAAAGTTTCCTGAAACTTGAACGGAGACACGTGACCAGCGGGCTGTCAGGTGATCTACTAATGCATACTCTGATACCTGTCGAAATACCTCACATACCTGAAAACATTATGTTCTTTTTTCTCGTGTCATTCATAAGAACAATAGTTTATAGTTAATGATGTTTGTATTTCGAGCACTGTAGGTTATTCAGGTGTCGGGTCTTTATTGGCTTACATAAAATAATAGCCATAGAAAACAGTTTGGACAATGGGTCGAGATATGACAACTTTTTCACACATTGAGATGCACAAGAATAAAATAACATGAAGGCATATTGTAAAAGCAAAGAGAGGATTTGAATGTATCTACAGTTCGTTTTGATTCCAGCAGATGGAGGTATGAACACATTTCCACCTCTGGGTCTTCTCTCTGCTCTCTTTTTGGTTTCTGTTATTTAATGTTGCTGGTTTCTGTTTTGTTGGTCTAGACTTGGCAGCCCTCTAATCCGTCCTGCTTTTGTGACATTACTCCTTTATATCTTCCTCTCTGGACTGTATTATTAATTATAATAGCGTACGACCTGAACCTACTATGTTTTCCACATTCACCTTTACAAATATTTGTATGAGACGGCTAAGCTTTTGCAGCTACACAGTAGAAAACAAACCATAACACTAGAGAAAAATAAACATAATTGTCCTGCCATGTCAGATTAATGTTTAAACAATATTTTACCACTCTTTTGCAATTTTTCACAATTTCAAATGTATCCCAGTGAAGCCTTAAATGGCCAAATCAACCTCTAAAGAAAGGTGTTTGCTCACTTTATATGCACCCACATTTTGTCTCTCCATCTCTGTCCCAAAAAAAACAAACATTAACATGTACTCCATTTATTACATACTCAACATGGTCCGCCTGCATACATGTAAATTGCAGCATTGACAACAAAAGAAAAATGCAGGCGTCAATAAAAAACAGTGTAGTGGAAAGGAGTTGGCTAATACTTAGTGCTATGCTACTATATAGAGTAGTGCTGCTGAGTGTGACTGCTGTTTCCAATGGGTAAAGGGAAACATAGTGAAGTAGCTCAACCTATTTAAATACAAAGATATAAATTATGATTTGATTACCAAAATACATACGTCACCTTTAAAACATAATCACGTTATTAAAATGTCTAAAAGTAGTTGCAAAGCTAGCATATAGTTAGCTAGGAGTAGTACATAAATGGTTGAAATAATAGCTAAAAGTAATGGATAAACATTCAGCTCCAACCATTGCTATGACACTTACAAATAATCCAGTTTCAAATTGGTTCAAATTAACACAAATTGAACATCACAGGTAGTGTAGATGAAGGGGTGAGTTCACCTGACCTTGGGGGTTATGTCTGACAACAAAGGTTGGGAACCACTAAATTACAGTCAGATTTGTGTGCAGATTTTTCATGGATTTCTGTTGTATCCTGTCAATAATTCTTAATTAAACTGTGACTTTTTTAATTACCCTCCCACTCTCTACAAGAACCTCTTTTCCATCCTCTCTCTCCGCTCTTGTGTTCTCTCTCTTCTTCTTTGTCAGGAGATAAAATACCACCACACCTCCCACCACCACGAAACTGAGGGCCAGAATCACACATCCCAGCCACAGTAAGTGCGACGTTCCTCCCTTAGAGAGGTTCAGTTGGTCCCAAATCCCCACCGCCACACAACTGAAGCCGATCAGAGTTCCCCAAAAACCAAAGGCCAGCATGCAGGATCCACAAGACAGCTCCACGCCGCCGGTCACCACGGTGATGCCCGCCACTGACACAACCCCTCCTGGTAAGGTCACCATCTCAGATTTAGGGTCGTAGCTGACAGTAGAGGTGACATCGGATAGAGTTGAAGGATCAAGCGTTTTCATCTTGGTTGTCATGGTTGGTTTTAGTTCCTTTTTTCAGATGTCCCAAAGTGATTTTGTATGCAGCTTCTTTATTCTCACTCCTACAACATGAAACATAGTTTGAAAAACACTAAGGATCCAGATTTCCTTATATGATTTACTTGTGTAGCTTTACGTTTCGAGACACATCTTTAAACTAGGCCTACTTCCAACTAAGCTGTTAAAACATGTCATTGTATTCGTCTTGCATAATTTACACATTTCGAGAAAATACAACCTTTTTATATTTGGTATCTTTGGGAACTTTGGGGTCTCCATTTCAACTTAAAATAAAGGTCTTTGGGTCTGGCAGCATATTGATTGGGGGGCTGGATATACAAAAAAACTGAATAATAATAATGTTTTATTATTAGTCATTTAAATGGCAAGCGCCAGATATAACTCTAAGTTTAGATACAAATACAGTTGGCATCTGTTTTCTCTGAAGATAAAACACTGCTTGATAACTATACTGCTACTCGGTTTAGAAAACTGCATAAGCCATACTCTTTTCAACCCATGGACAATACAATTGTCTCATGCAAACATATTGAAAACTAAATTCAAAATTAAAACCAATATCTTTTTTACCATAGATACATATCTTTAGTTTTTCAAATGAAAAAGTAGGACCCTTGCTTACACCAGAAATAAAGACGGATTGTAATTGCAAAGAAACTATGTTATTATCAATAACTTTATAGACTAAAACATTGTCTTGTATAAAAATGAAAGCCTTGCTTACCTCAGTTTTGAATCAGGGACTCAGATCTCAGGGGAAATTGAATTAGGTGAAGTTCCTTTAAATTCATAGACGTGATTTGCTTTTGTCCATGAATGTAAGTGATTTCAGTGAAAGCCTGAAAATGCTGCCGACTTTCTCTCTGGACAATGGGTGGAGAAATGTGAGCGGGGGCCCAGAGAGCTGTTACCTTTATCATATACGTCACAACCTGAGGCCTCACAAGATGGTGGGCACAATTGTCAAGATTGTTGTCACTGTTTGTTTGTTCCTCTCTTTCCTTGTGTTCAGTAGGAAGCGCTTGTCTGTCATTAAGCATCATTATAACCCATTACCAGATATTTATCTAAGAACAACTCCCTTCCTCTTTTCCTCTCTCCTTCAGTCTTAGGATTTGAGTCGGGTCCCACCAAGGCATTGTTTGGGCTGAGAGCGGATTTTTCTTTTTCAGCATTTTCCTGTTAGACATTCCCATTTCTGTGGTCATTGGTAGCAAGTTGTATAGTTTTTCATCTGTGCTTTTACTTCTAAAACATTGAGATGAGTATTTTAGTATTCAACCTTATGACTAGCTTGCAATATCATTGAGATGAAATATTATTGAGCGTTTACTAAAGTTTTCCGAGGAAAAGTTGAAATCCAGGGTTTAATCAATTGGGGGGAAAAAACATCCATAAACGTATATTAATTTTTAATTTGTTTTGTACAAATATACCAAGTGCTTAACACGCGTGAATAACTATGCCTGATCTCATAACCCTGAGCAAGGCAGATTTACAGTATATATGTCAGTGATGATGTTGAGGTGGATCGCAGTTCTAGGGTGTAACGCAGGTGAAGATTGATGTCGCCACATAATTGGCTGTAATGCTGCCCAGCCAGCTGGGATGTTGCCAATTGCCAGTCATTGACCTAATTGCAGATATCTCTAGCTGTGTTTACTCCTACTGTCAATAAACGTATATCTGTTGATGCACTATTTAAAGGTCCCCTATTATACTGTTTTTCATCAATATATTATAGGTCTCAGATATATACAAACATGTCTCTGAAGTGTTTGGCTCCAAATACCAAACAGATCATTGTAGCATCCCATAAACCCCTCTGTTTCAGGCCTGTTTCAAAAGTGCTGATTCTCTGTCTTTTACTTTAGATGAAAATAAGGAGCCACTCCCCACGCCCCTCTGAGAGATATCTGGTTAAAAAGAACACAGTGTGCTCTAGGAGGAGATTCAGGTGATAAGGTGGGGGGGTGTTACCTTGGTTGGTGATTGGCTAATGGTTACACAAGCCAAACAAATCGTTATGACATCATAAAGTGGCCAACATCTGATCAGCTCATTTTCAGACAGGTTTTTATATAAATGGATCAGGACAAAAAGTGAGCAAATCTTTTTTCCTGAAACTTTCAGAATCTCTTAACACAGAGTGGACACGTGTTTATGTATAAAAGACATGAAAAGGTGGATTTTGCATAATAGGTGACCTTTAAACAAGTATTATATGTTACTGCCTGCTAAGTAAATATATATCTTATTTATTGTTGCAATACATTTGTGCGTTAAAAAATTCATAATTTCTTTACTAAAAAAGTGTAATTGTTGTGCTTAGATGCTATAGTTTGTGCTTAGATATCCACTTTATATGAACCCTCAGCTTCACCACAGGAAGAATAACATTTCCAAAGGGACCTCAAATCCCTACTTGCACCAGCTCTAGCAATTAGTCGAGCCTAGGGTACAGGTCAGGTGTCAGAGAGTGACGGAGTAATTCTATTGGGCAAGCACTGAAGGGATGATGATGATGCTAATTGGCTAAGGGTTGGATTGGGTGGGACGCAGTGGGTCAGAGGTAATCCAATAGATGGACTCATGAGCATATTTATGGAGCAAAGACCATCCTGCTGCATAAATAAGACATGAAAGATAATCATACAGTGTTCAAAACTGTTTTACTATGCATTCATCTGTCCTGTTTCAGTCAAATGACCCTTGTGCAAACACCCCCACCTCCATGCTGAGTTTTTCAAAACAACAGTCAAGATAATTATTTCAGTCTATTCAAAGCATACACAAAGGAAATAGATTGCTGATGTAAATGTGTCAGCTAAAGTGTTATATAGTGAGTTTGATGTGATGATAACAGTGATGCGTCCTGTAGGGAGATGGCTGTGACGACTACGATGCAACCAGATAGGCCCAAAGGACTGGAACTGAGGAAATGGGTAGAAATGCTCAAATCAGTAAAAATGAAGACAAATGAAAGAGTATGAATGTTTGTGTCAGTTAGTTTGAATAACAGGAAGCATTTAGTGGGAAAAAATGCACTTTGTGGCTGGAAAATTCAAATCCAGGACCAAGAAAGGTTTAAAAGAAGGACAATATGGCGGCCAAAAAGCAAAAACACAATTATGCAGTATATTACACTTTGTATTAAGAGGCACAACTTTTAAACAATCTGCCCAGTAAAACCCAGGTTAGAGACAAAAATGCATTTTAAAGGTCATCCCTGACGTTGGATGGAGGTAATTTACAATGCCTTTAGTGACGTGGATGTGAGGGGCGTAGGTGGGATTTAAGGTGAGGGGGAGTTAAACTGCCTAGACAGATGGTAGTCTGGATTAGGTTTCAGTAGTCAACTAAACCCATTGAAAGGCCACTACAGAAAAAAGCAGACATACAGTGAATGAACTAATGCTAGCTTTAAAAAAACAAAACACCTGGAGCGAATTTTCAACATGTCTGCTAATGTTCTGGTCAGTTTATAGAAGTGATGTTTAAGTTTGTAGCTTCTTAAATACTTCTCAATTCATCAAAAGGGCTGTAAGCACAATGAAACAGTGAAATGCTTAAAATAAATAAAGATTAGTATCCAAGTAAAGTAAAACCATAAACTTCTTAGACGGGAGGCATACCTCAGAAATCATAATATTCATAAATAATAAACAAAGGATTAAACTCAACAATCTCATATACTGTAGATATTTCTAGACTAAGAGACCCAATAAAGAAAAGTAGGCTCAGCCACCTTAAATCCCGCATTAACAGAATTAACCCTCTCGCCCATGGGAGGCGTGCGTTCCCCCTGCCCTCCTTATCTCTTACTGTCTTACTTGTTGAGACACACACTCAAATCTTCAGCCATCATCTGCCGAAACAACACACAGGTAAGCTTTCCCTACAATCCTCACTATGCTATTTATTGATACGGAAGTTTCATCTATTAAACTCATTTCATTAGTGGACTTTACCATATGCATTTTTTTTCCTTCTCTGTTCTCTTTGGCCTCTAACATCAACAGCAGAGGTCAAGCCAGAGGAGAAATCCAAGTGGCACAGGAGAAATAAAACTCCAGTGGCAAATATTTGCCAGTGAGAACTGACCCTGAAAAACTACCATGGGAAATTCAACCAGTAGCGCATTATCGAAGGAGATCCTGAAGGACCTGAAGCTCACCACACACTTCACTGAGGATGAGATCTCCCAGTGGTACGAGAACTTTCAGAAGCAGTGCCCGACAGGACGCATTACACCAGAAGAGTTTGAGCAGATCTACGCCCGCTTCTTCCCTGACAGCGATGCAAAGAGCTACGCACGACATGTGTTTCGCTCCTTTGACGCAAACGACGATGGCACCTTGGACTTCAAGGAGTACATCATCGCACTGCACATGACCTCCAATGGGGAGCCGGCCAGGAAACTGGAGTGGGCCTTCTCGCTGTTTGACGTGGACAAGAACGGATACATCAACAAGACAGAAGTGACAGAGATCTGCCAGGTGAGGGGGAACATGCAGTGGGATGTTGCCTTTTCTAAACATTCATCTCATCTGTTGGAGAGTAGTTCCAACTATGTTGACAAGGAGTGCTAAAGAGAGAAATGTTATTTAATTTGACCATAATGTTCACCATTATTGCTTTATTACAAGAGCTTATTTAAGCTGTTTCGTTGCACAAGGTCTTCAGGGAAATGTCTTATTCAGTTGTCAGCGACAACAGAAAGACCAAACAAGAGGATTACTTGACGTGCAATCTAATACAATAATCCTGTGGTCTATACTACCTTTTAAGTTTACAATGATTAGTTCTCTTTAACTTTTATGCTGGTGAGGCGTATTTTTTAACTCTCTGGTCATTTTATTTAAAAAGTTTTGGAGATTTATATTTGGTTGCGTCTTATTGTCAAGTATTCCTGGTATTCCTGGTAGATCCTATAATATGAATTGCTATTTTTTGGAAAATGACCTTCCTTTTTATAGTATGTAGTACTAATTGCCAGCCCATTTAGAGTGTCTATTTGAGTCTGATAATCTCTGTGATTATGAAGGCAATCCTATTCTTAAACAAGACTACTCATGTATTGCTTTTCCTTAAGACAAATGTTTTAGTATGGTAAGAGGTTTAAACAGATCAGACGAGTATCCAGTTGGCTATAATAATGTGATTTAAATCCTGGCCAACTAGTCAGACTCCAATTGCATCACGTTTACAACCACTGCACCAACAAGCTACGTTTTATACCAACACTGACAAAAGTTCAACAGCCTAAAATAGAATTATACATTGTGAAGAGGTTCGCAATAAACAGATCTGCAACATGCTTAGAAAATACTATTACAGAAAGATAATCCATTGATATTTGTTTACATTGGTAGGTTTAAAGTGTGAAACAAGTGAGTGAGGAAGGCAGGACTTGTCACTCATTTTATTTGGTTTAGTCTACTATACTACACTAATATCGTAGATTATTTTAGGAGAGAGTCAAAATACATTGTATTTTTAAGGCAATGTCAGAAATATTCAGAGGCAAAGGGCAAATCTGCCAAATCGTAGGTATTTTTCCGCATCAACACAATCAAAGTCTGTTCTTGTGTATGTAAATGACTCCAAATTATAATGCCAATTTATTCAAACTGTCCTTTTTAAATATGCTACTTGATACAGATCTGATTGAATTATCCATAAGTGACCAGTAACTGATTGTCATCTGTGAGCCCACTTTGTGAACTATTCTGTAAAATGGAGGGACAGTACAGCGAGAGAAGAGATGTCATCATGGTGTTTGGCCTGTGGCCTGAGGCCTGAGTCTTGGCACTAATCCATGTTAATCTAAGTGTCTTAAATGTGGGAGATGAGTGCTTCAAGTGCTTCAAGGCCTTTAAGTGGGACACACTTAAAGACCTGAACATAAAATGCACAGTCATTTACAAGTTATTTACAATCTGCTGGAATCTAGGTGGCATTTCCCTGAGGAATTACACTCCTGCTTTCTAGGTAGTTTAATTTATCGTGGATAAAATATCCTACATGGGTCTCCAGGATTGCTTTGTCAGCTGCAGCTGCCACATAATTGGCTTGCACATGTTTGTTTTATTTTCTGTGTGGACTTCCGTACATTATTTGTTTGAGAGAAATGAGGCAGCATTATCACCAATCTTTTACCCAACCCCCTCTCAGGCCATATTTAAGCTGATCCCCAAGGAGGAGCAGGCCAAGCTACCAGAGGATGAGAACACACCAGAGAAGAGAGCCAACAAGCTGTGGGCTTACTTCGAAAAGAAAGACAACGGTAAAGAAAACAACACACGTGTCTATGCATTGTGCCCCCGTGGTGCATGACATCTGTTCTTACCCCTGCATGTGTATGTTAGCAAGAGATGAATTCAGTGTAAGCTCTTAGTACCTTTCCTCAACAACTGCCAGCATTACACTTAAATTGACTCCACTGCCTTGCATGCCACACACACACACACACACACACACACACACACACACACACACACACACACACACACACACACACACACACACACACACACACACACACACACACACACACACACACACACACACACACACACACACACACACACACACACACACACACAGGAGATAATCAGGATTTCTTAGATAAGATACAGATGTATAATTCAACCTCATCTTTACCCCTAACTCCTTACTGAACTCCTTACTGTATAATCTTTTTTACCGTTTTCTCCTGCTGTCTTTTTTCCCTCACAGAGCGACTGGCTGAGGGAGAATTCATCAAGGGGGTGATTGAAAATGAGAATGCAATGCGTCTTATCCACTATGAACCAGCGAATGAATAACCATTTAACCATTTAATTCCCTCTCGTTAAAGTCTTTCAAACCCTTTTCCTCCTTGCTCTTGGATCCACTCCACCCCTCTGTGTAAATGCTCTTCCTGCTAAATATTGGTTGCAACTAACATTTCAGTAAGTTTTGTTTATGTCAGATTGTTTTACTAATGTTTGTCCTTTAATTGATATAATATTGAAGCTAAAAGAGGCCAATTAAGGCGTAGCGTTTAACATTTCTGTACAGGTAAAAAATAAGCTTTCTTGCTACTTCTTTTGTATAATAATAAACAATTCATAAGTATCATACCCGATAGGTAGCTTATTATAGTTTTTTTACAGAACTGGAAATGTCTACAAAAGGTTGTAGCTCTAACGTGTTGTACTGAATTCACTGTACAATAAATACATTAAAGGTTTTCTCATATATCTGTGCTTAAAAATCGAGTTATTTGTCTCCCCCAGTAAACAGTAAATTCTTCAATGACCTAGAAACACACTGCATAATATGCTATCAAAAAATGGTCTTAAGTTCTCAATGTTGTTGATCCCAGACAATAAATCCAGTGCTGTACCACACGTTAAACGGACAAAGATCTAAGGAACATGTTGATGCATTTATTTAGAAATTGTTGCCTGTATAAATGTACATTCAACACAATTATTTCCCTGAAAGTGTGATGTTTCCATGGTGCAGATTTTTGTGTGCGGGTGCGTGCCAGCCTGCATTTCTTTCCAACTCCCCCCGACAACCTGCTCACCCTCCACCTCTCCATCCCTTCACATGCTTCCCTCCTCCTTTCCATCCAACTCGGGATTACTGGTTTACACATAATCTTCTGTTCAACATCAGAGAGCAGACTTTTCAAAAGCTCTGTAATCTTTCTATCGCTATGTGTCTATCGTATTTGTCTGTGCATCTGCAGAGAAACTGTGTTTGATGTAGCTTCTGGTATGCGTGCATTGCATCTAAAGTTTGTCACAAGAGACAGAGGACACTGAAAAAGGAAACATGTTGAATGTCCCACTCAGATAAATGAGATTATATTGTATATTTACTATGAATTACAGGATGATCTTTTCAACAGGAGAAGAAAAATCTGTCCTGTCTACACCTGATACATTGCGAGTTGATAAATAACCAATAACACAATATAAACATGTATATGCCTTTGCAAATACAGACACACATTTACTTTTCTACCATGAGGCACTGAGAAATACCCAGAAACAATCTTGCATGTCAGTGTGACACACAGTTGTAGTCTTTACAGTTTCATTATGCATAGATTTCCCCGGCCTTCAAACGCAAAATGTGTGTCCCAACCTCACTGGAAAATGGAAGAAGAAGAAAAGAAAAACTGAATCTGTTTGCTCACATTCATCCCTTTCAAGCTCGGTGAAAGTCTCTTTCCTTTTTTTGTTTTTCGGCTCTTATAAATTGATGGAAATCAAAGATCCACTAACAAGGGGAATCCACTCGGTCCATAGCATCATCCATCTCATCCATCTCTCTCTCACAGTCTTCACACCCTTCTGACCCGCAGCCTCCTACTAAGACCAGTGTTGGAACATCTCCATTTCCCATTCCAACCACGCTGCCATTCGGGGCCCACGCCACGTCAATCATGCCGTCCGGACACTGCAACAGGCCGCTGACAGAGTACAGCCCCCCCCCGGGAACGACCTCATCGTAGGAAGGAGCATGAGTGGCGGCTCTCGCTTCCTCCAATCGGAGCCTCTGTCTGCGGCGGAGCTCGATGATGGTCTTTGTGTAAGAGTTGAGTGTGACCACGGCGGCCCCCATACAGCAACTGAAGGACACCCAGGCAAGACTAGGAACAGAGCAGATTTAGGAGAGTTAGAGAGAAAAGAGAGACATCATGAATTGTAAATAACAAATATATGAATGTGTATTCTTGAATAATCGGGTGTGTATGCTGCCTCTTAAGAGCAGCCACCTACGCGAAAGACCAGCCATAGTCCCAGGACTGAGGCCTCCAGTCTTTGGGGCCAACGATGACTGTCATCTGGAACACGGTGGTGAACATCATGTGGGCCACCATCCCAAGAAGACCTACAGGGGGGTGAAACAAAACAGATCGAACCAAGAGAGATCACAATGCAAATAGAGAATGCTGTATGTAGAATGAGGAGGTTATAACGTCAGTGAAAGATAAATGATGAACTGAGTTTCACCTGATAACACAGTACAGATAGCTGCATAGGCATTGATTTTTAGCGAGTGCATCTCTTTATGGGAACACAAGACTTCCAGCCACATCAGTAAGAAGCCCATCCCCAGCAGACCGATGTACGTAAACTCTGAAATAACTGACAGCCAGAGCACACCTGCAACATTTAAAAATACAGGCACAATTGACACACTCACATTAATATGACAAATATTTTCAAATAAGGCCGAAATAATAATTTCACAAATTATTTTTTCAGCCAATACACAACTCACCTTGTGTTTCCCCAGGCGTTAAATCTATAAAGCTTCGACATTTCTCCCCTGCCAACCAAATTGTGAACAGATATGAAAAAATGAAGACAGAATATACATTTTTCGTTGAATTCAAATCAGAAAAAGATTTAGCAGAGAGATGAGACTGGAAAGAACCAATGAAAATCTAAGAAAGCTAAAAGAGCACGGAAATACTGTGACCTGATGCAAGTGTTAGCTCACCATCGTTGTGTGTCTCGCAGCTCTCCCAGAAACCAGTGTGGAAGTATCTGAAAGCAAACTTGTCTTCTCCTGTTTCCCAGATGTACTGAACTGCGTTAGCCATCTGCCGCTGTCTGATCCGGGCCAGCTCGTCCCTCCGGGCCGGAGACAGGGTGCGGTTGTACGGGTTCTGAGTGGGACTCTCTGTGGGACAGCAAGAGGTGGACAATAAGAAAAGAAAAACACATATAGGTTCATTTATGTGGCTGTCTATCCCTGTTGTGGATAATAGAGGTTGTGGTAACACTAAGTGCATTTAACAACGATGATTACAATTATAACAGCAAGAAAATTGCCTTCAAATATGCAAAAGCTTTTCATGTGCTGGTGCAATATATAAAAATATAACTTCACACTGTACATTTGACATTTATATACATTTTTTATGCCATTCTTGTTTCATACACTAAATGTAAATAATATCCTACTTTTGTATTGTGCCAGCTGTAATTTAGCCCGTCAATAGTGTTTCATTTGGCAGATAGTTTAGATATTCTTTCTTCACGGTCAACTTTTTTGTTTTAGTTTTTTTTAGTTCTGTTTTATCTTCTATTTTGCAACGTTTATATTGTATAATTGTTTATTTTTTACTCTTTTATTATTTCTAAATATGTGTAATACATTATTTTTCATGCTGCTGCAATGAAAACCTTTCCCAATTTGGGATCAATAAAGTATATCTTATCTTATCTTAAGCCAAACCATTTTAAGTGCTAAAAAAAGGACCCTCTTCCTGTAGGGGAAACATTACATTTCCTTTTTATGTATTGGACGTGCAGGCATCAACAACTGTTGTTTAATACAGTACATGCATGACATGCACAGACACACAGTGTGCATACTGCATTTGCCCTTACACTTCAGAAATATCTAATAGCATCTTTGACAAAATATTACGTTGTCAAAAAACGTAATGCATGAATTGTCCAAGAGAGGAGAATTACAAACACACATTTTGTTTGCAGCTGATTTTGTTGGAGAAAAACATGTTTTGAGTTTAGATTGAGAGACAATAAATAATGGGCACAAATCTAGTTGGTTTCTCACACCATGGTCTCAAAAGTGTTTCAGTCACATGCAGGCTTGTCAGCACCATGTCGTGCCACATGTGTTTGTATCCGTTTTAAAAACATAAGGGACAGTTAAAGCTACCACTGTGAAGATATTTCTGAACAAATACACAAAGTACATGTAGATGATTTTTTGATGCGGTAAGAGCTGTTAATCCCATTGTGGATTAAGAATATCTGTTGAGAAATAAAAACCAGGCAGCAGCCAATGTCCAATAAACCCTAAAACGTGGGATCTGCCATCACACCCCACAGATTAATACTACACCATAATTAAGTTCACTGCGGGAAGGTATGTGCAAAAAGAGATTAAAAAAGAAACCAGGGACAATCACAAGGGGAGAAGCCTGTCCGTTTATCCAGTCAGATTATTTTTGAGGTATTGTTTCTGGTTATGCAGTAATACAGTGCTAGAATTCAATACTCATGTAATCAGGTTCAAAAGTCAAGGCCAAAGTTTTGGTGAGTTCAACGCCAGAAAGCTGCATTTAATATCTTCACATATTTTTAAAGACTCAGATAATACACAATAACAAGCTGACCACATGCACAGACACTAAAATGTGATCTGACATTGCATGTGGCAATAATGTACAGTACCTGGTCAATAACAATGTTTCGACTATTGAGAAAGACTAGGAAAGCATCACAGACTGATGATGCCAGGTATCCATGAGCTCACACTGTTTCCGACAAATTTCTTGTGAAATGCCCGTGAACGTGTCCCAACAGATATATGGATTATATGGATCACAGGCAACTTTTTTTTGTACCTTTGATGACCCAACTCATAGATGAATTCAATACGGCATGACAAGTATCTGTACCCATGAAAGCAAACAAAGCTTCACAGAACACTTTGATGTGTAGAGGTAAGGACATCTACCTGTGGTGTAAGGCTCGCTGTTGTTCTGACCACAGTTCTTCATTTTGACGGGCGACAGGCAGAGGGGCTTCACCACCTTGTGGGTGCCCTCACACCAGTAAGAGGTGCAGAGGGCCAGGATGGAGAGGGCCAGAGCCAGAGAGGTCAAGGTCAGGGAGAGCAGGGAGCGAGAGCGACGGGACATTCGCTCCAGCATGGCCACGCAGGAGAAGAGGGAGGCAGGGCGAGGCCAGTGAGAGAGGGAGAGAGAGGGGGGACAAAGTGAGGCAAAGAGGGGGGAGATGCTGCACGTGGAAATAGGACGAACAGGGCAGAGGGTATAACTGCAGTCACAGATGGTGCTGGGAGGGCAGGGCAGATGTTTTGGGATGGTTTAAAGAGGTGATGAGCTGCCAGGTTTAGATGGAGAGAAAACAATTAATGTGATGTAACTGTTTAAACAAAAGATGACCAAACACAGCTGACAAAGCGATACTTTAAAGACAGATTGATTAAAAGATAGGATAGCGAGGGGGGGGGGGGGGGTATCTGAAGTTGATACACGTGGGAAAGGACAGATGGAACGGAAAATGAACAAGAGGGGATTTAGGTGGACGTAGGTTCACTCCGGGAGAAATGCAAGGACTCAACGGTATGCTGGACAGAAAGATTTAATGTGATATCCTGCTATTGATCCCTGTGGTGAATGATGGCCATACATCCCCTGACCTCAGACCCCTTTGTGCTCACTTTAAAGATCAATGCAACATTTACAAAAGAGTTATAAAAAATGTTTGGATTTATCACTAAAAAGTGTATATCTAAGGAGATGGATCTATCCTTAAACCCAATCCATCTCCTGGCAAGAAAGTAAGATTAAATATTTAAATGAAACTAAAAAGGCTAAAAACAGGGTCTTCAGATGGTGACATTTAAATGTGTTGATAAGAAGGGCTTAAGAAGGGCTTACGAAAGAATAATAATGCTAGTGCTATCCGGTGACCCCAGCTAATATCTCCCCTCCTCCTAATTAACACACTCAGGCCTGACCCCGTCTCTCATTATTAACTCCACTGTGGGACACTCAGTGGAAGAAGAGATTACTTTTCTTTTGATGAAATGATGGATAAACCACAGATCTAAATGAATGTTTTGCTAGTAATCCCTGATAATCTTCTTTTATCTGTTGGTGTTAGGTGTGTTTTCGTGTGAAGTGCATTCTGACCATGTCTGCTCTCTCTCTCTCATGCAATATCTGCCTGTAAGCCCCCAGACCCTGAAACACAACAGAACAGAAGTTAAACAATGGATAGTATAGACATCTCTGATCTGCATGAAACACCTGCCAATGTTGGTTTCTAGAATCTGAAGAAAGTTGACAATATACAGTACATAATACAAATACCTACATACACGTTAGGGCATTAGGATGCATAATGAAAAAAAAACTACAATCTGTATGTTTAGTATATCGTTTTCTATTTACTGTATCTGTAAACATATTGTATTCTGTGTATCTTGATGTTATCTACAATATTTCCTCCACACTCAATACAATTTGTTCTCAATCAAGAACATTTCTCTTAAGCGTTATATACTGAACTTATATAGTGTGATCAAAATACGTTTGTTGGAGTTTATTCCATTAATGAATTCAGTGCAAGCTTATCTATAGATACGTGTTAACACCACTTTTACTATGTCTGACAAGATGCATTGACAGGTTTGTCTGTCTTTACAAATGTTAAGTAGCTGATTAGAAATAGTACCAGCACATTATCTGAATATCTGATATATGTACTAAAGGTATATAATAGTAGTAATGAGAAAAGCAATGCATATATATATATCGCAGTTCTGTATTCTTAAAACTGTAAGTACTGGTTATTATTTTTGATTGTTTTGTTTGTAAGCCACAGAAAAAAGTTGAACATGTAAATTATAATTTTCCAGTCGGTAAAATCTTCATTTTAATAGTTGTATCCAACATCAGTCCAAAACCTAGAGCTACTCAATTAAAAACCATCATAAATACTTGACAAAAGCATCACATTTTGACATTTGAAACTCAGGTACCAGCAACTAGTATTTCGAAGTAAAGATTACAGAAATTATAAATGTTCTGTTGATTGACTAATCAATAGAGCCATAGTTATTTTCTTAAAGTAACAAGTACCTACCAAAGATATTTTCCTTGTCCCTTGTAGCACTTCAGGGCAAACATGAGGTAACTATCAGGATAAAAAGGTGAAATAAAAAAGCTCCACTTGTTGCAGTCCTGTAAAGCTACAGTCCCGTTATCTCTGCCCTGGTCAAGAGCCTTTAATCAAAAAGCTCCTTAAGTACTTGATTTTAGTCGCTCCATCTTGAACTGATTTTAAGAGTCACTACCCTCTTGATCTTTTCCCTCAGTATCCGTCACTTGTGTTTCTCCTCCAGGATGAGTCAGTGATCCTTACCTCTCCAGATGAGATCCTCCCTTTAATCCTCCTGGCCAATAGTCGGACAGAGATGCACCGATGGAGACTGTCTGTCTCCACGCCACTCTCTTTTCTGGCTTTCTTGGGAATTGATGTCACAACCCCATCCTGAATCGTGTAATCCCTCTAAGTCCATCTGTTACTGTGGTGCCCTCTCTTTTCCCGTGTCTGTCTCTTTTGAGTGGATGGTCCTTTGCAATCTCCCAAAAACTTTTGTTAAATGTAACTTTTTCTCTGTATTTATTTCGAAAACTCAAAGTTTGGATAACACTGTGAACCATCTTATCCATAGGAATGGCCATTTCCTTTTTTCCCTTATCACCTTTACCGCTGTGCAAAGCCGGGTCTTGTGCCCAGTATGTTAAGAGTGATGACTTAAAAAAATGACAGAAGGAGCTTTACATAGTCACAATAATTTATTTACAATATGTATTTACAGAACAAACTGAATGGAAAAAAATGTTGTGTGTTTGGTGGATGGATTAAAGAAAGAGTCAGGTCCAAAATAGAGCAGAAGAAACAGTTCAACCCCAGGCTTGAGATTTACAGTAATGTAGAACCAGCTTGTTATCACTGCCAAAACACTGAAAAAGAAAGAGAGAAAAATACAGTAAAGGAAGTGATGTGACCGTACAGCTCAAACTACTTTGTACAAACTACTGTTAACGGTCCTATTTAATTGGATATTGAGCTGCAGAGCAGTAAGAGCGGATGTCCCCTGTCAATTCTGGACTTTGAGGTCATTACAGTTTCTTACTTTAATCAGTGGTTTAGGATTTTAGCATTTGAAACATGGAGCTTCCCTCTTACTGCCCCCTCTGCTGGTTAAAGCTCCACATGACACAATCTCTTCTATGGCCCAGGATTGGAAAGTACAAACACTACCAATATAATATTTAATTAAAAGGCCAAGAGGCTAAGCAAGTTCGGATATTTGCTAGTTTAGTGGTTTAGTACCATCATACTCTGTCATTTTGTATAAAGTACATCTCCTATAAAAAAGAAAAGGTAAGATTTACAGAACATAATTCAAAATGAAAAAGTATTATTTCGTAAGGAGAGGCTTGGTGGATTTACTAAATAAATAAAAGGCAAACAAATAAATTCAATTTTTGTTGTTGGCATGTAAACATGAATGAACTCAACTTTTTGTGTGTATTGTTTTGCAAATGTACTTGGAGACATAGTTTAGGTTTGTGTGTCTGGATTCTATGTTTTAGTTGCTTTTTAGTTACTCTTTATAAGTAAATGTAACTGGAATCAAACATGGTGTTGGATGATGAGGCTTAAAGCTCTAAAAGGAAAAGGTGTTTAAATGGACTTTGGAGTTGAGATTATTTAGTTGCACATACTGAAAATGAATTACAAATCAATATTGTTTAGGTTAAAAAAAGTCACAGGGCATTCAAATACTGTAGGTGTTTACTCACATCAAACAGGATGCCTACTTCTTGATCCGGTGAAGGGGCGAATGACTGGTTAACATAAATGAACTGGAAAAAAGCAGATGAAGTGACATGTAAAGAAAGGAAGACCTAAAGTTTTAGAAAGTGAACAAACAGGTTGACAAACTTCATCCTTACCAGTTGTTCACTGCCTTCAATCTTGAGGAAGCGAGAGATGAACTGAGACAGGGACAGTATCGTCCGACCTCGCTCCACTGCCCACTTCTTTGTTTTCATTATAGGAGTGTCCCCCACTGCCTTCAGCAGCACATCAACTATAAAAGTGGAGAAAATAAAAGGTGAAAGCGCTGCTGATGCTGCTGCTGCTGCTGCTGCTGCTGCTGCCACCACCCAAACTTGTCTGGCCGAATCTGAAGATAAATTGTTGTGGGAATTGATGGAGAAGTTAAATCCATTGAAACATGGAGAAGAAATTGAAAAAATACTGCAGAATTAAGTACATGCCATTCACTCTTTACATTTTTTTTAATAAATACAAATAGGCTGTGCTCAGAAGAAACAGGATTTGAATATTATACTCAAACATTATTTGTGTGTACATAAATGATAAACATACAGGGCTACAAAAAATAGAGGAGATATCTAATATACTAGACATGATACACTTCAGTCAAGTATGGCTCACTCATCACTAATATATGTTATCTATGAAATAGAGTATTTATTTGGTAAAGTCAAAAATAGTTTTATAAAATAACTCTGTAACAGAAAGTCTCCCTGGATTATACTTCCCACATCTAACGAGAATACCATTAGTAAAAAGTAGGACACTCCTTGCAATTCCTGAAAGAACGTTTTTAATGCCCTAAACCTAAACCATGAAACGAGATCTGTTGTGTGACCATTTTAAGCTAACTGGAGTTTGTTAGCTTAGCATTAATACACTGACAGTTACAAGAGGTAGTTGATATTGGCACTATCGTAAAATATATGTTATATAAACACATATAAACAGCATCTCTGAAAAGTATATATCCCATGAGGGAAACTAAGATTATATTAGTAAAAATATTATGTTTTGCCTTCATAAATAGCAGCATTTGATTTAGCCGTTCCCCAAACCGGTAGTACTAAATGAAAAAAGCTTAATGCTTATTGGCTAAACAGAAAAAAGGAGCCTTTCTATTGGCCAAAATCTCTGTCGATCTTAATGTACGTCACACACCCGGAACAGTTTCTTCTAGCACTGTCAACATCACTCGAGTCGTAAACAGAAAGTTATTTATCACTGATTGAGTAGAGTTTTGGATATATAACAAATTCTTACTTTTTTTCTTCTCATCATTTGTCGACGTATCATCTGGCGGCGGTTGTGACTCCTCTTTTGGCGTTTCTGTTGGGGACTCTGCATTGTCAGACATCTTCAGGTGACCACTCTGGCTGTGGTTACCACCCACCTGAACAAGCCGAGCGATTGGGTGCGTACAATGGCTGATATTGGCTCTAAGAACCGTCAATCACGAAGACACGTAATTCTATTGGTCAATGGGCGGTGGGCGCTGCTGTGTTTATCAAAGGCTGTAGAACTTGTGTGTCTTCCTCATAGCTACATGCTAGGTTAGTTGTTCTTTTTTGACTTTGGAATTGTTAAATTGCTTATCACGAATGTGGAAGTTGATTGTCTATTGATTTAATCTTGTGCACGTTTTTGTTAAATATTGCATGCATTCCTACTCTTTCGCTTTAACTAAAATAACATGTTGTGTTCGTTTCTCATAACACAGTCACATGGGACATTATACTTTAACCTGACAACTGAACTTTCTACAGCCCTGTTTGACCCATTACCCAGTCCTCTACCTCTACCAGACACTAGGACCATTCAGACAACAGCAGTAAGTTCACTTTGATGTTTCTTTTTATTACGTTTAGCTCAAATGACCGTAGCTATATATCGCCATGTCACTCTAATTCAATTGTGTTCAGCGAAGAGACTGCTCTCATTGTTATAAAGACAATGCAATTCACCATTGACGAAAGATTTCGTACAAGGAAGAGAACCTATTTCCTGTAAAAGTAGACACAAAATGCACAAATTGGAAAAACGTCATTTGAATGCAAAATGTATGTTTGCAACGTAGCAACTGCATTGCATACATGACATTGAATGGGGGATATTATTAAAACTTCAATGCTATTTTAAAATGCAGTGGCCAATCCACTGTGTTGTTCCTGACCTTAAATCTGTACCTCCTTTTCTGTTAACTTGCTCTTCCAGTGGCAAGCATTGGCCGGCTCTCCACCAAGGATGCAGTGCTCCTCCTGTGTGACATGCAGGAGAAGTTCAGACCCAACATCTTCCAATTTCCCAACATTGTCAGCAATGCGGCCAGATTGCTCAAGGTTGGAAATACTCACCATCACAGAATCACTCAAGTAGCTGTCAACCATAATCATAAATCAGCTTCCTATATTTATTATTAACTATTAATTATATCTCACTTCACAGGCCAGTCGTGTTCTCGGCATCCCCGCCATTTTAACAGAGCAGTACCCTAAAGGCTTGGGTCCCACTGTACAAGAGCTGGAGGCAGGTGACCTGACTGCTTATGCTAAAACCTCTTTCACCATGATGATAGACGAGGTGGAGAAGCAGATGCAGGCCCTCGGGAACCCCAAGCAGGCTATACTGTGTGGAATAGAGGCACACGCCTGTATTGCAGTAAGACCACATCACTGTTGAAATGTCATAATATAATTCTCAGCACCATGAAACACAACATAAGTCCTCTACATTATTTGAAATGTATTTTAAGTATGTTCCTTTGTTATAGTTTTTGTAAATCACACTTACTTGCATGTTTTATTCTCCAGTTGGCTTGCCTATTGTTCTTAAAGATGCCAGATCTTGCTGATACATATCATATGTGTCTTATGCATTCTTGCATGGATTTTTGATTGAAATAAATCCCTTTTTATTAGTGGTCCTTCACAGATTAAAGGAGAAATATAGTGGAAAAACTCACTTGTTTAGTGTACATACATACAACCCACAAACTGTAAAATATGAACATTTATTATGTGGAAGGCGATGATGGGAAATATTATTATTAAGCTATAACATTATGCTGTTCTAGACATTTTATTATGCTAGTTTTCATGGTCTGGTGTGCAACAGAGCTTAAGTTAGTAATTAAATACCCTTCCCTCTTGTCTTTTCCACAGTGCACAACATATGACCTGCTTGAAAAGGGAATAGAGGTTCATATCGTGGCTGATGCCGTCTCATCCAGAAGGTATCTGTGTATTCTATATTTAGTTCTGTTATATAGCATCGTCTCACCCACATTAAATATAGATTTGTTTCTCTGTGTTTCTGGAATCGGTTTATATGTGTTCCTACTTTTGTGTCTCCCCACACAGCCAGACAGACCGTTTGTTTGCTCTGTCCCGACTGAAGCAGAGCGGGGCGTTCCTCACCACCACTGAGGCTGTTCTGCTGCAGCTGGTTCAAGATGCCAAACACCCAAACTTCAAGGAGGTGCTTGCTATAGCTGCTCTTTGTTGCTCTCCTGAGTTACTTTTGTTTGTTTCATGCCTGACAAACTTATTTTCTTTATTGACAGATCCAGAGGCTTTTGGCCCACCCGTCCCCTGACACCGGCCTCCTCTCCTTCTTCAGCGCTCTGTAGCAGGACAATCTCCTGTGATTCTGTCCCTAAAATACTGTACAGAATTACACTGCAACACACTGATAAAGTGCTTAAATAAAAGGATATTGCTATAAATTTGTATGGCTCTTGTGTTCATGTTTCAGAATCAAGCTCTCATGCTTTGTTTGAAATCCTGAGTCTGAACTGTTGAAGTAGAAACTGACAGGTTGTCCCTATTCATTGCAGTCCTGGTGAGCCTACAGCTGGAGGAACCTCTAGTTCAAACTTAGAGAGTCTGAAGAGGAGGGACCAGCTCACAGAGGGGAGGCGCAAAGAGTGAGGTCACAAAAAGGGAGGGATGAGTGACGTAATTCTGGTAAAGCCAGAAAGGGAGGGGAAGGAGAGAGAGGGAAAGAAAAAGGAAGCTCTCCGATAAGTTTTTTTTGTATGTATTTCTACAAAGTTACACAAACTTTCACCAACCAAAGGCATGACTGACCTTGTGGGGATCAACTTGCTGAAGAGGGAGATCTGAAGGAAGGGACGGACAGCAGTTTGTCAGCAGTTGTGCACAGCTGATGACAACATCAAATATTAACCCTTTTTTGAAGGCCTTGGGCCTCGAGTGACCAAACAGAGGTAAGCAAGTCATTCTTATTCCTCACAAAAGAGAAAGTATATGTGGAGTTGTCACACTTATAGGCAGTCATTTTCATGTATTTGCTTGTGAGTGGATAGTTTCCACAGCAAGACAAAGTGTCGGAACTTGCAGAGTGGAAGTACAGGAACAGAGCGGTTGACAGTGTTACATCACAGGCAGAGGGAAATCTGTAAAAGCATTACTCAGTGTTGTGTTTATAGCTACAGTGTCCCAAGTTAAGGGAATTGTTGTTCAAATGCTCTCTTCTGATCCTTCATACCCAAACAGAGAAAAAGAGACCATGTCCTCTGAACTGAACTCCAGTCTCACCAGTATCGACTGGCTGCCTCAGCTGGGAATCAGCAGCCTGCGCTCGGGGAGAGAGAGAGGAGGAGAGAGGGACAAGAAGAGAGACAGAGGGAGGGAGAGGGGAGACTTCCTCCCCTCTCTGCCGGACCCCTCCCACTCTAACTACAAAGGGAAACCCCCTCACAGCTATGCCACTCTAATCGCCATGGCAATAGCAGCTGCACCTGAGAGGAAGTTGAGTTTGAACGACATCTACACTTGGATCAGTGACACCTTCCCCTACTACAGCCGAGCTGGCCGCGGCTGGAAAGTAAGCTTGAATGTAGAACAATAACAAATTATCTTCCTATTAGAATGGTGATAACTATGGTTCTAAAGTTTAAGGTGGTATGTTTTGGGATATGTTACCAATTTCCATATTATTTGCATTACCAGCTGGTGCACGACTGATTTCATAATTTTGTTTCCCTCACAGAACTCCATTCGGCATAATCTGTCCCTTAATAAATGCTTCAGGAAAGTTCCTCGACCACAGAGTGACCCTGGCAAGGTGAATACTGACACATTTTGATTCTGCATCATGTGAGATGGAGGAAGGGAAGAGCGTTAATCTGAGCACTTGTTTTGTTAATGGCAGGGTTCCTATTGGACAATGGATGGACCTGCAGAGATGAGTCAAGTGAGGGCGCCTAAACGTCCCTATCCAGCGGAGGAAGAGGAGAGGCAGGATGTATGTTGTAATATCACTTACTCACCTACTCTATATAGAAGAGAATGCGCCTATTGAAAAACTTGACATTGTTGAGAGATTAGTCAGCATTCAGTTACAGTTTATTGAGGTGAGGCTTGAGGTGAAAAAAGTGTTTTTTATTTTACTTTCCTGCAGGAATTTATATTTGTACCACTCTGTCACTTCGTCTCGCTGTGCTGTTTCAGGTTCCTGTAGGGACACAAGCGGAGAGCAGAGCTTCTCCTCATCAACATCCACCTCCACCCTCACACAGAGACCACCAGCTTCTTAACACAGAGCCTCTGGGAGCCATCCAGCAGCAGCCTCCCCACTTTGCCTCCCTTTCCCCTCCCCCATGCAAGGTAGAATCACTTTCTCCTTTCTTTATCACAGTCAGGGTTGTTTCAGCGTTTCATCTGATCTAATCTTTTATCTTCACAGCAACCATCACCCTACATGCCAAGCCCTGTGTCCTCTCACTCTGCCCATAATCAATCTCCTGCTGCCCCTATGTCTTCTATCCATTCCTTTTCACCTCACCATCCACCTGGACCAACTTTTACCCCCCCTCCTTTATCTGCTGCCAATATGTCTTCTCCTTCAGCTCATTCTTTCTCCAATGCCCCATTGTCCTATCCTGCTAATTCAGTTTCTGGTCCCATTTTCACCTGCGCTCCTACCGCAGTGCCTGTTTGCACTGTGTCTGTCCCCCCTCACTCCCCTGCGTGTGGGGTCCCTTCATTTATTGCTGGTCCTCCTGTGGTCTCAGTGAACTCCTCCGAGCCTCAGCTGCTTTTCACCTTCGACGAGATGATCTTGCCAGACTTGTATGCGTCTTTCAAGTCTATCTTCAAGACCATGCGGGACAGGGGTGGCTCACAGTGTGAGTACTATGTCTGTCTAATGCAGCACTTTGGAACAGTTGTCTTGAAAAGTGCAACATAGTTATATATATTACAATTTCCGAACCACAAATAAAGATTGCAATATGTCATATTTGTACTGCTTACATGATCTGTATCATGCCTCATTTAAGTAGTACTGTACCAGAAAAATCAGTAATGTGGAGTTAAGCATTTGGTTTTCAGATAAAGGACCTCTGTGCCAAAATGGAAACTGAAATATTGATTAAGCCCACATTATACACATTAACAGCTTGGATGAGTGACTTATGTGTATGCAATTTACAGCGGATGTTGCTCCACTGGCTCCTCTGAACAATGACACTACCCCACTTCACACTCCAACTCTGCTGCCATTTTCCCCTCACCCTGCACCACCAGCAGCAGCACCTCCACCTGCAGCTCCACCTGCAGCTCCTCCTGCAGCACCTCATGTAGCACCTCCATCAGCTGCACACCCTCTGGAGACTGAGCGCATTCCACAATACAGTAAGTCCAACATTACCTTACCGCGGGCAGTGAGACTGTTAAACAATTGAACTGTTGAAACAACTTCAAACATTCAACTGCTACTCAGTAGTATGTATCTAATACCTAATATATATATATCATTCCAATAACTTGTATATAGACTCATACTGCACTATTCCACATCATAACTTTATTTCATTTTTATAACTATTATTATTTTTGTATTGCTCTTGCTCTTATTGTTATTATGTTATGTTATTATGTTGCATTGTTGGAGAAGCCTGTGACATAAGATTTTCAACTGCATAATTACTCTGTAGCTATGTCAGATTGACAATAAAGAACCTTGAACCTTGAACTGACCCCAGACATGCTTGAATTGCATTAAAAGCAGAATCAGTGCTTTCTAAAGTTACCTTCCCTCTTCCACTTTAGCGGTGCCAGCTGACTGGTTCAGTAACCCTGATTCTCTGAAGGAGAGCTTCCGCATTGCCAGCAGTCTAGACTGGGCCAACATCGACCTCTCTGGTCACCCAGGTCTGTGCTGTTCACCAGAGTCTTGATAACATGTTGTTTCTCTTCTGGAGGTTGCTTGGGTCAAATCTGCTGAGGTTTTGAGATATTCATCTACTCTCTCAAGTATTAGACAAAGGAAGAGAGGAGCTGTTTGAGTCAGTTAGTCAAGCAACAGACAATGTATTGGCAGTTATAATGTAATCAATTGATTTTTTCCTAGCAAAAACACCAATTATTCTTTGCTTCCAGCTTCTTAAATGTGAGGATTTAATGGTTTAATTTTGTCATATGATAGTAACCTGAATATTGTTGGGCATTAGAAATGATCTTTTTACATTTTTTACTATTTATTTTTGATTTAATATCCAAATTGATTCATTACAAAAAGTATAATTTGCAGATTATTCAATAATGAATATCATCTTCACTGCGCCCTGGAATGGTGCTGTGTTGTGACACCACTAATAAAATGTGTACATGGTACAGTGTGGAATACAATTCTCAGAGATACTGTGGATATCTCAAAACCTCAGCAGATAAAAATAAATCTGGCTTGTGTGAACTGCCAGATTTACTGACCCATTAAGATGTTTGTCTTTTTCAGCTGATGTATCAACTCTTCTTGGGTGGCAGATAGTGAAACAACTGAATATGATGATAATTTAAACATTTTTTCAATAACTTTTGTTGTTGTTTATTAAAGACTTTCTCTCCCATTCTGTCCCCAGACCTGCTGGAGGGCATGCGGCAGGCGGAGCTCTGTGATTGGGCACTGGACCCGACGCTCTTCACGTCCCTCTGCGACTCTCTGAACCGCTTCTTCACTCAGAAAGGCATGATTACCTCTGGGAGTAACTCCCCCCTGGCCCTCGGGGGTCCTCACCCCCTACATGGCCCACCATTCACCTCCAATCCGCCTCCTACCCTCGCCAGCCTCACTCACCCCTCACCCCTCCCTTACTCTCCCATAGTTCACCCCGTCAGTGGAGTGCAGCCCCCCCGCAGGGCTCCGCACATGCAGGGCCAAAGACCTCAGCTCACACAACCTGCAAACACAACCGGTAAGAACTGGACATCATGGTCGATTGGGTTTCCATTTAAATGTTTGTGGTAACTAGGTGGAATTCTGTATGGCGCTTGAAAGAAGGATAGGTTCAGATATTTTTCGAAATAAATAACTCAATAAATTATACAATTGATATAAAAGAAATACAAATACACGTGCATGTTAATTTGATAACTAATGTGCACAGAACTAGAACATATTTTCTAATTGTTTCTTAATTCATTAACATTCATATTTATTTCCAACTTGATTTGCTTGTTTAAATTAATATCTGTACATTTTCCCCAATTTTTAACTTCAATAAATACATTATACATTATATAAATTATAAATGCGTTAACTATTTCTGTACATGTTGTTTCTCTATTTCTTAGTTGTTTCCCATAATGGTAGATGCAGTCTGTGGTAAAGGAGAAGTTATTTAAATAGGAATAACCTTACAATAGTGTTTTCACTTCCTGTTTGTTGTGTGCTAACTTAGTCCATGTTTCTCTGTGTTTCAGCTGGGATGCAGCCTCAGTCCATGACACCACGACAGCGTCCTCCATTGAAGAATCTGCACAGCCACAGTGAGGAGATCCAGGACGACTTTGACTGGGACTCTCTGCTAGGTTGAGCTTGACTTCCAGTTTAAAACCGAATTTATCAGAGAAATGTGGCTCTTTAGTCTTTACAGCCGTCTCCACTAAACTCTATGCAGGGGCTGCCTTACTTTTGTATCTTGAAGCTTCTCTGAGAGCAAGTTTGGGATCAAGTGTGTCACATTCAACTGAATGCTGTATTTTAAGGTTAAATAGATGTACAATTTATTCAACTTTATTCAAATTCATAGCTGTTATAACCTTTGTTTAGCTTTTTTTCTGTTGGATTTTAGCTTTTAAAAATATGTTCACCAAAGAAAATAAACTGTAAATATATTCTTGTCAAATTATCTGCAGAAATGAAATACATATGGGATGCTTGGATATAAACAATAAACACATAACAAGCATGAAACAAGCCAAACACATAAAGTGTTTTTGTTTTATTTCGTAAATTCCTTTTGATTTTTTTTCCATTTTACTTTTCAAATGTGAATGTTCACAGTCATCACCACACAAAAGTCAACCTTACCCAATAAAAGATATTTTTCTTGTTGATATAAAATAACAATTAATTCATCAAACTAAATTAAAAGAACAGCATGGAGCATGTCGTCAAGTCCAAGTTTTTTTCTTTCATTCATTGAAATAATTGTCTTTTTTTTTTAAGAAGCATCAGTACTCTCCCTCTCCGAAGACAGGGCTGAAACGGATGGACAGTGTAGCTCTGGGACACCTGGACACCAGGGGTCCCATATGAAATGTGTGATTGGAAAAACTAATGCTTCTGATTAACAAACAAAAAAAAAGTGAAATATGACTGGCAGAGAAATGTGTGACCCTTATAATATCTCATCTGAAATCCCAACATTACATAGTATTAATACAAGTGACAATTTTTTAAAACAAAAATAATGGATGTCATTTCTTGCTTTCTGAGTCACTGAAATAAGAATGGAGACAGATATTGACACATATACACAGAAACAGGCATTTGCACTATTGCATACTCACAAATGAGCATTCATTTTTTCATTCGCACCTGGCTGCAAACACACACATTCAACAAACATCCCATCACTTCGCCCATCAGACCACAGAGGTCAGAGCTCTCTTTAGTTTTCTCCAATAATATGAAGGGAAAAAATAAGCATTTGATTTAAATGGCATCATCGTGTGATTTTCTTGTTAATTTGTTCCCAAAAATTGGAAACAAAATAAATTACATTTAATATTAAATTAAAAGTAAAAGATTTCACCACATTGGGCCTGAAATGCTAATGCAGGATTTCCAGTCTGTATTGGAGTTCATTAAAAATCATCCCTCCATGCACATTTTTCCTTTCAGTGATTCAGTGTTTATCTTCATTCGAGAGAGAGAAAGAGAGAGAGAGAGAGAGAGAGAGAGAGAGAGAGAGAGAGAGAGAGAGAGAGAGAGAGAGAGAGAGAGAAGAAAGATAAGAGAGAGTATGAGAGCAGAGCAGATCGTAGAGGAGACGCTCACTGAGTACTGAAACTCTCTCCCACAGAGCTCCCCCCTGCTCCCTCTCTCTCTCTCTTAGCTCTCCCTCTCTGCGAAGAAAGAGAGAAACAGAGGGCCGGTTGCAACAGTTTGCTCTGTTCGTTTGTTAGTGTCCTATGTCTGCTCTCTCTCCAGCAGTAAATATTACAGAGTGATACTGAAAACCCCTCTGCTCACAGACTTACCTTCATCTCAAGACAGGACTGAAAATAACACGACATGAAGAACGCTACAGAACGGCACAGGTTTAAAACAAAAATAAATAGATCTCTATTTCCCGCCCACAAACAACCCATACTGTAATGAAAGGAACTAAATGTGGAAAATTATTCTGAAATGAAATAATGCTTTTGAAGGAAAAGATAAACATAATTTTTAAATTTTTAGTTTTTTTCTTTAAATATAGAAATGTACACATTTTTCTTTTTGGACACAAACTGTGTTGAGGGGGGGGGGGGGGGGGGTGAAGGGGGCAGCAGGTACGACAGGGGAGGTTGAAACTGGTGAGCAAAGTAGTGGTGACACTTCCTCAAAGAAGGAAAGGGTTGGTGCTCGCTCCCGTCGTTCCTCCGCCTCCCACTGACCCTCCTGCCCCCATCACTCCGGATCCACTTGGCCCACCCAAAATCAGCTGAGGAGGTGGTCCGCCTCCGTGCCCCATAAAAATCGAGCCTGGGGGTGCCATAGGCGAGAGGCCGCTGAAGGGCATGCCCATGGGGCTGGCCTGCATCATGCCCATGCCCATCCCTGGAGCCCCCATACCCACAGTCATTGGCCCCATGCCCATTCCTGGTTGCATCATGCTCAGCATGGGGTTGGGGGGCACAGGACTGGAGCGGAGGCTCAGGCCAAGTGAGGAGGGCTGAGGTGAGATGGAGCTCATGGGGGGGGCCACGCCAAACGGGTTGGAGCAGGCAGGTATTGGAGAAACCCCCCGACTGGAAATGGTGCTGCCTGGAGTCACTGCCATGCCAGGAGCAGGAGATGAGCCTGAGGTCAGAGGTCAGAGCGGACGGGAACACATCAGGATCACTTCATACCTGCCATTACACTTTGTTCAACACTTTTTCAGATACCTTTTCAATCCATGCCAGGTTTTTCTATTTTTCAACACATGCCAGTTAATCTAATAATCTAATCATATTTAATCCGCAACCATTTTATATGATAGATTTGGATTTTAATAACCAAATAGCTAAATATGGAATAGTTTGAAATGAACTTTTCTCAATTTTAGTGACTGTGAATATGTACGTTTTGTGTTACCAAGAAGGCTATCTCAAAATGCACTTTTCATGAACAGGGTTAGAGTGTCTCTATGTCTGTCTGTCTGTCTGTCTACAAAAGCAATGTTGATCTGAACAAGTTCGGTTACTGCTCTTTTCTCAGGTTATACACAGATATAGACGATAGCTGTAACTAACCTGTGTTCTGGAGGAAGGGGTTGTGCGCTGAAGAGGAAGAGATGGAAGGGGGCGGTGGCTGTTTGGGTTTGGGTTTAGATGACAAGAGAGAGTCGAGATCCACCAGCGCTGCGTTGGGGCCGAGGAAGGACTCGGGAGTCTTACGAACAGGAAGTGAAGAACCAAGAGATGACAGGTCAAAGGGCACCGGGGAGCCTGTGCTGTTACAGCCTATTGCCGGGGACCCCCGTCGCTCCGGGTCTCCTGAGGAGGATAGAAACAGTAAACCAGGATACAAGCAAAGTCTTTCTTTCCTTATAATATAACCACAGATTATATAACAGACACTCGAGGAGGATGAAATGTAGGACAAGACAACTGTAGTGTGCATGCAGTTATAAATCTGTGTGTAGTCCCTGTACCCACACCTCAGAGTCGGTGTAGCTTTAAGTGTGAATGTACCTGTGCCGTTTGTGTGTAGGGCGGTGCCACTCCAGATGTCGGAGGTTATAAGGTCAGAGGCAGGGAGAGCCCCTTCACCTGCCCAGGGGTCTACGGGCCCCCCCGAGGAGGATGTGCTGGGTGGCACCGGGGGGCCCCAGGGGTCGGCACTGGGGGGGGTCACAGCTACAGGGGAGGGGAGGAGACGCAGGGGAGGGGAGGGTTAACACAACACCTTACAGGTACATACACAATAAAGAGGGAGCAGGAAGCTGGGCTGGGTTCCAACACTGTTGCTTCTCTCCTTTAACCTCTGCAGTCCCACTAACGTGACAGCTGACAGCAGATAGTAGGTTCACCGTGTTACTGTCGCCTTTTTAATATCTAAAGCTCAGTGGAGGTAAAGGAGAGATAATAAGCAGCTACCCCATACAATAAAGAGGCACAAAAGGGGTGAGAGAAGAGACAGCTCTGGTTGAGACACAGCCACAGTCAGTCCTGAGTAGAAACAAGAGGATAACAATCCCTGGTTTAGACACAGAGGGAGAATGGATTTAGCATGCTTGCTTTCCTCATTACACACTGAAAGCATGTATGAGAGCTATGACAGCATGGTGACATGACTACATTACAGGCAGTAATGAAGACAGGAAATGGAACAGAGGAGTAAAGGTTGAGAGTTCTTCACATCCTCTTTCATCCAGAGAGCAGGACACGCTTCTCTTCTGATACTCAGCCGAGAGATCACATTTCCAGTAACCTGCGGATTGACTAATGGTGTGGTTGCTTACCTGAACTCGCCCAGGGGTCGATGTTGTTAACTCTGTTGGACGTCTCTCCCCAGGGGTCAGGGGGAGGGGCTATATTGGGTGGAGCTCCCCCACCCCAGGGGTCAGAGCTTGTAGGGGATGTGGGTGACGTAACCCCCCATGGGTCTGCAGGAGCTGCGCCCCAAGGACCTGATGCAGCAGGGGCAGGAATCGAGGGTGGAGGCGAGGGGCCGGCAGAGCTCAAAGGGGCCGCAGCACCCGCGGCCCCCCAGGGGTCGACTGCACTCAGCTCCATCAGAGAGCCCTGTGCCGAGAATATCTTATCGATTAATGCTCCTAAAGCTGTGTTCAGAAAGAAATCTAAGGACACATTCACCCCACGATGTAGAGGTTAGATGACGAGGAATTTCACAAAATGGAGAAGTCAGAAGAGAGAGAGAACTGCAGATCAAATACCACTGCTTTTTAAAACTACTTTATGATTTAATCTAAGGGGGATGACCTCAAGGGACGGTCTAAACCACCATTAACACAACAGTTACAATAATTTGGGGGAACTGAGAGAGACACAGATAGAGGAGGTAATGTCAGGAGAGTGAGAGACGTAGAGACACTTTGAACACACACCTCCTCCGGCTTCTTCTTTTCCCTCCTGCTCTCCTCCAGGGCCATCTGCAGTCTCAGGTCGTCTCCTCTGCGCAGTCGCTCTTCCTGCCAATCACACACACTGTGATGTCAGCTACCTGAGACACACAACCTTAGAAAGCACACCACATTTACAGATTTAAGATCAGTTTAAGATTCCAAAGATGAATTAGTGGGATTGGAAGTGAAGACGTTTGATCACCATCTACAGTCAAAGGAAATTAAGGCGAATCAACCAATCCTTGAATTAATAGAGTTTGCTATTTTGTCTGATTCTCACAGTATTTGAGCAAATCACAATCAGATCAGACACATGCTTGTTTCACACATGAAATAAGGTTATCCAGGACTGCTGTCAATAGACAACCTAAAATAAAATTGAGTACAGATAAACTGTCTGGAAAGGTTTAGACAAGGATAGGCTATAATTGATATACTATATATACTGACTGAACCAACATCAGCACTTAAGGGGGAAAGACAAAGACAGCCGTAGTTAATTTGCTTGTTGACAAGTTGTCATTTTCTATACTTCACAGAAACTGTTAGCTGGTTTTAATTCCTTCATGCTGTTTGTGGATAATTTGCTTAAAATGCTGTGCATAAAGAACAGGAAGTCGTCTTTTAGCATTGCCCAGTCAAGCCACTTTGACATCCAGCCTACCTGGAGTACATCAAATAAAAACGCCTGGATCAACCAACACAAATCTTGCAGATCGCCACAGGACGTTCCCACCTAATTCAACCTTGTTTTCTATCACCTAGTAGCAAGGAGTGACAGTGATTTATCCATGAAGAACAGACAGTGTCTGCTATATAACGGAGCAAGTCTTATGCTTAATGCCACTTGTGACATATATTGTTATCCTTATAAGACCCTGCTTTAGTTTTAGATTACACCAATGGTGCAGTAAGTGCAGGACTCTACCCACTAGCATAAAAAAGGTTAACAAATGTTTAACTCAGTCAACATGGTACAAGCAAGTTACAACAGCAGGAGACGGGTGTAACAGTTTAGGTAAAGAGTGCATTCAAAAACAAGACTATAATTGAAAGCATGCTATCAGAGATGGTGAAGGAGAGGAAAGAGTGATCAAACCACTCAGTGTTTAATTCAGTAAGTTATGAGAAATATTTGCCAATGCCATGCATATTCAACAAAATAAATTAGAGATAATCAAATCTTTGGGAGCTGACTTTTGACATAAATTTAAAAAAGCACCTACTTTGCAAGCTTTATAGTTTTACAGAATGTAAAGGAATTTGACTGGACAAGTGATCACGACCAAATTACTGCATTCTGATGCAAATTTATATTTTGAAGAAAATGACACATGACAAATATGAGCAGAAATTAGTTTTGTTAATTGATCAATACTTGATGTGTAATTCAGAAATTCCAATTGACAGAAAGACAGATAGTATGTGACTGGGCCCCAGTCAGCTGGCTCTGCCCCCTGACCTTTTGTTGCGCATCTTTGCTGAGTGTGATAGCATAGCTGAGCTCTGCGTCCTCCAGAGGGTCCTTGTTAGTCTGGGGGAGGTCAGGCAGTACATGGTGAGAGCAAAGCTAGGTGTGTGTGTGTAGTGAATAGTATGGGTAATATCCCTATGTGTACACAAGTGCTGAAACAAACTGTACAAACTGCAAACTCTGCTGGTGTTAGTCACAGTAATGTTTGAATCCTTATCTCAGAGGGCTCTAACTTAGCTGTGTCTGCCCTGAATATGCTGCTTTGTGTTACCTGCTCTGCCTCTTCTTTACTCATGGCCAGAGCCAGCTGGAGTTGCAGATCTTCCTCTCCAGTGCTCTGGGGCCACGCCTGCTCAGGGTCGGCCCCCCCAGAGTGGGAGCCCGCTGACAGGCTGCCTCCCAGGCTGGGTGCTGAGGGAGCTGAGGAGGCTGCAACAGAGACAAACCAGAATATGCATGAATGAGAGCTTGTGTAAGGTCATCAATTTATCAGAGCTAAAGGCCTTCTTTCAGTGTAATACTTTCACTTTGAGCATTGGTTAAATCTTTTAAGACAATCTATTTTAAGTACCATTCTCACCACTGGAGGTTTGTGCCATCTTCTCTTTGGTTTTGAGGGCGTGGATCCTCTCCTCTCTTAGTCTCTCTTCATCTTTTAGCAGTGTCACCAGCTGTTTGGCTTTCTCTCTAACATTTACCCCCTGGAAAAAATACATGCATAAGCAAACAATTATATCCTGCAAATTAAGTGTATTGTTTTTACATAACCATACAGCTGTACACCTCAGAGTTAGTGTTAAAGCTTGTTAGTTTGTTAGTTCAAGGTTTCATTTACCAACGTCCCATAACAAACTTTAATGGCTGGCTTTGTTTGCATAGGAGGTCAGAAACACATTGTAAAATGTCCTAGAATTACACACAAGCGGCATGTTTGGAAAAGCATGTCTGCATTCCACAAAGGTGGAACTTACTTGCTAATCACTTCAACTATCTATGCAGCTTTGTGGGCGTGGGTGCGTTTGTGTACCTGGTCTTTGCCGTCTCTGTCTATGAACTGGAAATCCTTGAGGGTCTGGACTGCGTATATGTTCTCTCGGCACTGTTGGGCAACACGTTCTGAACCCGTCTTGATCAGGTACTCCATAAGAGTCATAGCCTGGTGGAAACAAAATCACAACCAATTGACCAATTGTAGAAAAGGGACTTTAATTCCCTTTTTTAGATTCAACATACATTCACATGCTTTCTGTGTGTAAGTTAACACACACCATTAGTACTAATAAACAAATTCTAAATAACTCATACATTGCATAAAACCAAAAATATTTGGAACGGGTCTGAAATCTCTCTCCAGCTTACTCATTGAATTGTTATACAGATAACACTCAATGGTTTACTCTGTAGTGAGTAGTTCATTGAGATGTATTAATATTTTATATTGTTGCATCGACTCAGTTGTCTTGTGTCTTATCTGTCAGAGAGAAATTATTTTACTTTTTTTTTTTTAATACATTTGACCTCCTTGTGTCTATTAAAGGTGGGGTAGGTAAGTTTGAGAAACCGGCTCGAGATCGCTAGAATTTGAAAATACACAACCGGAGAAAATCTGCCACTTCCTTATAGAGCCCCTCCTCCAACACACACAAACGTGCACATGACCAATGAGGGCACGAGATAAGTTTGTGCACAGATGGAAGGCTGACAGGCAGGTAGGCCATCCAGTTATTTTAGCCGGGCCGGCTAAAATAATTGGTCGTGCTTTTTACAGTATTACGGCTTCCACAGATGAAATATTTTTATGGATTTTTGCTGATAAAATGTTATATTTGCTGCATGTACCTTTAAAGTTCTTAACAAATAATCTGAGGGGAATTTATTGTTGTTTGTTTTTAACTGGTGATGTGTCATTTTGTAAAGCACTTTGAGCTGCATGTGTTGTATGAAAAGTGCTATATAAATTAAGCTTTATTATTATTATTATTATTATTATTTAAGACGCTTCAAAATCATCGTCATTCTGCATCATCAATGATAAATGTAGTGTGGCAAAATTCAAAACCAAATGTTATTGAAGGAAAACATAAAGTGGACATCCTATTGCCAAAATATCATCTATTATACATTCAAACAATGCGAAAACCAATAATGTGTGTATATTATGGTATATGTACTGGTGACATATTGCCACACAATTATACCCAACAGCACAAACAAACACAAACCTTGTACACATGTCTCCAGTTCTTGCCGTGGTCATTGAGGCGCTTCCACACCATGCTCATGATTTCCGAGAAGGCCACAACATTGTAGGTCAGATCAGCAATCTCTGACATCAGAGAGCTGCTGGGGCCCCAGGGGTCATTGGACGTCGCCTCTCTAACCTGCAGCACGGCAAAACAGCAAGGGACAAACTTCCAATTATCCTCTATCCGAACTGTCGTGATAAGAATCATATTGAGCGAATACTTTGTAACAATTTGGGACAATGGTCCACAGTGTTCTGAGTATCAATACAAACTCAGTCACGACACAAGCCGGAAAGAGGCAGACTAATGAACGGATATATGATTAGGTTAGCTAATATTATGAATAATAACTGGAAAGAGGGGGCATGTTGCTTTGCTCGTCAGCAGCTATATGAAGTCACATGTGCTGTAGAGATAAACAGATTACATTTCAGCAATGGACATATGGGGGATGTGGGTGTGAGAAAGAAGAAGACCAGATAAGCAGAAAGACACACAACCTTGATTTCAGCCTCTGAATAGTTGTGGACGATGTTCTTTACTTGTCGCCGTAGCGATGAGGTCGACATGGCAACGGTCTGGCCGTCGAGTCCTGCTGCAATCTGAACTGCAAATGGAGAACAGAGAGGGGTTGTAAAATATAGGTAATACAAAGCGAACAGCAACAAAGGGCAAAGAGGACTCTTATTTCAAGGAGCAAAATAGGTTTAATTAAAAGAGTAAATTCTACTTTCAAAAAAGAGGGCAAGAAGAGAAAGAGTCAGAAAGACTGGATGCAAGTACAAGAGTCTGGATAAAAGGTGGTTGTCCTTGAGAAGAACAATCAGAGTGTGAAAGAGGGTGTCTATAGCAGATACATCTGAAACCATGTGACTGCTGGTGTCAACAGAGGAAGTGAGAGAGCGAGCGTCATGCACACCTGTTACACAAGAATGATGCAGAATGAAGGTCTCTCCTCTTGCTTTCTTTTCGTTTTTCTGGCTTGTGACTGTGAGCCACTCATTCACGGAGTGCTATGTCTCAGTTTGTCTTTTTCTTCCTGTGACAACATTTGGTCCCAAAACCTTGGGCGTAGGGAGATGAAAACTAAGGAGCAAGATTGAGATTATCATTAAAAAAGAACCTACACATACTGAGAGAGTATTACTATATCCCAACAAACAGACTAGAACAAGCTGTAACGTTATGCTAGGTCTAACTCCAAAGAAAGCATTAGAAAATATTCAGCTACAAAATCACAGGACTTGTTGCTGAACCACACATGGCTAATAGTCAGAGATACACCATACTAGTTATATACTTTATCTTGTTTAGTTAGTCAAGTCATAAAACCCTTTTTTATTCTCCAAAGAATAAGAGTTATTGCCATTAAGACACAGGAAGGGGAAAATGTGTGTTGTTCCTTACACTTAAATAACATCAGTTGCCAAACCTCAATTGCAGCATTAGGACTCACAAGAAGCCGCAAGTTTTAGGATTAGGACATGAAGTTCACAAGTTCAAGTACTAAATAAATATTGTATTTGTGAACAGATATTGAAATTGGAAATCTTAGGTATGCTAGATGATAACAGGATCCATTTACTTCATTTCAGGTAATTATATTCCTTATCATTAGACAGATTGAAGTCACAACAACAGTGTTGGTAAAGACAAAAAGGTCATAAAAATATCGCAATATTTTTACAGCTCCAAGATGGTATGCAAATAAGCGTGCAGGGCATCTCGGAAATTAAACTTGAACCTGTAACAAGTTCATACAGAAGTGAAACATTTTACATTTTACTGATGTCAGCCATTCACAAGAGTCGGAGTATATGGTGATCATGTTATCAGCAAAACATGTGATTAACAATTGAAAAACACTGTCTGATGAAATCAAATCATGGCTTCTGTTGTGCCATTCCAGTGGTACGGTCTCAATTTGACAAAAACATTATGAAACCATCCTGTCGGATGCTGGTCGTGTAAAGGAATGCAAAGAATGATTTCATGGCACAATATTAAATCCCACTGTACCTACTGAGCATTGTTTGAATGTGATTGCTTACGCAGCAGGCTGAAACACTGTTGCTGACCAGATGCATCCTTTCATTGCAGCAATCTGCATTTTCTCACCAAATAGATTATCATTTCGGGTCATGACACAAAGACACTGAGTAACCAATTCACCTACAGGCATGATTTTAGTGCCAATTTATATAAAAGCTATGCATGTCTTTTTTAAGAGCTAACTTCAAACATTATCTACCCTGTAATACAAATAAAATGAAATAGTCATTATCCAGTTATTCTTCTGCCTCTTTAAAAGAATGAACCCTAATTATATCAGAGTTTGAGTTTAGACATGTTGTACTCTTTAAAAGCACACACAGGAGGAGCAGTTTGAGCAAGTTCAGCTAAATACATTAAAGATATTAACTTTCAAAGACCACTCCCTCAACTGCCATATCTCAAGAACTAAAGGCAGCAGGAAGGCAACATATCTTTGGCTAAAGAAGAAGAAAAGTTCAACCCACACACTGCATCAATATTCCCTGAAAAAGGAAATGAGCAATGGTGGGAATTGGAAACCAAGAAACTATGCTTCTCTTCCTATTTCCCTAGCCTCAAACAGACCTTCCTGCGTACAAGTATATATTCCTCAGGAGGGAAGTATGCAGACTGACCTTAACACCATGCAATCTGATGGGCATGAAAACAATTCATACCTTTCTGTTGTTTTGTTTATAGCAATTTAAATAATAATGTACTTCTTATCTTACATTCTTAAATACACTCTAGCTGTCTCTATGCCTGTAGACTGTTTTACACACCCACATATACAATAGTTACATAGTAACTTAACAACAGGAATAACACATTTACGGGAAGATATGCATATGTTCAGGTTTAAATATACTTTGGTAAACCAATGGTGAACCAGACACAACTTTGGTGTATACTTGTACAAGTGTTTTAAATAAGCCTGACACATATAGATTGTCTGTGTTTAGAGTTGTAGGTCAGACAAATATGAGACCACATTGCACAACTGAATCCAATGCAACTATTGCAAAAGCCAGGTCAGAGACTCCTGAAGCTCCGTATCCAAAGTTCAGACACTAACTAATCGTTGATAAGGGGCCAAATAATACGCCCTTTGTATCTCAGGTTGTTTCAAATATCTCCACAATCTCTAATACTAAAGAAGGTTTCATTAACTATGTGTATATGTCGTTGTTCTGAAAAACACAATCAAATTATCTTCTACTTTGAATTGTCTTCTCTGCTTTACATATGGGTTTCAATGCCCAATCATGTAACCTCTGACAGGCCTGAAGAAGAAGTATACAATATATTTAAGGAAGAAATGAAGTAAAAGAAGAACATACCAGAAAACTCTAGGTCCGCTGCAACATTCATTACATACGGCTAAAGACTTGTCTTTTTGCCTTTTATCTAATCATATAAGTATTAATTTATTTCAATGCACTGGAGCATTTGTTGTTGTATGTTATACCTGTATTTTCATATTATAGCTTGTTTTACTTTTTGAGTTCTGTTCTGCTGCTCAATTTGTGTGTTCTTTTTATGTGGGGTTATGTGAAACACTTTGAACTGTCCTGTACTCCTGTTGCTGAAATGGGCTGAATAAACTTGCCTTGCCTTCAGACCAACAGAAGCCCCACTTATATGAGTGCTAGGTTGAGCTAACACATGTTAATAATACGTTATAGGCAAATCATCCAATACAAACAAATCGCTGTTACACTTGCATTACAATAATATAGATTTGCATAAAGTGCCAACCAGGCCTGCATAACCTAAAAAAGGGAGAGTATTTATGTATCTGTGTTCCCTAGCCCAATATCCTGAAAGGTATAATTTACTCAGCAATGTTTTTTTTCCCTTGTTCAAATGTTCAATGTATGTTTCACTGGGGCAATATGGTGAAATCCCCCACCTACTGCTTACTGATGCTAAACTCTACGCCCTCAAATGTGCAGGGAAAGTTTTCTGGACTTTAGACATTGATATCGCCACAGTGGCTGAACACATTTTTACCATACAGGTCCAATCTCCCTTTTAAAATATAGTAATGATCCCAAACCTGAGCTTACTTAGTCCCCCTGTCACTGTACACTTGACGTTATCCACACCCAGTTAGCTGGCACACTGATAACGTTAACAACCGTTACCCATGTAACGTTAAGCAAGCAGTCTGTCAACTGACAGTGCTAGCTCTCCAGCAAGCGTTAACTTAATGTTAGACAGAGTGGGGACCATGACATTATACAACACTGTTACCAAAAGCATTGTGAGCATTATCTGTGTCAGAAAAATATGTATGCGAAAGACAAGTTTACGCGCAATTACTAAAGCTGATAAGGCAATAAACATTGTCCTACATGTCATTTAACTGTTAGCTTATATTATCCACTTAGCCGGCAAACTCTTCCATTCTCACACCTTTCGAAACAGTTAGCTAACACTTTGACACCAGAGGTTTGGGTAAAGTCTGAGTAAAGTGTAGACAGAGGTACAGAAGGGTGTAGGGTGTTTTTGTACGAGTTGGCAGACAAACTAACGCGAAATTAAAGGTGATATTCTCCACACAACCGTGAATCACTACACACTAGGAAAGGGCGGTTAGTTTACCTGCCAGCTTCACTGATAAAAGAAATCACTTGCTGCTGCTGCTAGAAAAGATTAGCCAGCTAGTAAGCTAGCAGTTAGCTAGCTAGCTGCTGCTAGAGAGTTCGCAACATGATTGCTAGACTATACAAGCTTTAATCAAGGACACGTCCTGCTGTGGGACAGTGTTTGATATACACGTTCAAATCACAAGCCAAAACGCCAAAAAATACTGACAACAGACCAAAATAAAAAAAACAAATCAAGTGTGTACTGACCCTGTTGTAGCTTGAATGTACGAGGAGATGGCCGAATTTCCGCTTCCGTTCTCGGCTACAGGAAAGACCGCACCCCCTGTAGCTTTGTTTTCCTTGGATGGTAGTAGAAGACTCATTCATAATTTATTGATTTTTTTTAATGCCAGAATTTGTGTCCTAAATGTAATTAATACAACATTAAAGTTTGGTTAATTTTCTATATTTTTTTCTATATTTTATTTTATTTTATTTTATTATTTTGATTTGAACTATTTTGTAACTGTTTTCCTATTCAAGAAAATAAGACATCCCGTTAAACAAGACCTACATATTAATTACTAGATATCCTTTGCAGCACCGCAAGAGTTTATAGATGAACATAACAATGGCATTTTCAGTACTCCAATATAATACCACGGTGGAGTGAGTCTCAAATATAAAGTAAAAATGGCAATCAGTCAGTGTGCATTCTGCAGGGTTGCTTATTCCTATCAAAATCAGAATCAGAATTAGTTCTAATTTATCCCAATGGGGATAACAACAACAATGTATTAAAGAGGAAATCTGTTCAATACATTATTCCAAGAAGAGACAGGGAAGTGACTTTTGGATGGCCTAATCTACTGTCTATGTATGGGAAATAAATCACATCCATTTTCACGTGTGTTTAAAAAAGTGTTTTAAGGCCCTCTTTGGTCAAATTATAACCTTGATTGGGCCTATAATACTAGAACCGACCTTTTTCTGCTTTTATCAATTCTTTATTGGCTATAAATGTGCAATTATTTTATTTAAAGCCTTCAAAAATAAGTTTATCCCATTAAGTGTACCTAAACCAATGTGGTTCATCATGATTTAGGATTTTAATAAAATCTTAAGTATTACCATCGTTGTAACCATCATCATAATCCTGACATTTTTGACATTAGGTGTTATATAACAGCTGAAAATACGAAACAGAAAATGTCGACATTTTATTTAAAATTATTAACACATCATATTTCCTTACAAAGAGACTCTCAATATCACTCCTCATCAAACAATAGTCTGCTTGTTGAAGGCTCAGTGGCAAGACACATGACCCGGCTGCTGATTGATTATCTTCAGTTTTGCAACATAAATCTGCAACAAACCACGTCATATTAAGAGCTAATTGAGCGGCATATAATTCACATTTAAAATTAAGCCTGCAGAGCCTTAATTAAAGAAAGACCAATCTGGAAATCCAAAACCACTCTCTAAATGTCATTAATAAGTACATTTAATGTACTGTAATGCACTGTGTGGTTTTCTCCTCAGTAATGTAATGGCATACTTTCACCACATAGAGGCATCATTGCACTAACTCTCACATCAAATGAAACCATAACAGTTTCCAATAGCTTTTCCTGTCAGTGGTTCCATAAAAAGAACACAGCAAGAACAACAGAGTAACAGCTGGGGGGCACCGGTGTTACAAACTCCCCTTTTATCTTCCATCCCTTTATCCTTTTATCTTTTCCTTCTCCCAAGGGAGGGGGGACTGAAGGCAACTTTGCAGCAAACTGTTCACTGTTGCACTGCTTTGGAAACATTAATCTCTTGAAGACAAACCAACAAATGCAGGCGATTAGAAGAACCATAAAATCTATTTTAACATGTGTCAAATGTGATGCCACAGAGACACTTTATACAGGATACCCTTTATGCCCACTGCCACTACTCCGTCCGTTTGAGGGAATATAAAAGCTATCTGCAAGTAAACTATACATATTTGTTATTTTAATCATTTATGTGAGTTTGTGGATGAAAGATAAATTCATTCGTTTGCTCAAAGAGAAAAAAAAGATGACAATAACAAAACAGAGTGATCCACAAATTAACTAAATATGAGTACACCCTTCAAAGACAAATCTAATTTGGTGCTGATATGTGGTCCAGATAATGCATATGGCTACATATTATCTTAATACTAAAACAACAACCACAACATCATGTCTCCCAGAAGAGTGCTTTTTAATAAATTCCATGTTATCTTCACAGACGATTAATTATTTTGTTGTGATTAAGGGCTGGGCGATATATCAATATCAATTAAGAGGATATTGTCTTTTTTCCTGGTTTTAAAGGCTGCATCACAGTTAAGTGATGTAATTTTCTGAACATCCCCACTCTATTCTAGCTTTTCTATTATTGCCTTTCTCCACATGGTCTTTTAATCCAGTTTATTGAGGATTATTTATTGAAAAAATTGCATTGTGTAAATCACAAACACAAGCATTGGTGTTAAGCCCCGGTATACGTACAATATAACTTGACGTTGTTCTTGTAGTAAATGTTATCAAATGCAGGAAAAATTCAATATTACAGTAATATATTTATTTAGACCAATTCCCAGTGTCTGAACTCTTGAAAATGTTCCCAACATTCCTGCATGTTTGGTGCAAGTCCTTCTTCCTCATTTTAAATCAGTTATTTCAGTAATTGCACCACTTTCATTTCATTTCATTTCAATCTTTATTTCGAACAGATTAAAAAAACAAAAACAAATAAAAAATAACAAATGTGAAAAACAGAATACCGTATTGTTAAAATACAGTATTTATCCATATTCACGATAATATTTATATATTCAACAAAAAAAAGTCTTCATATTAATAATAATAATAATAATTAAAAAAAATCATATGTGTCCGAAAGGGAGTAGGAGGAAGCAAATGCTTATTAATTCCCACCCCTTACTTGATCAATGATTGTCCTTTAAGTCATTATGCAAGTTATTCCTACTTACATTTACATTTATACATACATATAAAATAATTTCTCATCTTCAATCACCTCTCTTCATTCTCATAGTTTTCCAAAAAAGTGTTTCTGTACATCCCTTTAAACTGAATTATGCTTGTGCTTTGTTTTAACTCCTGCTCCAAACCAATCCATAAAATCACCCCACAGATTGTTATACTCATACTTCTCAGAGTTGTTCTGACCTTGAGTTGTTTAAAATGTAGATTTCCTCTCAAATTATACCCACCCTCTCGGTCTATGAACAATGTTTTTAATTTCCTAGGAAGTAGATTATGTCTTGCTCTGTACATGATTTGTGCCGTTTTAAATTGAACCAGATCAGTGAACTTCAATATGTGTGACTTCAAAAATAATACATTAGTGTGTTCAAGATATCCAACATTATTGATAACTCTTACAGCCCTTTTTTGTAATGTGCATAACGGCTATAGGTTGGTTTTGTACGTGTTTCCCCAAATCTCCACACAGTAAATCAGATATGGCAATATTAGTGTGTTATATAGAGTATACAATGAGTTGTAGTCCAGAATGTGTCTGGCTTTTCCCAATATTGCGATAGTCTTAGCCAGTTTTGCTTTTACATGAGTGATATGAGGTTTCCAGCTGATTTTGTGGTCCAAAACCACACCAAGGAACTTATTTACATATACTCTTTCTATGTTTATGTTATTTAGTATTAATTGCACCTGTGGATTTGTTTTATGTTTTCCAAATAACATAATCTTTGTTTTGCTTATATTTAATGATAATTTGTTTGTGTCAAACCAATGTTTTACTTTAATCATTTCTGCTGTTATCACTTCCATTAGCTCTTTCAAATTGTCACCGGAACAAAAAATATTAGTGTCATCTGCAAATAAAATAAATTTCAATATATTTGATACTCTGCAAATGTCGTTGATGTATATTATGAACAGCTTTGGACCCAACACGGACCCCTGAGGTACTCCACAAGTTATGTTCATGTATTCTGATTTATGTTCACCAATTTCAACAAATTGTTGTCTGTTGCTTAAATAATCTCTCACAACCCATACCAGGAAATGTAAAGATCAAAATCTGTCAGTCTTCTCAAATCCTCTTTTTGTTCACCATCATACAACATACACAGTATACACAGTACATCTAAAGTGCAGGAGTTGAAAGAGACGACAATCTCATCTGTCATGTAAGCATTAACAATTTCCTTTTTTAGATGTCAAAAGCACTCAAAAAGATGGAAGTGTAACCGAATAGGAAAGACGTTTGTTATGTAACTTGCCAGTCATGTCAGTCAGCATATGTATGATGCATATGTTCAAGACCATCCATTAATAGTGGAATGTGTGAGCTTTATGTCCATGCATTTGTGAATGAAAGTGACAGTCTTTTGGCATCAACTTGATGAGAGCAATAAAAGTGTTGTTTTGGTGGTGGAGGGGTTGTCACAGCAGGGGCCACAGGACCCTATGGAGCGAGCACAAACATGGACGTATTGTGGTCAGCCACATGACCCCGCAGTGGTAGTAACCTGAGCAGGGCCCAGTCGTTGTGATAGCAGCCAGTGTTTGTGTTACATAACAAACATCCATTGAGCCAGTGGCAATAATAGTCCTGTATAGTATGTAGTACCAAGGGAAATCAATCTGAGTAGACTGAAAGAGGAGGAGGGTGTCAGGGCCATAGGAGCTGAACAGGTCTGATCTGCAGCTGTAGGAAACAGAACTGGCATGTAGACGTCAATGTACAGAACCAACGTGTTTAACAAGACAAGGTTTCAGCTGTTAGCAATGTCTCTAAGTGATGGTAAGCCATACTATGTACTTTAGAGATAAAGCGAGATGTGTGAGAGTTGAAAGATTGAAACCTGAAAGAACCTTGAGAATGTTCTTCACTGTGGTCTCAAGAGGCTTTCATTTTGAAATCAAACACATATTCTTATGCCTCCTGCAGAGATGGAAGGGAATGGTAAAATAAGAAAAGGACAGTAATATTGAACAATAACATGGCATGCGTAACTGTACCCAATAATCCCAGTGACATTCAGGGATCAGGGGTACAGCTTGTTGGCCTATTCCGATCATTCCAGCATACCTGCTGATTAAAAGAGGGATCCTACACTGAGGGTGGAATTTCTGACTCAGACTGACTGAGAGGGTGAGAAAGAGCGAGACGTGGAAAGATGAGGAGAGGAGGAGAAGGAGGAAGTGTGTATGTACAGTGAGTGACAGCTGAGAAGAGATTGGGGAGGAGAGCGATGGGTTAATGTGGTCAGGCGGACTGACAGATTGAGAACGGTAGGATTTTAACACGGCTGTGGAGTGGGAGAGAGAGGTGGCACGTGGGAGAGGGAGGGAAGTTTGAAATGCCTTGTAGGTGGTGCACACGTATCTGCCAGCATAACAGAAGAGGCAGCGTGAGAGAGAGAGAGAGAGAGAGAGAGAGAGAGAGAGAGGGTACTGACACGAGAGTAGGAAAAGAGAGGGAGAGTCCAGTGTGTGTCTCCTGGGGAGAAGCACGTAACCAATATCCAGGTCTCCAGTAAACATATAGCAGCCTCCTTTACACAGCTTCTCTGCTACTGCATCGACCAAGGGGGCAAAGGCAGAAATATCAGCTTCAATTCCAGTTTAATTATCAGCAGCTGATTGCATTGGCAGCACTTTGATAGGAGTCTATAGATGCTGAAAAAAGACACAACAAAGTGAGCAGAGATCCACCATCTGAACAGAAAATGACAGTAAGTATTGCACTTTATTCCTGTAAGGATGCATCAGCTGCAAACATTAAATGCACACCAAGTGATAATCTTGAATTCATTAAATTGTGTTTAAAAAAACAAACAATGGCAATAGAAACATGCATAAATGCAATTGTTTATTGTGTGTGCCGCGGCAATTAAAACAAAAAAAAAGTATTGTATAAGTGTGTTCTTGCATCTGACATGCATGAATGGTATAAATGCATTTGTGGCTTTTTATTGCAAAATGACTGGGAGGCTGGAAAAGTTTAATTGTCAGTGTCGTTGAGAGGATTTTCAGCTTGTTATGCAGAGCGCTTGTAGTGGACTTCAAATTTGTTAATGACGTTAGCTCAAGCAGAGCCCCTTTTAAAATCTCAGATCCCCATGGCTTGATACCAAGGGCAATTAACTACAGTAATAGGGTTTGATAAATAATCACCTCACTGCACAAGGACATGCTTCTGGTGCTACACATGTTTAAGATGCATCTGTGGTGATTTATGTATCAGAGCAACTAAATATAACGGTCCAAATGTGAGCTGCATTAAACTTAGTTGCAATTCTCCAAACAAAATAAATGATGGCATTAGTGGACTGACAAACCTCTGAAGAATGTAATCCTGCAATAACCCTGATATGTGTTTACAACTTCGTGGTCAAATCCCAAGTAAGGTTTGAATTCAGGAACTTAACACTGAGCTTTGAGTCCAAAAGTGTGAAGTAGGCATAAATTAGGCTATAAAGACTTGGCATATAAAGGTGGCACAGGAGACGGCTACTGTGTATTGAGCTCCTCCTCACTACGCATAAAGATTTACTACATTCCTGTTCGCATTGCAGGTTTATTCATTTTGCAATGACTGTCAACTACACATATTTTTATAGCCAATAACTGCCTTGCTGTAATTGTTGAGCATACCGCACTAAAACACTTTCATCACCCTTGTAACGTATCTTGTATCTTACCTGTATCATGTTAAAGGTTATATAACTTGTACGTTTAACACATTACTTTAATTTCAGACGTCATGTTTGATTATTTCACTTTTGTATATTACGTAAAGCAATGCAAATACAGTGTTTTTTCAGCCGGTGAAGTCAATGTCTGAAAGGTTGAGGTTGAGAGTCACATTGTGAACCAATGGAGCGGCATCAAACTATACACCATTGATCTAAAAGCTGCCCATCATCAGCTCAGTTTAAAATAGAGCTTTCTTGGCAACACCTTGGCCAAGAAGCCATCTCAGACTGGCTGAAACCTGCAGTCTTATTTTTGGATGCACATCAGGCCCATTTGTTTGTCGAGCAGTAACTCATAACTGAGATTTGAAGCTGCTGTCATCAAATAACTCTATAGTGTCATATAGCAACATTTGAATTGTCATCACCATTGCTTGATCCTAAAAAAATTCAAGAAATGATTGGTGAAATAAACATACATTTGTTTGCAGGGATACGATAGGCATAATTTAGTCAATAATCGAATCAATGGTCCAGTAAGCTCAGTTACGCAACATGTGGAAGGTCGAAAGTAAAAATACTGTATGTTATCACTTTATCTTTTGTGTTAGGCTGTGTGCTCTAACTGCCCACCACGGCCTTCTTAATTTGCTGGGGTATTTAGTCGGGGATCTACTTCAAAGGAAGTCATCATGAATGTGAATGATGGTGGAAACTGAGTGACGGCGCCACATGTCCTGATCGCCCTGATAAGACATGACGTCTGAAGTTTATCCCTTCTTTAGGACAATGAGGATCATGACCGATCAGCAGAAAGTGATAACGTATCACATCATTATTTTCCACAAAGCTCTGACAGATGCATGCTGGTATAGCGCGTACATGGTTTTTGAACTGTGAATATTTGCATGCCAGCAACTAAATGAAATTTGAAAAGACAACAAAACTCTTGACAATAGTAGCAGTGATTAGTGAAATATAAGATTTGAACAAACGCCACCTAAATTAATTATTCCAGTACATAATTTTACATGGCCTGGGAAAGATCATCAATATTTGTGACTATGAGCGAGCTCTCTCAAAGCTAGAAACTTGGCAAATTAGTCTCAAACGTGTGATATCAGCAGGTATGGGAGATTGAGTTAGTTGAACTGGAGATTTTTTGTTTTACTTTGTACGACAAAATTAGCTTTATTGCATTGAAATTGCAATTGCATTGTCAGTTGTGAAACAGAAAACGTCCCCAAGTCCTTAAAACATTTCCCGTGGTGCTTTCAGCGTAAACATATTTCCCAATGCATTGTTAATGGAGCAGTTGCAGACTTTAAACTTGATCACGTTACACTTTTGAGTGTGAACACTCGAGTTTTGGGATTTTAAAACGAGTTATTGATGGTTATTAAATTGTTTGGACCGTCCATAGGAATAACATGTATGAATTATTGAAAATGGGTGAAGTTCCCCTTTAAAGTAACAAGGTCATCATTACGCAACGAGCCATGTAGCGGTTTCATGTGACAGATTCAGAATTCATTTTGTGAAGTTATCTATCATCACCATCAGCACATGTCTGTCAAGCGATCTTCTTTCTCTGTGACAGCACTGAACCAATCACCATCTGTAGGCTTCATGCAGTGACATTGAATATGGATCTGAGTGTGTGTCTGTGTGTGTGTGTTCCCAGGATTCAGCAGCTCAGGAACTTGACGAGCGATGTTTCCTGTCGGCGCAGTCCATGCCCAATCTGAAGGTGTCCGAACATTTTCAGGTCCTAAAACTCCTGGGAGAGGGATCCTACGGAAAGGTCATGTTAGCTGTCCACAGAAAGAGAGGTTAGTGTAAGGCTCAAGGTCCAAGGTCATGACCATCTCCAATCACTCAGTCTGCAAGACTGAATTACACTCACATTGAAAATGGAGTTGTAATAAGTATTTTTGTTATGCTTCTAAACTCCTACTGTCCAATAGAAGATGGGGTCTTTGTCCACTGCAACACTTTACCTTATGCTCAGGTTTCTTTCTAATCGAGAACTACACATGTCCTGTGGAGTCAGCGCTGGAGTGAAGTGAGGATTGATCTGTCTTTCGATAGTGTCCACTTAACCTTTTGCGCCTCTGTTGCTGTAATGAAGTGCTTTGGGACATTCGCAGAGATAGAGTTGCTGCAACTGGGGAGTCTCTGTAACAGAGTCTCCCCAAAGGGGAAGTTATATTTGTTCACAGTGTCAGTGATGGACAACACTCAACACATTCCAACACTCAAATGACAGCTTTTTTTACTAAAGCCAATTAGATGTTGTAGTATTCAACACATGTTGTCTTTCTTCACCCCCTCAGGAACCCCTATGGCTCTCAAGTTCTTCCCTCGCCAGTCTACATCGCTCACCTCTTTCCTGCGTGAATACAATCTCTCCCTTTCCTACTGCACCCATCCTTCTCTGACACGGGCCCTCGGCATCTTCTTTTCTACGCCGACCTACTATGTATTTGCCCAACAAGCTGGTCTATACGGTGACCTCTACGACGTGATAGTGTCAGAGGTCAGTTTGGCTGAATGGTGTACAGTTGCTGTTAACACCCTACATGGCATGTTCAGCCTAACACATAACACAAGGAGGCTTTCTCCTCTAGTTTCTGCAGAACACTCGCTTGCCTGATCAGTTGGGTTGCACCCCTACATTTTTATCATACTATTCCCCCCCATCGTTAAGAATAGGAGCTTATCAAAAGACTCATAGGTCTTTAATGTCTGCAGTGTGGCTTTCTGGTAGAGGTTGCATGGAACATGTAACTGCTGACCTGGCCTCTTTGAGCTTTCATTTCAGTCAGCAAAAACTTGACGCAAGCTTGATAAAGGTTTCCAGCTCGCCCTCGTCTGTGTTTGTGTCACTGCCAGTAACATAATACAGAGTACTGATAGGAACAAGAGCAGCCTGCTCTCATGGGAGTACTTGAAGTACAGCAAGGGTTTCCAACCGCATCGTAAACCATTTGTTGTGACGTAGATGTTCCTGTTTGCACCAGAGATGTTCTAACCAGAGCACATCTCATGTTTATCTCTCATCTTATATATACTGAGATATATTAGAGGAATATTATTATTGTTGTTGCATAACAATTCATAGAAATGTCTTTCACTCCCGTTTATATTATTATACCTACTTGGTACAGCCTGTTATTTTTTTCTTATCTTTATTTCTTTCTTTCTTTGTGTCTTTTATTACTGCTGACACAAATGTAATTCAAATACTTTGTTATGCCATACTGCCTTCACACAGCTGCTTCCCTACAACGATTATTTGCAAATAGAATAACACTTAAACACCTTCTCTTTCAGGTTGGCGTGGATGAAGAGTGTGTCCAGAGGGTGATGTCCCAGCTGAGCGGTGCCGTAACACATCTCCACTCCCTGGGCTTTGTCCACCGCGACATCAAACCTGAGAATATCTTCCTGTGTGACAGTTCCTGTCGCTGGGTCAAACTGGGCGACTTCGGCCTGTCCCGGGCCATCGGCTCCACTGTGCGCGCCGTCTGGTACGACTCTCCCTTCTGCACTCCTGAGGTGGAACCAGCCAAGGAGGCGCAGACGGAGAGGGAGTGGGATGGGACTGAGGAGGAGATGGAGGAGATTTGGATCACAGTGGAGCCCTGTATTGACAGCTGGGCTCTTGGTGTGCTCGTATATTGCCTCCTAACTGGGTGCTTCCCCTGGGAGCAGAGCACCCATGATGACCGCGGCTATCGTAGATACAAGGAGTGGTTTGACAGTGAGGTAGAGAAGGAGGAGAAGATGAGGCACTGTGAGTGGAGAGGCGAGGAGGAAAGAGACTGTTACACTATCATGAAGGAGAACCAAAGGAACAACCCTCCTCCCTCACAGTTTGAGGGCCTCAGCCCACTAGCGATGACTCTTTTAAAGGAGCTGCTCCATCCAGAGCCCAAACACAGAGGAAGCCCCGAGGAGATCCTGAGCTACCTGGGAGGGCCGTGGCTGACAGAGACAGAAGTTGAAGAGAATAGGAAAGCCGATGAGGCAGAGAAGGAGGCAAGAAAAATAAGAGAGGAGGGAGGAGTAGAAGAAGAGCTGGCGAGGGAGGGAAAAGGGGAGAGATAAGCTTTGTTTCTATTAAACTGTTTCAAGTCAGATTTGTATTAAATGTTTGAAAATATTGCCCAAATGTATTTCTGTGTATGACTTAAATACAAACTATTAATACAGGCGTATGTTCTATGATGTGCTATATTTTCATATTTTTTTTACAAATATTATACATAACACTTTCATTGTTGTGTATATTCCAGAGTGTGTTCATGTGTATATATATGTGTGTATTAATGACATAATATAATTGTGTATAGATTATAGTATGTGAATCTTGAAATTAGAAGCTGTGTAAATAGTGCCTTTAAAAATCTGTATCAGACTTGTTGTAAAATAAACTCCTTTTATTCAAATTCTGATGAGGTATTGTCTTGTCTTTATTAGGATCCCCATTAGCACTAGCATGAGCATTGGCTATTCTTCCTGGGGTCCTCACACACACAAAACATACATAAACATACATACAGCTCATAATTTCATGCAATTTACAGTGCTGTATGAAGTGAAAACTAAAATGGTCATCCAATTATCGTTATAGGTATAGTTCATGAGTTACACATTCAGAGCCAGCCGGTCATTTTTACTTAGATGGTACACAAGTATAACAGTTGCTCTTATTACTCCCTTGACATGAAGAGAACCCATGTGTGAAGTTAGCAGATGACACCACAATCATGAACAGATGGACACGGTAAGCATAACCAAGAAGCTGACCGTTGAATTTCAATAGTAGAGGAGGAGAAAACCAACACACCTGTCTATATCAATTGAGCTGTGGTGGAGCGAGTTAACCGTTTTAAATTACTGGGAATCAGCATCACAACAACTAGACAAGGCCAGCACATTCTTTTTAACTACAGAGGAGCAGCAGAAAGCCTCCTAATTGGAAACATCACAAACAGGATAAGCAGGTCCCAGGACAGGAGGGTGATGTTGGGGTGCCTGCAAAGCCTAAAGGGTATTAAGGGACAATACCGGTCGGAGCCACGGCCAGTTCCCCTGTTGCCATCTGGCGCGAGATACAGTATCTACTATCACCAGATACCACCAGACTATGGGGCTGCTTCTTTTCTCAGCTAGCAGGAAGGTAGGTAGGCAGGTAGCAGTACAAGAGGACTATAACTGCATTTTGTTGCACAACACTGTGGTGTAAAATGACAATAGATGATCCTAAGTTGCATTTTTAGAATGGCACTTCCTGGTTCTAATACTTATTGTAAATGTGGGGTTGAACCAAAGCTGACCTCTTTTAAGTTAAGTGTAAATAATAAATCCGTTATTAATATATAAACATTGATATTTATGCAAGAGAGTAGAAAAAAGTAACACCTTTGACATGGTGAAGCAACAGGTGCTGCCGAACAGACAAAGCACATCTAAAATTGGACTGAACAATACAACCTGTTAGTGATAACTAAGATTCTTCGAGGTTAAGTTGATTCAAACCGCTGGTATACTACTTGCAGCAGAAGACACATGGTTTCAGAATTAGTTAGAAAAAGGTTTATTGCCAAGGCTATAAGTTAGGTTTCCAGAGATAATATTTTTTCAAAGTGAAGCTAAAAGGACCTACATCATAATATACATGAGTGATTGACGTGTTGACTCTAGAACAAACCTCATGTGAATTCTGCACACATCGCAGTGCAGTTCATGTGTCCTGTGTCCTGTGTCACAAGGGACAATTAGTCTGTGAGGAATCACCTACATTACTGTCACATTGCCCCCAAAAGAATGCATTGGTACAGTTATAGACACTTGACACACTTCTGCCACGACGGGATCATGTTATGATGTTGACAACAGTCTACTTTTGTAAAGGCAAAGAAAACACCGGAAAAATTCATTAAGTTAGCGTAAAAATTGACCACGGGAATTACATTTATTCAAACTGCAGTGTGCACAGTATCTCAGTCCTCAGGTTGGAGTGCGTCCCTGTTGGTAGCAAGCTGCTAATTTGCAGTGCGCTGTGATTGTATGTCAATAGGGCTTGTGCTAACCCCTGCTAAGGGCCACTCAAGATGGGTTTATAAATAGATCCCAGAACCATCTATTTACACACCATGCACATCATCACCTCTCTCTGACTATCTGCACTCCACAGCCCTCAATATGCAAAAGTCAGGCTGCCTTGGCGACTGCAGGCCTGTACTGTATAAGCACAATCTGATGGAACACTGTGACCCATCCTGCCTGTTAACTCCCTCGTCTCTGCCCTCTTTGTACCCCCGGCCCTCTTGATGATCACTTTCCCCCTGTGTTTCTCCTCTTGTGACACTTAGGCCTTGTCTTCCCTTTTCATCGTTCCCTTGTAGTCATATCTGATTTGTGTAACTGTTTTGGCTATCACCCCTTCATTCATTCTCTCCCTTGAACTTTCTCCTCTCAGGTCCACGGTAACATATACCAAGATCTGCTTCTTTAGCTGTGCTGTGGTCAATAGTAAAGTTTATTTACAAACACATGGTATCTCCTTTAGTAACCGCCGTTTGGGATGCTATGTTTTCCAGGAAACAGAAGACACAAAGCTCATGTGACACTCGGGTGGGACCGGGTTAATGGAGGACCACAGCCTGACAAATGGAAACACATGGTGCGGACCACAGAGACAATAGAGTGCCAACACCAAGAGGATAATCACGGTGCAAATCTTCTCGAGGCCCATGAGGACAAATGGCAGGGATGATGAAAACAGGAGAAATAAGGACAGCTACACACGCATGTCCCTACTAAAATCTAACTGCAATGTCCAGTAGCTGCAGCTCCATTGACTTTAAGTCTTGTTCCTTCTTCCAAGTCACGACAGACCTTTAGATATTCGCAAATATGTAACCAGAGATCATCAGATTTAGATTCATAATGTCAGCAAAAATCTGATTTCATGCTGCTGGTATCGAATGAACCTCACATTGGCACAAAAGTTTACACTTCGTGAAGGCATGGTGTGACATTTACTGCCCATAAAAAATCTTAAAAATGTAAATAGTGAGATCCCTTGTTTATGGGTTTCATGTTCCCTAATATAAATGTTTCCCTAACAGAATAAATGACCACAGGTGCCATGGATGAAGGATGTGTGGACAACCAGCTGGAAAATGATGTTAGGTGTAACAGATATTAAGAAACATATCTTATAAAAGTTGCCAAATGTCAGGAAAGAAATATCAGCAAAAACAGATATGAGAGCCAGATTGATGGGCACAGTGGAGCAAATAAATAATTCATAGGGCTGAATGTCTGACATGTATCCCCACAGGGAAGAAAAACACCTGGGTCAACATGTCCTATATTTTCCCCGTACTTTCCCAACTTTCCCTGCCACCTCATTTATTTCACAGGATCAGGAATGATAATCCTTACTCACTAGAGAGACTCAAATGAACACTTTTGCAGTGAGAAGCACTAATGAGCTTAACTCGATCTAGTATGTCCTGAGTAAGCATTCACTGAGAATCGTAATGTGCTAATGGGAGAGTTCATGCTGCAGTGTGTGTGTGTGGGCATGTGTGTTTAAAAGCATAGGAAACACAGCAGTACAGCTACCATAGACACTAATGGGGAGCTCTAGGGTGAGGGAGCAGTGTTGGGGTGAAAAGAAGGTCGCTGGTATGTATTGCAGAGCTGGCATGCATCTTGCACTGCCATCTAACTAATAAACAAGTTGAGAGATTATCATGTGTTTACTATCTGGCATGTTTGCCAGTTTGCCATTCTGCGCTACTTTCTGGCTCCCACACCACCTGCTTCCTTTACTCCCCTCTTTCTCTGACCCTTTCAGATCTTCTTTCGCCTCACGTCTGAGCAGCGTGGGCAGGGTAAAGTGGCAGGTTCATGTTTTCGAAGGACTGATCATCTCTCCAGGCTCCACTCTTTCTCCCTTTCTGTACACGGCCTCCATCTGTCAAACTGTCATCGTCCTCGCCCTGTCGACCTTGTTAGGGCCATCCCACAGGCTCCCCCTAAAGTCTGTGTAGCCCAGATATGTCAAGGGGATGATGAGTAACTCTTGAACTGACAAGGCCTACCATAGTGTGAGAGCCAGTGAGAGTTGTGACTTGTGTAGCAATATTTATTTTAGTCAAGTCATTCTGGAGTCAAGTTTCCCTCACAATGAGGGTCCCAATGAAAAACATAGTTTCAACGTGTCCCTGATTCAAAGGCTCAGGAGCTATAGTTTTCATATTTGCACAGATAATCACTTGGGATATTAAAGGATATTGTGTGTATGCTGATAATAAAGTGAGTGTGGATTAAAGATGAAATGTTTGATTATATAGGTATGAAACAAACAATGTGTTCAATCAACTGATGAAGTTCATCAAATGATTAATCAAATCAAATCAAGTTTATTTTTAGCTCAATATCACAAAATATGTTTGTCTCAGACGGCTTTACAGAATAACAATCATAGATGACAGTGTCAAATATAGTTAAAATGACAAGAACATATGAAAAACAACATGATTAAATTAAAACGGGATAAAATACAAAGAAAAAGACAGTAAGAATACAATCAAAACAATCAAATAAAATGCTATAAAATGTAGGACACAGGAGGACAAACAAACAAATCTGAAACCAGCCATAGGCTTTATTAAACAGGAAAGTCTTTAACACACTCTTAAAATGTTGGACACTGTCTGCCTCCCTAATAAAAACAGGAAGTTGGTTCCAGAGAAAGGGAGCTTGGTAGCTGTTTTGCGCACTCTGGGAACTACTAAAAGACCTGCCATCTGGGAGCGTTACCCCCCAGAGGGACAATAGGGGTTTAAAAGATCTGCTCGGTAGGATGGTGCCACTCCATTTTGTGCTTTGTAGGTTAGAAGAAGAGTTTTAAAGAGACTCAATTGTGCAAGATTTAATATCTTTCGGTTACTTATGCCAGTAAAAGTTGTGCCACATACAACTCACCACATACATTTCTTTATGTGGCACAGTTACTCACAAAATGGACTAAAGAACATATATAGAGAGGAAAGCATGTGAGTAAAAATTGTGTATAGTTTAATCTGTTGATGCATTATATATTTAGACAAAAGCAATCACAGGAAAAATAAAGTATAAATAACACTATTATTTTTTAACCTTTAACTAACTTTTCCCTCCAGAATGGAACAAAGTGAATTCCTGTGACAATGAATTAAACTATGGCTGCGACTAATGAATATTTTATCTCATGCTCATAACAATAACCGTAGGCCTGGGTGACTTATTCAAACGTCTTTTTTTTGGTTGAAACAGTCCAACACCCAAAGATATTCGGTGTATGGTGAGATAGAACAGGATATTTGGTGTTTTGCTTCATAAATTACCTAAACGATTAATCATTTAACATTAGGGTGAATTTTCTATTGATCCACTAATTGATTAATGAACTCAATGTTTTAGAACTAAATAAAACAAGCTGTGGTTGCCATGAAGAATTCAAATTTTACATTTACACTTTATTTTAACAATGTGCGACATAACTTTGGGAGTTGAAACGTGTTAGAAACATGGGACCGACTCTGGTAACTACAGCAGAGATGTCCTGTTAGGAGGGCTTATTATTTAGGCCCTGGCTCATTTAAGGGCATTAACTGTTCTCAACTCAGTAACTTTTATTTGACTGACCTCTCATGGCATGAATGTGGAGGCCAAAGATCACACACTATGTGCACTGCTCCACCTGCTGGTGAGATTCAAGAGTGCAAAAGTCAAATTGGAGGCCCACTTTAATTAGATGTTTTGTAGCCTTTATTTAACCAGGTTAAAAAATCCCATTGAGATCAACGATCTCTTTTTCAAGGGAGACCTGCGGTACATTGGTTACACATAAAAACAACCGAAAACAAAAAGGACATCACAACATAATTACAGGGGTATAAATTAGCAACCTATTCACAGTGACAGGTATCTAATAACATTTCATCCAGCCGTGCTTTATGTCTCTGATTATTTGTGTGTAAGAAGAGAGCAAATCATTTGAAAAAGACGGCATGCATTATCTTATTATCTTAAATGAAGACAGTTACTCTTATATGTATGTGTTTACAGAATAACGGGTATTCAAATTGCTCCGTCACTGTCACTGGTGTGGCTTCACACATTTGATGGAGTTTGCCCAACTTTTTGTGGAGGAGAGTCTGAATGTTTTGCTTTGCGTGGTGATGAGACTCTGACACACTGATATTTTTGATGTATCTGTCAAATATAATGTCTGCAGAAGATGCACAATTAAAAAAAAGGAAAAAACTCTTCAAAAGATTACCTCAGATTGTAGCTACATGTTTTACTAATTAAACAAAACAAGAACACTGTGGTAGGAGAACAAGGGGAGGAGGAGGAGGGGGAGGAGGAGGAGGAGGAGGGGGAGGAGATGGAAGGAGGGGAAAGAAGAGAAGACAAAAGCTTCATAAAACTGAAGCCGTTGTGGACGACCGCAAAAGTTGTGAGTACAAGTTAATTATCCTTATTTCCACTCATTTTAACTCATAATAGGACACACATAGAGGAGCATGCGGTCATACTGTGCAGGTTATCTCACATCCCAACATAATAATAGAAGGGTATTTCCTATTGATTAGATGCAAACATGAAATGCAAAAGTGAATGCTCAGTGGATTGACCAATTAACTTTAGGATGTATATTTTATATAGCAATGTGATATATGGTTGCATGCTGAGTTCAGTAAGTAAAAGCAATGAAAAACATGTCACCTTCACAATGAGATAAACAGAGGCATGCACCGAGCTAAGCCGAGTTTTTCAATTCAGTAATTGCAAATGTGTGACTCTGGGATTATTAAAACTTGTGACATTGTGATGATGGTATACAGTGAGATTGAAGTAATATGTTCAATGAAATGAAAGCTGGAAAAGAATGTGCGACTGTACCAGAGGAGGGGCGAGGGGCGCTCAAATGGGGTACAGAAAAAAAACACATTCTTTGGAGAGAACTCATGTCTTGGACTCCAAAGTTACACTGACACATCACGAGAGGAATGATGCAGGGCGGGAGAGGGAAGGAGAAGTAAGAAAAGGAGTAAGGGAAGGAGAACAACATGTTTTCAGAGGTAAAAGTTGCTCCTGCTTTATCTAGATGTTTCCAAAGTTGACATGAATAAACTGTAGAACATATTATTCCACAGCAAAATGACATCAGGCACTCCTCTATAATATATCCAAAACATAGCTTTACTTTCTGTGATTTTAGCCGGAGCAGAACCTCAGGGAAAACATTACAGTGACCGGTGAGCATTGACATGCAAGGAGATTAAAGGAAACATAAACAGCAACAAAAATCTTGAGTGAGGATATTGAACAGTTCCACTCTGTGAAATCATCCTGACTCTTTTCCTCTTCGGTTTCCTGCAGCTCGTAAAACTCACCCTCTTACAAGTTGAAGGAATGGGCAGCTTTCCAGTGGTCCTGCTCCTCTGCAGTTTCCAAGGTAACGCTGCCAAACAGGACACACAAATCATCTTGTTTAATTACGGTTGAGTCGCTGTGTGTTTGTTTTTATGCTGCGAAACACTCCCCTCATGTGGTTTCTGTTCCACAGCTCTCACAGCTGTAGCCCAAGCCCAGCAGACCGGTAAAGCCTTTCTCCTCATAATTCACACCTTGAGATCAGCACAGGTTATATGTTGCATGGCATCTGTCAGTCTGTGAGTCATTGCTCTGGGTCAGCGCTAAGATGTTTTCCCAATCTGATCGTGTTTTCTCTCCTTTTTTTCAGAGAGCCCTGATCCACCTGGAGGTTTGCCAAACGGTGAGTGACAGCTGAGTGACAGCCACTCAGGTCTTTTCTTGTCATTGTGATTGATACAATTTAAATGTCTTGTCTCTTTTGTTTCTGCAGACTGTAGGGAGGAGATGTATCCATGCACCAGGATGTACTCGGTTCACAGGCCCATCAAGAGATATATCGGTGCTCTTTGTATCTACAGGTGGGCCGCCTTGTTTCTACAGAACACCAGTTGTAATTAGGCAGAATTAATTTATATGTCAACAGTGAATGTCTTAGTTTCCCACTCGAGTCTTGCCAATGACTGATTCTTGAAAACACATTAATATTGCAGAAACTCAAAGTCGAATAAGACCAATAACTAAAGTAAAAAGCAATGACACCACAATGTAGAAATAGTGACAAATAAGTCCTGCCTTCTTGATTTCATTCCCATTAAGTATTTCTCGTTGACAATTGAATTTCAATACCTAAATTAGCAACAATCAAAGTTGATGTTCAGTAAAAAAACAAATGCTTTTATTTATCATCAGCACTGTGCGAGAGTGAGTCGATGAAATTATAGATAGAAGATGGAATATAAACAATATTGCTAATAGTAAGACATTTTGTAAACGATAATTCATTTGCATTAACAGCAAAATATACTAAGCAACATAGCAGCCTGTTAATGTTGTAGCTGGTCAATATAAAGCAAATGTTATTTAATAACTTGAACGTCACATAACTGTGTTGGTAGTAAAAGTAGAAATTAGTAAAAAATGATTTGAGAACAAGTATCTAATAAATGCTCATGATGTTAATGTTATCTTTTGTTTGTGATGCAGCCTTTCTCGTGTCTATGTGATCAACAATGAGATCTGTGTGAGGACGGTGTGCCAACAGGATGACTATCTGAAAGGTGAGAAAGTGTAACTGTAAAACACGCATGATCATGCATTCAATATTATTGTAGTTTGGAAACGATCGGTGTCTTTTGCACATTACAGCCGAACTGTGCCGAGAGTTGTCCGGGTGGCCCAGGCGTATCGAGAGGTCAACTTATAGGAAACGCTGTCGCAATCGCCGTGGCAACCCCAAAACCTGGGCAAACAAGGCCTGATGAGGCCCAGGATGGCGATGTGACCACCTGTGAGGATGGAGCCTCTCTTAGAGACACAAACCAACCAGGGACGTCGCCATTAAAAACAGCCCATAACACCATAAATTCACCACTCGACACCTGGGGGTCTTTCTTTTACACGTACGCTGAGTCATATCTATGTTTAGTCTCTTGTGTGAGAATATTAAAGCTCATTTCATCTGTGTGTTTTTGGACACAGGCCACATCTTCTGCAGCTCACGATCCATTTGAGGTACTATAGTAATGGACCTATAGCAGCACTGAGTCATTTCATTGTACAAAGAAAGACACACTTTTTGACAACCAGTATTATGTGCACTATTGTAACCAAAAATATAAATGTTTAAGTACATTTGTTCACGAGTTATTTGTTTATAGATTTTTCTTTTTCACTTTGTTATTCAGGAGCAAAAAACAATAAAAGTATGGTCACTGAGTTATAGCTTTATGTTTTTCTTTGCATATACATTTCCATATACATATACAGTTTGAATTACAAGTAACATTTGGGATCGATGCATACAATTGAAACAGTAAACAAACACTGACAAACATTGTTTAGCGCTTTACACTCACAAAATCTCTGTGTTCCAAACAACATCCATCCATCACTTGTCACTTTAATCCTGTCACAACACACGTGCATGTGGGAGCGGTGCATCATAATCCGTCTCTTTGTCTGTAAATGACAATATCAAAACAAAACACTGCATCAAACCCAGACTGGCTTGGTCTATCTGCATCAGAATACTATTAACATAAATACATCTTAACATCGAATTGAAGTTCAAACTTGTACAGTACAACATGTTGGGTTTGAGGTCTGCCACCTGACCACCTTACCATAAAGAATTAATGAGAAAAAAGTTCTCCCCGGACTGACGGGACGGTGCAGAAACAGACATATTCATTGAGGAGGAGAGAGGTTGTGACCCAAATGACTCACCAGTCACAGCTTTAACAGCTGGGCTGAGTAGGGATGACATAACATGGACTAAATAATTTCGGTTTCCCCTTGAGGCAAAGATAAAAGCACTAGATGCCTCACTTTCTATCGCTCACACCCTACCGCATCAAACATTTCTGCTTCGTCTCTTTGCTTTAGAGTTTAAACAATGCACACAGTGCCAAGGACCCCTCCCCAGTGAAATATGTGTTCAACAGCTGCATCACAATTTAACGTCTCCTCTCAAAATGATGCCACTAGAGAGCGATAGAGAGCACAACTTGACTGTAAATCAGCTTCTTTCAAGTAAAATCATTGTGTGGTAAACTTCCCGTAACCTAAATCTATGATTTGATCAATCCCTGCGTTATTATATGCAGACTTTATGCAATACTAACTACACGGACAGAGTATACTGCCAGTCAGTGCATATAGTCAGTCCCACTTCTGGGGACTTGGAGATAAAATAAGCAACAGAGCAAACAGGTGACAACACCAATGACAATAATTACAAACTACTAACATTTAAAATAAATATTCTCTGTACAGACAATTCATTCATTATTATATGTAATTAGATTTCATCCTCAGATGTTTATGATTATGTCTCCCTTGATCATATTTCTATTATGTATACTCTACGATAGAAATTAAAACATTGAGAGGAGAAATTAGGCAGAAGCAGAAATCAAATGGGCAAATGTAAACTGAACTGAAGTAGAGAGGGAAGACGGTCCCCAGACTATACTGTTGTTCAAAATGTCTAATTAAGACTAGACAGTGAGGTCTGGGTGTCTTTCTGGCTAAAGAGCAAAAGCTATGACAGACCCAACAAAAACAAAAACAAACTAGAACAGGGGGGGTTATCCTGCTTGGCAGGGAGAGATACGGGACCCCATAATGGGAATAAACAAAAGTTGCAAAAAGTGCAGCATAAATGTACAGAAAGATAAGAAGGAGATAGACCAAATGTATCCCTCCTCAGTTTGAGGATACAGAGTCAAAGTCTCCCCACAGGTCAGAGCTGGCTGTGGTGGTGGGGTTGGATGGAGCCGCTGTGTTCGAGTTGCTGGTGTCCAGGTCTAGCAAGAAACCTGTAGGTTGAAAAGTAAATACAAAGATTGTTCCAGACTGATAATTCAGCAACTTTAAGCAGAATTTGTACGTAATTTCACCCACTATGAAGTCAGATAATTGTCTTATGCTTAACTATCTTTTGAAATACTGATCTGGCCATCCACATAGTTTTCATGCTGTAGGTTTGAGGTATTGACCTCTGAAACTTCTTTCACCTAATCTGTTTGATTTTTAGTGAAAAAGCATATTCCACAGAGGGCGAGAGAGAACGGGAGCAACAATATTTTTTAAAGGAAAATTCCAGTATTTTACAACTGGAGTCTATCTGTCATAGTTTTGGCCAGTATTGCTACAGGTCAACATTGCACTCACCACTTTCATTGTAAAGACTGTGGATACAAGTGCTCCACTGGAAACAGCTTTACAACTGTCCCAAATGGGGCCAAGGAAATACAAGCTTTCAACAAGGAATTAACTTTCCTCTGCTCTATATTGACCAATGCAATGAATTATTGGTGTAACAATGTTTAACCATCCTCTAGACTTTTCAAAAACGGATTTTGAATATTTGGTTTAGGTTGAGCTATGCTTACCTATAGGCCAACAGAATAACAATTTGTCTCCAAATGTTGTTTTCTCAGTATCGTGATAAATGAATGTTTCCCCTTTTACCTTGACATACATACTGTATATTATTGTGTGATCTTGAATTAACAAGCTATCAAATGACTTTGATGTGATCATAAAATAATTATTGTTTGAATTTAAGGATAACAGTCACAATTTGTAGTGTCACAACAACTACCTACCAGTGTCACTTTCTCCTTCAGATGGTTGTGTGTTATGATTGGTAGATCTTACAGGAGGTGGGGCTAACTTGCCACCAGGAGGAGGTGGAAGAAGCCCAAAGCCTCCTGAACTCTGCGGGCGGGACCTGTCCTTCTTTCTAGATTGCTGGAAAAAGATACATAAACAGCATGAGTGTGTGTGTGGGACTGTCAGTATAGTGAATCTAAGATTTTAGGAGAGATAACATAAGAAAAACAAATTTTTGATTAGCAGTATTTGGTCATTCAATCGTCAGAAAGGTTCTACCCTAAGGGAATGAAAATGAAAATAAGGTTACCCCGATATTGAGAGTAATAGTCTGTCCTTCTTTGAAGCCTAGGTCCAGTTTAGGGGTGGTGTCTGGAGTCTGTGCCTGCTTCTTAAATTCATCATCCTGTTTCACCCATCTGAAGAAGACGAGGGGAGGCAAAGGAGAAACATTTTTGTCAGATAGTTTCATAAACCAGAATAAACAAATACATATTTTTTAAGATTTGCGACAAGCACAGAAGCAGCAGCATACTTGAAGTGATCCTGAAGTGCAACGTTGAAGTCAAAGGCATCTCCTCTGTCTCCAAACCCAATGCCTATAAATGCACTTCGGCCTGTTAGAGAAATGAACATACAAAAAGGTTGGGGTTAATGCAGAGCGTTTGGAAGGTACTGCAAACAAAAACTGACTAGACATGAACAATGTGCACTACAATTAAACAATTTCTGGATCATCCTGTTTGAATGTTTAATAACTTATGAGCACATTTACAAAATATTTACAGCTTGTCAACCAACAGTTTACCCACCGCTGTCATCCTGGATGCGAAGCACGAAGTAACGGCTTGAATCACTGACTGTTTCCACTGTGAGGCCAGGGAACTCCTCCACTGGAGCCTGGGCAAACAGCTCCCCTGTAGGCAAGAACAAACATTAATAAAGCATATACACTTTCTACTCAACAATATTTTCCATTTGGAATTTGGATCATGAAGAGACTCATTTGATAGTTGTACTAAGCCAAAACTCAACTAAGAAACATTAGGGCATGAAATGCTTTGCGAAATATACTTTTAGAATTCAGATTTTATAACCGGAGGCTAACAAGCATGCCAATAACTGGAATGCAGTGATACAGACAGAAATGATCACCCTGTTTGCTTAAAAATAAACTGCATACTTGGATGTGGGTTTGGGTCACCTTGGAATGGATGAGTAACAGAGAGGGGGATGGCCAACACAGTGAAATGATTTACAACAGCGACAACAGTGCCAGTAAACAATGGCACTGCTTCTCCCTCTCACCAGAGATTTTGTCTTCCAATTTAACAAAGACCAATTTCCCCCGGGCCGTGACACGCATGCGTCCCGTCCAGTCGGGTGCGTCCAGCTTCCAATCAGCAGCCCTGGGACATAAAACACACACACAGGCAGTCAGGGAGATGTAGTGTGATGTAGGTGAAGTGGCGGTAGCGGCGTATTGAGTGTGATGAGGACACAGAGGTGGACAATCGGCAAGAGAAACAGGAGATTTGTGTTTTGGGTGCACATGTCTGTTGGGATTCTTTCAACACTTAAGCTCTATTTTGTCTGTTTTCTATGTGAGCAGAGCATGACTAAGGCATTAGACCTAAGGCTGAAAAATTACATCATCACCCCTTACTCACTGTACAAATGATCACTGGTTAACCAATCATGTGTCTCAAGGGAAGCAGGCCTGTGCTACTGTGTGGTTGGTGTGAGATCCTCTCAGATGCAGCTGCAGCAGCAGCCAATGAACAATGGGGTAAACAATTAAATGTCATCCTTTACAATAACACAACAGCAACTCGCCTGTGTGGTCACTCAAAAACAAGTAACACTAAGTGGGCCAGGACTACAATTTGTCTTTCATTTCCTATGTTAAAAACAACATTGACCCTACTGAAGTGTCCTTAAGCAATACTTCTTCACAGCTTCAGGGATGCTGCTCTGCACTGCCTTCTACTAAAGGATGGACAAGCTACATCTTTGAGGCAACATAAGGTTACCGAGCTTGTTGTCCTATGCTATCACTTTTAAGCAGTGTAAGCATAATGTATCCTCTGATGGGCCCTTCGGACGACAGCATATAAACACACTGACACTGACAGGGTAACCAACCCTTATCCTGACTGGTGGGCCAACGCAGTGAAGCTGCTAACCCCAGCCATTTGTTATTTATCCGTGTTGACCTTGTTAATACAGCAAAAACAACCGGCACAAAAACACCGTTGCTTGAGCCTGCGTAATTATGGGATGAGATCGGTAGGTAGGTCGCCGAGGCAACGGCTCCTCTAACGGCTGCACCTCGCGGATGCTGGGTGAGAAACCTCGCCGCCCCCCCTCACCTGATAGCCCGGTTGGATGCTCTTGGTGGGATTCGGTAAACGTTGACTTCAGGTTTGACACAGAGGACCGACTCGTACTCGGACTGACCCTCGGTCGCCATCTTGACTTTTACTCGGTCGGTGAACGCCGTCGTTGGTGGTAGTGACGGTGAGTCGTGAGTGGCGTGTTTGTGCGGCATTAACGGCTCCGTGACCGTAATATACGGTGTATATGCGCACTGACAACTGCCTCTCTGCTGCTGTGATGCTCTTAAAGAGGCATTCAATAAACATTACACAAATGCATGGTTTGTTTACTTTATAATGATGAAATGGCATTTGAGCCTGCATCAAGTCAGAGCAAAAGTGACATCCCATTAGCAGGGCCGGCCCTAGACTTTTGGGGGCCCCCCTCACTCTAGCGCGTTCTCACTACACACAACACGGAACCAACTTTTGTCTTATGATGTTAGCATAAGCACACATATTGTATAAATAAGTATGTAAACACCGTGGACCTAAAACTCCTCTAGGGGGGTCCGGGGGCCTCTAGGGGGGTCCTGGGGCATCCTTCAATTTAAAGGGGACCTATCATGCAAAATGCACTTTTGTACGTCTTTTATACATGAATATGTGTCCCCGGTGTTCCAGGGAACTCACCAAGTGTCAGAAAACACAACCCTCTCTATTTTCCTCCATACCCAAATCTCTAAAAAAGGGGCTGCAACGGATCTGATAAAAACTGATCCAGATTTGAACACTGTCCTGACGTCAGGATAGTGGCGCTACGGCTATTGGGCCAACTCCACCGATCAGGAGGAGACAGCCACGGCCATTGCCGTTTGAAAGCGCTGGAGACGCCGTAGTACATATGCCAGGCCAGTAGATGGTGCTGTTCTCACAGAATCAGCCCTTGCTAGGAAGAGCTAGAAATTGTCAAATTGAGCAAAATGAGGCATGGCTAAAATGCATGATCTGTTTGGTATTTTGAAAAAAGTATAAATATGCCTTATATAGGTATGGTCCTACACTATATTATTCAAATATAGCATGATAGGTCCACTTTGAGAGCAAAATTAAGAGATCTATGGATACATCTCTCAACACCCATATAAAACAGAACTGTAAACAGATTTTTCTTTATGGATATTTTAAACTGTATTCTTGTTTTGTCCTATAGTATTTCATAACTCTTTTTCATTTATTCTCTTTGGCTGTCCATCTCATAATGTTCACATAGAAACTAGCTGTCAATAGGAATATCATTCAGAAGAATTATAATTTCATGCAAAAATCTGTCACAAAAAGAGGTTGCACATTTAAATTCAGGTGTTGTTATGGCAACGTCAGTGGCCAAACAGCCACATTTACTGCTGCAAATACGTTCAAACATGCTGTCGACATTTCAGCTGACTTTTTCGCAGAAATACTGTCACATAACATCCATATATTTCAGTGCTAGGTTGATGCTTAGCTAAGCTAACTATGAAACACTTTAACTGACAGGACTCAGGATCAATTGTGTACTAGGGCTGTCCCGAATACCATTTTTCGGGCTCCGGATATTCGGTAGTAATCAGCAGCGAATATTCGGATATTCGGCCCGCGCGGGGGGGGGGGGGGGTGCGTAGTAATCAGCAGCCAGCGAACCGCTTCAACACGTGTATTTCGGTTTATTCACGGCATTCATTTTGTTATTCTACAGTATTGTTGTTTTATAGTTATTTGTTAAAGGTCCCATGTCATGGCCATTTCTACTGATCATATTTCCATTGTTGAGGTCTACTAGAATAGATTTAAATTGTGCAATTTTCCAAAATCACATTGGTTTCTCATACAGCATCTCTGTATAGTATGTGTATTCACCAGGTATTCACTTGTTGGAGCTCCTGCCCCCCCCCTCCCTGTGAGCCCAGTGTGCTCTGATTGGTCGGGACGTTGCGAGGCTTGTTGCTGCGAGCCGCTGCTGCGAGCTGCTGCGAGGAGCGCACAGGTTTCCGGGCCGGCGATACAGCGAGAACAAGCGAAACTCATCCTGAGCACACACAAACACTCACAGCCGAAGTAAAAACAATAAGTGTGGCTTGATATTGAGTAAGAAAAAGGTTTATAACGCTGTGAGAATGGGTCTGCGGAGAGCATTTCTCCGCGATCCCAACTCGTCTATTACCAGCGTTCAGGGAGCTCTATGCAAGTCAATGGGGACTCCCTGTTAGTTAGCCAAGGGATCCTGGTGTGTGAGGTGCTCCACGGATTGGTCCATTTGGGCCAATCCGGTCATTTGCTGTTGATTTGGGTGTTCACACGTCACAGAACCCAGGAAGCAAACAATGGAAAATGAGAAATCTCCAACGAGGCGTTTTGGGGCAGCATGTAGACAGGTCTTTTCTGTGTTAGAGTTTTACTCGCTACAGGGTGTACTTTGAGGGTTTTTGACTCTGCAGACCGTTTACATGCATAAAAACCTTCATAACACACAAGGGGACAGGTAATAACCGGAAAAGCATGACATGGGCCCTTTAATGTATATAACCCAATTTGTGTTCTTTGAAATTGAAAAGGATATTGCATTCTGTTTGTTACTTTCGTTGCAGTTGTATATGTAATTTGGCTTGGCTTGACTCAATAATATAATACATGACTTTGAGAGTAGGCAATCTAGGCATATTAACAAAATGAATTAAACATACTTATCACGGCGACGGTGTACTGAGATTATTATTTTTTTTTCATTTTTTTTTGTTGTTGCTAGGGGGCCCTTAGTGGCTGCGGGGTCCACACAGCAGCGTTAAAAAAATCTTGGAGGTGGGCGTATCTGAAGCTTGGGGATTTTTTGCGAGCAAGGCACCAACAACCAATCACATGAATCTCCCGCCCGCGACATACGAAGCAAAAAAGCCCGAAGTAAACTGGATATAAACTCCCCAAACAGGCGAAAACCTACCACTGTCTCTGCCACCTCCCTCCATGCCTGGCTCCTCCGGTTTATATCCCGGTAGGTAAATAGGGACTGGTCATAAAGCACCGGGTGATTCCCTACCGCTAATTTCTCCTCCATTTTTTGGAATATGAGGAAATGACCTGCGGTATGTCTCTCCCAGCATACACGCGGTTTGATTGGCTAGCGCTTGAACTGTCAGATTTGCATACACGGGATTTGATTGGCTGACGCTTCCACCTCAGCTTCAAAAGTTGAACATTGCTCAACTTTGAATCCTGAAAATCCTGAAAATCTCCGCTCTGCTGCCCACAATGCAGTTCGGCGAAAAGTGAGGCAAAGTGACGTCACCCCATTCAAAGTGAATGGGCAGAAGCGTTCCAAGATTTTTTAACGCTGCTGTGTGGACGGGTATTTGGGCTGTTGTTAAGGAGATATCTGGGTATCTGCTTCATTTTAACCTTTTTTTTGTTCCCTATATGTTTCTCTCACAACATTTTTTATAAAGCAAAGTTAACTTCCAGCTTACCTGTGTACTCCTCTTTGTCTTTAGGCGGTTAACAGTAACTAGGAACTTGCATTTTTCTACTATGCACCTATAGCTTTGAATATCAACAAAAAAAATCAAAAACTAGAACCATTTATATCCACTAATTAATTCAAAGTCATCATAGAGAATGTGGTTGTTTTTCCCCAGGTCATTGTGTCAATGAGTGTTCTTTTACTGTGAATTTTGTTTAAATCTGTTTCAAATTGCAAGCAAGGGCAATTATTTGTCACTGGAGAACACCTTTAATTTGAGGCCAATCCTTAACAATACTCTCAATTACTCCTTTATAGTTCAACAATAATTTTTGAAAAGCTGATGGGCTAACAAGAACTAGATAAGTTAACATCAACAACACAACACAACACAAGATATTATCTCATTGTTTTATTTCACCTCAAATTATCCTACTACAGAAACAGCAAGCAGCAGCTACTCATCCTTGCAAGCCTTGGCACAACTTGAAAGCAGCTTTTTCTCAGTTTTTATCATTCTCAGTTTAGCAGTTGTAGTGAATGATAGACATGTTTGTTTATATAAACTTAGAAGTGACACCAGAGGAGGTCACATGTATTTCTTACAGTCCAAGAAGCTTGAAGGCATCTCTGAAATCTTCTGTTTCACACGGCTTAAAAAGAAAGAGAGAATAATATCAGTGTTAGCATTTTAAACAAATCATTGGTTTGATTTAATCCTGTTGTTTGAGGCAAAACATTCAGTCGGGTAAATGTACCTGAAGGATGCGTTTGAGTTTTCTGGCAAGGCGAACAGAGTTTTGGTGCAGATCTTCCCATGGCTTGAATTTGCTCTGTTTACAATCCACAAAGGTCTGCCAGCAATAGAAATAGTCTGAAGAGAGAGGGAAAACACATTTTTATTTTTACATCCATGATTAAGAAAACAATGGCTTTTTTCGGTTTGCTTAACCTTTCATTTGTTTCTGAATCTGGAATCATGTACATGTGCTCTATCTTTATATCTCTTCCACATAAACACCAATTTGTGCCTCCACCTTTGTAACTCATGACTGAGGTCTGCACGCCAGCTTTTTTCAGCATTCTTAGGCCGTCTCTTGCAGGGCTATTCTCCATGTCACAGAAGTAAAGACGAGAGACGAAGATCCTGAGGCGAAGGTTGGGCGTCTGGCTGAGGAACTGGGACAGTCTGATGGAGCAATTTGCGCAGGGGGACCAGGAGCAGAACCAGGTGATGGAGTAACTGAGCCTCTTAGTACCTTCACATCCCAACAGACCAGGGCACAGGGCTTCCAGGTAGCGCAGGAACAGCAGCTATGGAGGTGAAGGATGACACAGAAAACAGGAGGGATACAATTAAATATTTACAGTTATTATTTTGCCCCTGAACAGGCCCCTCTCACATGCTGCTCCATCTTGACCCATATCACCTACCTCTACATGGCAGCCATTGCGATTGCGAAGGTGTCCGAAGTCAAAGGTTAAGGAGTCTGGTCCCACCCGCCTCTTCACTACAAAGCAGAGGTATGTCTCACACCGGCCCCTTGCCCAGCGCATGTTCTTGTAATGGTAGATGAACTTTTTTCGAGGCAAAAGCACGCTGAGTCAAAGTGAGAAAAATGTGCAATTTGTATTATGTAATGCCATGATCCACAGTAAGGCATACCTAAAGAATATAACACTTTTATTTTTAAGCTTAGGTCCGCCTTAAAAAAAATTTGCATTGTGATTTTATCAGTCAAGATTTCATCAGTAATTCTCAAAAGTGTTTTCCACACTAAATACTTTGGTGACAGATGGTCTCGGTAGTATTCCGTAATTCTAAATCAGGAAACTCTAAGACAGACTCTGTGAAGAAACTCATGAAATACTCCTTTCACTTATAATTAGTCAGATGAATCACACATATTCAAGTTTCAATCCTAAGAAGTTAGCACAATAAACTCATGTAAAGCCTGCGGGTAACCAAATGTGAGTAATGGACACTCAGAAGACAACTTTCATTTATTCCTTTGATCTCACTCTCAGTTTCACCGCTTTTAGCGAAACCAGGACAGTTATCATTACTCATTACCCGAACCCACATTATGCTCAAAGCTGGTATAGTACCAGAGTTATTGAAACTGAATTTCACTGAATAATATTTTATGTTTGTATTATCAAATCATCACTTATAAAAAATAAAAAAATGTTTTTTTTCATTTAATAGTTTGCATGTGTAATCTATATACATGTGTGTCAAACAGAAAGACATACATCATATGAATAGAATGTATTCATTTTGCTCACCTGTCAAGCTTTGTAATCATTTTCGAAAGACGCGCTGATTTGTCCTTTGGCAGGCGTGGGCAATAAACGGAGGTAAATGACAAATAGCGAAAGTGAGTGGAAGTGTGTGTCTGTGTGTGTGTGTGTCTGTTTATTGGGGGGTTAAAGGGAGGGAACTGAGAACATATACCATTAACTTTAACATCCTGCACACAACAGAAGCAGCTTCTGGTTGGACAGAAATATTTTTCAAAATTAGTTCATGGTGCGTGATACAAATGAAACAGAGTCATTGTATTGTCTTGCTGCAAAACAATTAAATCTATAAATGAATAAAAGATTTTCAGAAAGCTTTTCAAGGCCATAATTTCCTGTGTGTTGAACATTTTTACATTTGTACACTAAGTGATTGATGTGAAAGGAATGTCATTGGGGCGCCAAATTGCACAACACAGATTCAAACAAATAATCTTAGTGACCACACATAAGTGTTTGACGTGCTTTGTAACCTTTGGAGTATTTCACAGACGTCATTAAAGTGAGCCAACTGGCTGGAACTTTCCAAACACTCCGAAAACTCATCACAGTATCTGGCTCTCCACTTTAGTTTTCCAAGATCATGAGGCAAAAACTTCCAAATACCTTCTCACCTTGATCCACTGTGGGATTGTCACTGACCCCTCCTGCTATTCAGCCTTTCCACCTAGCGTGTTCCCCCACCTCTCTGGGCCCCTCGTTTTGGTGGAGCTACAGGCGTTCCCAGGCCTCTGAGGTCTTTACACCTACTTCGTCCTCTGATCTGGGTTTTCCCAAACTGTGTCAGGCTGGGAGCAGAACTGTAATCGACCTCCCTCACCCCTACGTGTGTGCTAGACCGACCGGCCAGCTGACCGACCGCAGTATGTGGATGAATCTCTCTCAGAAGCCTTTGAACCATCAGATGCTGTCACCCGTCCTTGCCAAATGAGGATGTGTATTATTTTGTTCTCGTCTTTTCCTTGCTCTGTCTGTTTTAGCTCTGGCCCAGTCTGCTCCCTCAGTGGCACTGCATGCAGGCATCCTGCTTTCCCATGACTCCCCTCACCCTCCCATGCACTCTGTGGTTTGGGGAATTCACCGTTTCCCAGGGTGGCTGTTTTTGGAGCTCATCTGTGTGTATGTGTGTGTGTTAGCCATCTGTATGAGCATGTCATTAACACAGTCTATATGTTATACTTCATCTGGAACAGATTTATCTAATTTATCCTTTGATTGTGTGGTGCCCCAAAATCTAGAGTGATTCATGTCTATGTGTGTCTGCATGCTCTGAGCGACCTCACTTCATATTGCATTACTCTGACGGTGCACTAAACTTAATGTCTCTGAACATTTGATCTTGTGTGCATGTCTATTTTCTCAACTTCAAGAGGCCGATCAAATGCCAAACTATATGTAACCACTTCCCACCCAGCTCTCTGGGTTTGAACCAAGTTGACCAAGGTCATCTCACAGTCACACATGAACGCTCATGTGCACTACTACTCCCCTGGTGTGTGTGTGTGTGTGTGTGTGTGTGTGTGTGTGTGTGTGTGTGTGTGTGATGGAGTACAATATGGCCAGACACAGCTGTGCATTTAACCCAGTCAGGGGCAGAAACCGAGTGAAGGAAATGCCGAGTCATACTTTCCAAAACCCACCCGCCCACACCCTGAACACGCGCACACAAACACTCACACACAGCCATATACCGTGCAGACGCACATGACCACAGTCACAAACAGACTTTCTTTCCAGTGTGTGAACTCACATCTGTTTCCTGACAACAATAATAGCTACAGATTGGGCGGGTAGTGGCCCGGCTAACAGGTGTCTGCTCTTTGACAGTCATGAAGAAACAACCTGATGATGACCAAGAAGTGGCCGACGTAAAAACACAGCTTTCACAAGGTGAAAATGACCCGACCACACACTTACTCATGTATGTAACAACACTGTTATGTTACTGGGTGTCTCAGCTCTTTTCATCAAAGTTAATTAAAGGACAGGGATTTTCCACTACAGCGTGCGTGATTGAGTTTGAAGTAAAGTATACAGTAGGCCTATATTTGTCTTCCCATCAGGTGAGATATGCCTCTTTCCAACACAAATTAACATTGTACAAACATCCTGTGGTGTTTATCTGCGGCACATTGATGCTATACTGACACCGCCTGAGGTTAGCAGGAGGTAGATGCGCAATGCAGCCGTGAGGGCTGCTAACCATTTTAAGGTTAGCCTCAGTCTGGGGCTGTGTGCATTTCCCCACCTAGTCACATAAACTGCCAGTCACCTGCAAACCACACACACTCCGGAGTCAGAACATCTCTATGCTTGTATTGTATCTCACCTGCTGTTTAAATATAAAAGGAAATTAGTTTAGAGACACTATTTTCCAAATTGACATACATTTGTGAGATTTTTCTGTTTTTTTATAAATGCACATGAAGGAATACAAATATTAGTAATGAGGTGGGGATCATTGTTTTTGCAGACTCATGTACCCACATACTGTACGTAACGGTGAGCAACGGCAGTGAAGGAGCGCAGAAAGATAAAAGCAATTTCAAGCTGCAGATTCACACAAACCACAGACACTTCCTGCACATCTGAATGGTTTCTCACTCTCTCACACACACACACACACACACACACACACACACACACACACACACACACACACACACACACACACACACACACACACACACACACACACACACACACACACACACACACACACACACACACACACACACACACACACACACACACACACACACACACACACACACACACACACACACACACACACACACACCACACACACACACACACACACACACACACACACACACACACACACACACACACACACACACACACACACACACACACACACACACACACACACACACACACACACACACACACACACACACACACATACTTTGAATATGATTCCGAGAAAAGATCCACACTTTAACATTTTAAGGAAAGAAACATGTTACATCAATATGTTTTTCATTTTATTAAAAATAATGAGAAAACAGCATGACTCTGGCTCAATTATGTTTTTTGGAGCGGGTTTAAGAGGGATGGTTCTTTATATGACGAAAAGGTAAAAAATGTACTTAACACTAGCTAATCCGGAAATAAATATTGGGATAAATAACACGTATATATAATAAATTATGAAATCACACAAAAGCACTTAGACAAAACACTGATACCTTCCGCAGAGATCCATAGTGCCCTTACGTTAGGGCCATTTTCGTCCCTCCGTGAGACCATCACCATTAAACTACAGGTCTTTGTAAAACACTTTAGTGAGGGGGTGTCCCAGAAAGCCTCTCTCTGGAGTCTCAAGCTTATTCTTCTCAAAATCTTCTTCATCATCAGTCCCCTCCCCAATTTGTCGGTAGCCCAGCTTCCTGAAGAAGGCCTCACCCAGCTTGGAGGGGAAGGGGACGTGTGTGTACACCCGGAGGGCTCCAGCCTCCATCTCTCTCTGCTCCAGACTGTGGACAAGCAGCCGGCCCAGGCCCTCTCTGCGGTACCAGGACCCCGCCACCACCCTGCAGATCCTCCTGATGTCCGCACGCTTCTCGCTCTCTCTGAAGATACAGCCCAGGATCTCACCATCGCAGTCTGCCACCCAGACTAGCCCTGCTTCCTGCTCCCTCTCTGGGGAGACATTCTCTGTCGGCAACTCTTTGTCCTTGTCTTTGGGTGTGATTTTGCGCCTTGGCTGAGTAAAAGAAAATATTATTACAAAAATAAGTAGAAGTTGGATTATTTGTCTGCAACATATTCCATAGATGTAAGTAAAAACTACCAAAACACTTTCCAGCAAATCAGGAGACTAACCTTTTTAGTCCCTGGTGTCTTGCCACTGATCCTAGAGAAGGGATTTGGCAGTGTTTCGTCCTGTGTCCCTCTGTAGCTGCTACCCACATAGTCCCAGTAGGGGCGGCTGCTGCCCAGAACCCCTGTGGACCGCGGCATGGTGATCTTGAGAAAGATAATTAGCAGGAAGACAGGAATAGCAAGAGCCAGGATAAAGGAATGGACAAGGCAGCGCAGGACTGAGGAGATAACAGCCAGGATGAAGAGGCAGAGAGGACGAGTGAGGACGTGGAGGATGAGACGGTTTTCTGTGCCCTCGCAGCCCTCCTGGCAAGTTTAAGAAAATATTAAAAAAATAAACATCACAAGGGGTCATTTCCCACCACTATGAAAGCAGTCACTCTAAAACGTGTATTGTACAAACCTTGATGAGGGCTTTGACCATCTCTATGTCGTCCTCCTTCATCCTCCGCATCACCACCTTGTCCAGCTCCAGCCTCACCATGTTTAGACTTTATGATCTAACAGCAGGATTGCTGCACCACTGTGGCTACACACATCCACACAGTGTGCACAGAGACCCTACAAACACATATAAAGAGGTCATGGGCAGAAGGATATTATGATTTCATGGTGAGAGTGAAATGCAACTTTGGGATATTTGATACTAAAACATACATATAATGAATACTATTGTAGACTGACAGACTGGTTAGTGCCTTATTGGTTAATATACCATGACACACATGCTGTAGTTGAATGGTGTCATAGATAAACCTCCAAAGCAGTAGTCTTCGCCTACAACGAGCCAGTAGTTGCAATGTCACACACACCCACGCTGGCTCCAAACAAAGACAGATGGGGATTATGGAGGATTTGAAGCATGCATGTGTCACCATCACTCAGTGCTTGTCACGCTATGCTAGCTTTCATTTGCAAGTTATCGGTGAACATCGATACTAAAAATACTTAATTCACATCCTTATATGGTTGTAACGCAGTGTTGACACATGCAGACCCCTGCCCCTGCTCTGGACCCAAGTTACACGTACCTTCTCCGTCACGCTGCTCAAATTGAAATGAAAATAGGTTAAAAAAAAAAAAACACTGCATGTATCCCTCAGTTTGTTGTGAAGCCTGTGCAGGATCGGCACGTTTGATTGGATGTCCTGAGTCGCTTTTGCGCAAAATCAGGGATTCTGAAAACCAACGTACTCTGCTTTACGTCCCGTTGCACGTTTTCAGTGTGTCGATCTACGACATTTGCGTAAACACAATCTGCACCACGTAAAGTATACGTGAATAGCGAATGCAACGTAACAACATAAACAGCGCAGCATATGCCTTTAACAGTGTGTTTTAAAAGGATACAAACTAGAGTAGAGTAGATGTGGAAAGTAAAAAAGGTACATTTATTCAACCTTACCTTAAGTACAAATTTGAGGTCCTTTTACTTTACCTCAGTATTCCTTTCCTTCATGTTACTTCATAGTTACAAATCCACTACATTTTAGAGGAAAGCAATCATTTAGTTCAAATCTTTAGTTACTTTACAGATTTCATTTGATAATAGAACATTTAAAATACAAATTACCCCCGCCATTACCAGCTGCAACATTAAAGTGATGCAGACATTAATGCATAAATAATTATAATCCAACAACTTTTTATTATGGAAAGGGGAAGTGACGTCTGAATGAGAACTTTTGGTACTTCAAGTATTTTTGATGCCGATATATTTTTTTACTTAGTTAAGATTTTGAAGGCAGGACGTTTACTACAGAGTATTATTTGTACACTGTGGTATTAGTACTTTAACTAAAATATCTGAACACTTATTCCACCATTGACTACAAGAAAGCAAAACAATGCAAATGTTGAAAGGTATTGACATATTTATTAATAATGAATTACTATTAACATTGTGAAGAAAGTGGGCCATGTACAACATATATTCACAAAGAACATATTTACTTAATTAACAAACTGCCAGTGACAGTATCAGTATCATTTAAACTAATATATTGAGGAATATTCCAAGGTCCATGTACAGCCTATTTAAATGTATAACATTTCTAGTTTGTGGCACCATGGGATTACAACACAGTACTCCTTTAACTTCATGTTCTTCCCCAGCTCCAGGAGAACTCAAACTAAAGTGCTAACACACTGCTCCCACAGTTAAGCATTCACTCACACACACACTCTCTTCTTCTCTAACATGCACACTTTTAGTTAGAGAACTGCATCTCTTTAGAGTTAGGTATAGGTCCATTTCTTGTTGCGTCCTCATTTGACGTCTGTACTTCTACATTGGATGCAGAGTCTACTTCATTTGCAGTCTTTTCATTTGCCTCAGCCGTTACACTCTCATATTTCACTTCACTCCTCTGTGAGATCTCCCCATCCACTCCTCGCTCCATTCTTCCATCTCTTAAACTACTAGTGCTGACCTCAATTATGACAATTTCCTCTCCATTTCCCAGTTGAAATAAGCCTTCCATGGATCCTCTGCCATCCTCCATCCTCCCAGTTGCAGCATGACAATCTGTCCCTTCTTCTCCCATCATCCCCCCTTCACCTTCTATCAGGGCTATCATCTGCATACCTTCCTCACTTTCCTGCTCCATTTTGGTCTCACCACCTAGTTCGAACACGACCTGCTGCCCATCAAGTGGCACCAAACTTTGGGTAGGAGTGCAGGAAAGCTGCAGGCTGGTTTCTTGCCCTTGGCTGAAGGTCGCAGCAGATGGCCCGTCGTCCTGTGCATCGGTGTGGAAATGAAGGACATAAGACTCTCCCTGGCCGCTTTTCTCTCCTGTCTGCGTCTCCCCCTGCTTTCCTTCACTCCATTCACGCAGAAGTGACATCATCCCTCCCTTATCTTCCCCCTTTGCTCCTTCCCCTTCTGTCTTGAACTGCAACACGAGTGATTTACCCTCTTCACCCATTCCATCGGCCTCACCTGATGCTTCCCCGTCAAACTGTAACACGTATGAATGCCCACCCTCCTCCATATTCATCCCCTCTTTGGGCCTTCCTTTATTATCAAAACACAACACAAACTGTTTCCCTGACATGTTTTCCCCTGTTCTTATGTTCCCCAAAGTGGTATGAGTAGCGGGGTCAGGAGTAGAAACTGATGTTGTAGTTAATGTGGTGGCTGGTGTAACCATAGTAACAGATGATGTGGGTCCTGAGGGGTCCAGTGTGGAGGCTGCAGTAATGGAGGATGAAAGGATTTGGACGGCAGTGCAAGATGTTGTGGATACAGATGATGGTGATGTGTTAGCAGCAGTAGTGATGATGTTTGACACGTTACAGTTTGTTCCTGACGGAGCTCCACCTGCAGTCTGACTGGCAGGAGCTGCTGGGGGTTGCTGAAGAGCAGCTTTGGGTTTGCGTCCCCGTCTGCCCCGAGCAGTCCGTGTGCTTTTCCCCAGTATGGGCTTGTTTAGCAGGGAGTTGGCTGGCAAAGTGTGCGTGGCAACAGGAGTGTTTGCATTGCTATTATTGTTGGTGATTATAAACCTGGTCTGTTGCTGCGATATGGAGTGAAAGGGGGATATCCGAGTCTGTGTTTGGTTTAGGACGGGCTGGAGTGCCTGGATAGTCTGAAGCACCGGGAGAGGCTCCGGAGCTGGTGGAGGGTGGTTACCCGTGGGGACGAGAATCCAGCTTGACTGGCTGTCATTGCTGGAGGGACACTGTACCAGGAAAAAGTTTTGGGGCTGAGACGGAGGTGGAGGTGTTGGAGGAGGAAGAGGGAGGGCCGGTGGAGGGGAAGTGAGAGGGATGAGCTGCAGGCCGCTGGTTGTCTGAATCATAAAGTAGTTCTGGGAGGTGTTTGGGGGAATATTAAGTGCTGGTTGAGAAACAATCAGGCTGCCTTGGTTTCCTGAGGTTTCCAGGGTGATGGGGTTGAGCAGGGTGGTCGTGGTTGTTACTCCCCCAACACTGGCTTTCACAGCCACTCCATCTTTACCTACACCACTGGCGCAGGGCATAGGAACACCACTGCCATGGGTGCGGATGTGCCTCTGCAGGTAGGAGTGCATGACAAACTCCTTAGAGCAGTACGGGCATTTGAAGTCCTTGCTTGAGGAGTGTGTGCGAAGGTGGAGCTGGAGGTTGGAGGAGTGTGTAAAGCTTTTATTGCAGTGTGTGCACTGAAAAGGTCTCTCTCCAGAATGGGTGCGTTCATGCTGATAACAAAAAAAATTAGACAAGAGAAGAAGGAAGACGTATTAAGATCACAATTAGTTATTTCCATCAAAAAAGTGAAGACTCTACATGAGTTCGTAGCTGAAACTGTGCCGGCATTACTGACCTGTTTCAGGTTTGACGTCTGGGAAAAAGACTTTGAGCAGATGGAGCAGGTATGAGGCCGCAGCCCAGAGTGCATCTGACTGTGTCTACGCAGGCAGCTGGTGTTTTTGAATGACTTTCCACACTCCTTACACACATATGGCCTCTCGCCGGTGTGTTGCCGCAGGTGGTACTGGTAGTGAGAGCTCCATTTGAAGGTGAGAGGGCAGTGAGGGCACTGGAATGCCCGAACGCCTGTGTGTACCTGGGTAAAGTAATTGAAAAAACGTATTGGTGTTATGTTTTGCTTAAGTTGCTCCTTTTTGAATGTAGTATTCAATTATTTTTTACAGTAGAAAATCCTATCAATTTCTTTTAAATAGTTTTTTTCCCCATAAGAGCTAAATTCACCCAAAGACTTGCGACCAGGAAACATTTATGTCAACGATGCAATCAACAGTTACAACTGTTATAACACTGTTTGTGCAAAAGAAGCCATCGAGTCACAACAAAGTGTCAGTGAGTTTTTCAAAAAACTGTGCTTGGTAGCTGTTTTGTATGACGTGACAGTTTTGTTCTAGACATTAGGCGCGTTCACACCGCAGTACTTTTCCCACTTTAGTTCCGATATAGTTCCGTGACAGTATGTATTTTATTGCTTGCTTTTTTTGTTTTTAGCTGATTGCATTCATCTGCATAGTTGGGAACCGTTCTAGACTGCTGCATTCCCTGTAAACTACAAACATCATAAGTTTTACGCTGACATAAATTATAAAATGTTGCTCCAAAGGATAGCTCTCTAATTTGGAGCCTTAATTTGTGTGTCCATTTCTGTCAACAAAAGCCTTACCCTCTGATGGATTGAAAGCAGAGATGACCTTTTGAAGCTCTTTCCACACTCGGTGCAGCGGTAGGGCCTTTCCCCAGTGTGATCCCTCATGTGATACTTCAGCCCCGATGAACCTTTGAAGGCTTTGCCACACTCTGAACAGCGGTATGGCCTCTCTGTACCAAAGTGTGCAAACAGAGTATCACAAATGTGAACATTTAAACTAATAATGGCAATTAATACAGTAAAAAATACAAGCGTTGTAGTAATTATCATGGTAAAGAAGATCCTTGTAAGCGTTAACCAATTTGATATTGGATATATTGCTGATAGCTTTGAAGGGGGAATGCATATCATACCAAAACAAATTAACATATTTCTTGTCTCATATTGTCTTTTCTTCAGTCAAATGTCAATGTCTTGTGTCTGCCCTGCTATGGAAATATATTCACCTCCAACAAGAGCACTCTTGCTGGCTCCCGTCTTTTTGGGGGCTTTTGGCGGTTTGGCCGGTTGTACCTCGTGCTCCTCACCGACAGCAATGATGTCAACATGGATCTCCCTCGGGCCTCCCTGCTGCTTGTCAGCGTGGCTGGGAGAGGAGGGAAGGGGGAGAGACAGAGAAAGGGAGGGAGGGCACACTATCTCAGCCTCGGCCTCAGCTAGGAGACGTTGCTCAGGCGTGTGGGAGTGTTGGTGGGTGAGGAGTGAGGAGAGAAGGGGGAAGGAGCGGTCGCAGGCTGAGCAGCTGAACTGGGAGCGGGACTGTGAGGAGAGGGAGTGCATCTGGAAAAACAAAAGAGGAACACAGGAGGCACATATTATTCCAGGATGGAGAAATCAAAATGTAGGATATAAATCTCAGTGCTCAATATTCAGTGCAGTGCTGTCATTTGAATACCAGTGTTAGAAGGTCATTCTCACCAGTGATACATGTCTATTGAGGCCTCCACTGGTCTTGAAGGTCTTATTGCAGTAGCCACATGACAGCCCAGCCCATGTGGTTCTGGCCTCTGGCTGAACGGTC